GTATCAGTGCTGTTTCTCCAGTTCCAAGACTATAGTCCTGTGTAAATGTACTGCACTTCTACAAAAGAGTACAGAAGAGTACAAAACCCTGAAGTTTCGCAGAGGTCTGGTTGAGCCCTATGTCATTTTTCAAAAGTTGATAATTCATGGCACTAGTCATACACCTGTTTCAATAGATTCTTACATTTGTTTCCCAAGTTCTCCCCAAGTGGCAATCTCAAACTGCAGAGGGATCTTGCTTCTGTAAAGCAGCATGTAGGTTATCGCAAACAATTTCATACGATTCTAACTTGAATTATGAATATTTTCTGATCATGAACATGGGTGTATCTTTTAGATCCATTCATTATCTTCAAGAAAAATATATAAAATTATGATTTAGTTAATCAGACCTAAGTGATATTGAAGGGGCAATGGACCAATCAACATACTTTTTCAAAAATGTTGACATAATTTTCACCAAAAATGCAACCTTTTATTATATTGTTGAACCTTTTATTATATTGTTGAATGCATAATTAGAATGTGCTTCGAGACATGTTCGATTTTCTAAAAGGAAAAGTTGATTGCTCTAGGGACTTTAAAGATACTGAATTTGGATGACCAAAATGAACTGAAACCAATGGATAGCATAAGATTTTTCAATGGAGAAATAACATGTGGAATACTTGTCTAAAAGCAATTAAGTTTTTCTTTCAAGAACTATTTGATACATCAAAATAAAAAATAGTAATGCATTAAACATTGTAAAAAAATGATTGCATTTTTGGTGAAAAAGGGGTCAACATCTTTGAAAAAGTGTGTTGATGGGTTGATTGCTAGTTAAATATCTCCAAGTTTGTTTGACTGTATTATTACTGTATATACTTTTTTTGAGACAATAAATTGATCTTAAAGATATACCTGTCTTCATTGTCCAGAAATAGTCATAATCCAAGATATAACCTTCTGAAATTGTTTGCGATAACCTACATGCTCCTTTGCTTTTGAGTGGACATATTCAACCAGTATTTCAACTGCCAACCATATATATATAATTGATTGACATACCATTCAATTGTGAGGGATATAGGGAACCCCTCTGTCCGTCCATCCATACATCTGTACAAATGGCTGCCTTTTCACGCCAATTTACGATTTTTGCTGTAACTTAAAAAGTAGTGGAGCGATTTCATTCAAATTTTGTATGTGAATACTATAGTATTCTTTTTTGAAGTTTTCCACAAAAATATTTTTACTTGGCAATAATCAGGTAAAATGCGTATTTGCGTGACATATTCTGTTACGCAAAAAAAGAACTGGTGTTATTTCAAATTTTCCAGCAAATGTGTGACAAATACGCAAATTGCGGGACAGTTGGACGGCCTGCTACTTAAAAGCATATTACATGTTACTTTTTCTAATGGGGGGGGGTGTATAGAGGGTCTTGGAAATGCATATACAATATTTTTCAGCTCTCTTATACCATATACAATATTTTTTCACCCCTTTTATACCATATACAATATTTTTCACAGCTCTTATACCATATACGATATTTTAGGTGAAATACAATATACAATAATTTTGAAACTGCTTTTGATTAAAGTTTGGATATTTATAAGGAAATAATATTAGGAGAGAATCCATGTACTAAAGTAAATGTATTATTATAAGGGAAATAGACTCCAGACTGTTCAGAAAAGCTGTGACCACATTTTATTTTCAGGTAAACAAGTTGATTTAAAACACATTTATGATATAAGATTCATGACTTATCTTTAGTGATTTCACAACCTACTTTGACCAAAAAACTAACTTTAACATTTCTGCAATTTGCTAAAGCCATTAGCCCATTACGAGTGTAAAAGTACCATAAAGATATTCAAAATTAGCACAAAACCTGCATCATTGAAATGGGTGGAACTCAGTGTTCCTCTTTCTTATGACCTACTTTCCCATGACTTATTTTAATGTCAATGGAATCCTTCATAGTGAGCCAGGGAATAAAACCCTTGAAACATAATTGATGCAAAATTGAGAATGTGGAATAAAAGATTCATCATGTGTTCTATGAAAATAAAGTTTGCTGAGGAAAATATGTATCAGATAGGTAATGAAGATTCACAATGCACAATAATTTTGTAAAGCAGTTACCTGAAAATATTAAGTATTGACAACAGTTTCAGAAATAAAGGACTTCACAAACTTCCATGTAGATAATTCATTTTTGATTGGACTCCAGTCTGGAAATTAGAGTTTGAAATAAAGGCAAGATGAGACTTGATTGTTTAAACATTTGAAACAAGAGACACATCAGGGTTTCAGATAAGGCAGCCTTAAAGACAGTATAAGTTAAACAAAGGTGTGTCAAAATTAAGTAAATTTCCATAAAGGTCAAACCACATGTTTCACGAATGATTTCAATGCAAAGATGTATTGATGAGAATGAAAACTACTCTATGTAACTGGAAGTAACTTTCTTTTAAAGGACCACAGACGGTATCCCAACAGATTTCAGTCATATATTGGATTTTGGCTATTTTCTGAGGACTTGAACAGGTGCATATGTAAGGCCAATGCATTAACTCCAGGACAAGCAATCATAGAGATTATAAAATAATTTGGACTTTATGTCAGGGAAGGTGCAAATTTGCACCCCATCAACATGTTTTTTCTGTAATGTTGTCCTGATTTCCAGCCCTTTCCACACCTGTTTTTCAATGTTTGTTGCATCGATCACTCTGTTGCGTTTTAAATGAAAATATGATTCATGCAGGGATTTTAAAGATATCAATTTGAATGACCAAAATTTAGCTGAAAACAATGGATCACATGAGTTTTCCCTATGGGAAAATAACATGGGAAATACATGTACTGTTTTCCACTTCATCCCAAATAAATCATATTTTAGAGGTTAACTGTGTCTCAAAGTGCAACATATTGGTGCATCAAACATTGAAAAAACATATGTGGAAATTTAAGGGCTGAAAATCAGGACAACATTTCAGAAAAACCTTCCCTGTCTCAAAGTCCAAATTATTGTATTACCTCGATGAGTGCTTGATCTGGTGTTAATGCATTGGCTTAACATATGCACCTGTTCAAATTCCCAATAAATAGCCGAAATCCAACATATGACAGTTTGAAGACCAAATAAAAACCTTTTGCTATATTATGCTATATTAGCATTGTGATGCTTGTATTAAAACATGCGCTGTATGAACACTTTATACTCAAATATTTTAATGATTTATCCCACATACCCAGAAACACGAGTAGCCATAATGACCATATTTTTCATCAAAATTAAGATGAGTCAATGACTTTTGGCAGTCTCACACCCGGTGATCTGATGAAATGAACGGAGGGGGGAGTAGCTGATTTTCAAATGTTGAAGATTTATTTTTTCAAGAAAAAGTTTACAATTGAATGGCTAAATGAATAGATGCAGTGCACAGGGAAATATGTTAGGTCTTCTTGGATTTTTTTTGAACTGATGGAGTTCTAAGATAAAAGATTTATTAAAGAAGGCGCAACGTCGCCAACGTGCAAATGCCAATGTTTTTGCTATAAATCAAGCAACAATGGTCTGCACAACCTGTAATCAATATATATAAGCGACGTTTTTATCACTAAATTCTTTGCCGGTTTTTTAAAAATAATTTTCCAAATGATAGATAAAAAATAATCGAAAATAATTAAAATTGAACGGAGGGGGGGGAGTGAACGGAGGGGGGGGTTGAGTCATCTGTCTTTAAGGTGGAAGAAATTTCCACAAATTCGTGTACTGGAAAAATGAACTCACTTACTCAGTAACTTGATGTTACAACTCTGAAAAGTGAAAAATGGGGACATATGGAGTTAATGGAAGTTTCCATATGTCTTATAGACACATTACTCCCCCCTCCGTTCAATTTTAATAACTTTCGATTACTTTTTATATAACGTATGTGTTTTACAAAACCAATGATCACAATAGTTTTGTGATAATTACTTTACTTACAAGTATTTATTACAGGTCGTGTAGACCCCTGTTGGTTGATTTATAGCAAAAACATTGGCATTTGCACGTTGGCGACGCTGCACTTTTTTAATGGATCTTTTATTTTAGAACTCCACAGTTCAAAAAAAATCCAAGAAGACGTAACATATTCCCCCATCCACTGCGTCTATTCATTTAGCCATTCAATTGTAAACTTTCTCTTGAAAAAATAAATCTTCAAGATTTGTTGAATTTTCTACCGAAAATCAGCTAGATCTACTCCCCCTCCATTCATTTCTTCTGATCATCGGGCGTGATTCTTATTTGAGACTATATTTAACACCTCCTGTGAAAATTTGAATGAGAAGGGCACAAAACTCTTAGTTTGAGAAGGATTTTCTCTAAACTTACAGTATTGATTGACCTGGAATGTGGAACCAATTAGAGAGACTACTTTTTCATGTGTTTCCAACACGGTTACAGTAAGAGAGTTGGTACAATGGGAAACTTTAGGGTACAATTTCTTCATAATTGGCCTTCTTTAATTCTAGATACTATATACCATATATTTTCTATTATACCATATACCATATTTTTTACACCTCTTATACCATATACGATAAATTTTGCCCCCTCTTATACAATATACAATAAATTTTCAGCCTCTTATACGATATACAATATCTCTATACACCCCCCCCTCTAATGACAATTTGGCTACTGAGCAACCAATTTGAAAATGGTGGCATTTCTTATGTATGTTAATTTACGATATTTGCTATATATTTTACTTGTAAAAATGCCAGCTTGCTGTTCGATGGGATTTGCTACGCTTTTAATTTGGCGTTGCTGTTGTCTAGTTGGTTCTGTAGCAGGATTTTTACTGACCATATTCTCAGTATTTGTATTATTTTGAAAATATTGTTTGCCCTTTTTGACTTCTAAAAACCAGCTATGTCTGCAACCTTTAGGTTTAAGAGAAACCTCTGGACTCACCAAGCCACAAGTAAGAATTTTTACTTCTGTTTGTTTTTAGGCAAGGAATGATCGCAGGTCTACAAGACATCGACAAATTGAAAAACCAAGTCCAAGACGTTCAGGTCCCCCTAGAAGTATTTGAGTAAGTAGTTAATCTTTTTACCTTCAGAGATTCGATCGAAAAGAAATTCATGTTCTTCTTCAGAAAATCGATCAAAAAGAGATATAAAAATAAATAAAGCAGTGATTATAATCATGAAAATTATATGAAAATAATCACTACAGATTCACCATTTGAACTGATTAAGTTTCATAATTAGTGTGCGCCAAAACTCCAGAAAATCCCATTAACTGATGTTGAGGTAGGTTACTATGATTTGACCCATAGTCAATATAGATTGGTTCATTGACTATTCATTTTTACTTGTCTGCACTCAAAAAAGTGACACGAAAGGGTCAAACGGCTTGCCCCAAGGTGCAACTGTCAAAAAGATGAGTTTGACAAAAATCTTTTTTTTCAAATAATAGCAGCGAGTATATGAAATAGGAGGCAAGTTTGATATTGATATGTATGATAGTCCATTTGGGTGTGGTAATTTTTATTAAAATCAATAATATTGAAGAATTATACATTTCTGACCTTAAAATGCCATTTTAATGCAAAGTCACGGTTGCTATAAATTATATTCCTATTTTACCTATTTAATGTTTTCTATATATTACACTTACCATTATATTCATTTTTGGCAAAGTAAATAATAATGGGGCTCACACAAGGATCCACTTTATTTACAACTTTTTATATTTAGTGATGTTTTGAAAAATTACTACGTTTAACAGAAAATTATTTGTTAAATGTTAAACAAAATAATGATTATGTGTTTGTTTCGTTGTTTCAACTGAAAAATGACAATTCATTGCTCTTGATCTTAGAGCGGCAGGGTATATACCAGTATGACCAATCTTCAATACAGTTGATCCTTGTGTGATCCCTACTATTATTTACTTTGCCAAAAACTAATATAATGGTTATTCAGATATATGAAAATCATTTGAAGTCAAAATAAGAATAATATAATTGACTTTTGAATTATATAGTCAGAAGTACCAAAGTACCATAATTGTAGCGTGGCTGCTAGTCTAGTTAAGGCGGTAGAGGATCAGAATCTAGATAAGAAGGTACTAGGTTTGGTTCCCACACAGAGCATTACCATATAACTCCCCGAAGGAACCCGCGGGTCCTTACAGAGTGCCATATTTGCATATTAAAGTAAATAGATGATTTTGCCACCCTCCCGCCATATTCTTGTGTATCTTTATAATACTAGCAATCTACTGTTCGAGTCGGTCACAGCAGCCCCACATGGCCTTAAAAATAATTCCAAATACCTGGCTATTGACTTTTGACCTTTTCTGATGCATGACATGAACGAGCCCAAAGGCCTTAACAGGCTTAATACCTAGATATTGACTTTTGACCTTGAATTGATATGACCCATCAGTAATGACTTTGACCCCAAGTCGCCTAGTAATGGGTCACCAAGCGTCACAGCATCTCCCGAATGCCATGAAACACAAATACCTAGATATTGACCTCGACCTTGAGATGATCTTGAATTAAACCATTAAATGATGGCTGACCTCATGTCACCTTATCATGAGTCGCCAAGGGCCACATCACGACAGCAGCCCATGTGGCCTTAAAACGTCAAACACTAAGATATTGAAATTTGACCTTAGATTGACCTTGACCTCAGGTCACGTTTCAATGGAGTCAAGTGCAGCAGCCACTCCAAAACGCCAAATATTTAGATATTGATCTCTAGCCTTGACCTATAAAAATGACACTGATCTCAGGTCACTTTATCATTGGTGATCAAATGTCAGTGTAGCCACAAACGAGCCAACTACTTAGATATTGACCTTTGACCTTACTATAATTTTGAACCATAGATATTGACTTTGACCTCATGTCACCTTAGCTTGAGTTGCCAAGGGTTATAGCAGCCCCCAGGGCCTCAAAATGCCAAATACAGAGATAATGACCTTGTAGGAATGACCTTGACCTCAGATCACATATCAGTGGGTCCTCACATGAAGCAGCATCCCCAAAATGCCAAATATTCAGATACTGACCTCTGACCGTGAGATGACCTTGACCCATAAACAGTGACATTGACCGTAGGTCACTTTATCTTTGGTGATCAAATGTTACTGAAGACACACAGTAGCCAACTACCTATGACCTAGATATTTGACCTTTGACCTTGAAACTACCTTGAAATCACCTTATCATTGGTCGCCAAAGGTCACAATTGTTCTCACGTCAACTTGCTAGATATTGACATTTGAACTTGAAATTTCCTTGATCCATTCAGACCTTGACTTCAGGTCACCTAATCATTGGTTGTTGAGGGTCAAATCAACGGCCAGGTGTCTTAAAAAGCCAACTACCTAAATATTGACATTGTACCTTGAAATGACCTTGACTTTTGTAGAATACACTTTTTATGAACAAAAATGAAACATTCAAAGTTGAAAACTGACCGTTTGAAAATAAAATTGCTGCAAATGTTTCAAAACAAAGGTATCTGTATTGTAAAAGTCATGTTCGATTTTGAATAAACTCAAAGAAATATACTTCAATTATATAATTTTCTATCAGACTAAGTAAAATTGTAACTGTTCTAAATGTAAATGTTGCAATGAAAGCTCACATATATCTTGTTGCATATCAGTGTAGTGCAGCTGCTACAGGTATCACTCTGACAAACATCGGTGAACAAACCAAACTTGATGTGATGCAAATCGGTATCTTTTAATTTGGCGTCCACGCAGAATGTTGGACAAAATGGCTAACTGTTAGATAAACCATCAATATTAGAATTGTCAAAAGTTGCATTTATAAAATCAATTCCTGCCTCATCACTGTTACACCTTTTACTACAAGATGTTGTCTCGACTAGGTCACTGTCTGCAAGCTAAAACAAGAACACAAATGTGTACAAAATGTCCCCACCAAGTGGTGATCCCGTGAAATGGTTATCCTGAAAATGAGTAGACAAGACTTTACCAACACAATTTGAGGACACAAAATCCAAAGTGGCCACCTTAAAATTTACCCAGAATGCCAAAAATTTAGTCAGTTCTAGATTTTCATACTAAGAACCACCCCTGAAAATTTGAAATTGATCCGTCACACAGTTAACCAGAAAACATGTAAACAAGACTTTACAGACAAGATTTCAGGATGGAAAATCCAAAATGGCTGCCTTGACATTTACCCAGAATGTCAAAAAACTAATCTGTTTGTAGATTTTCATACTAAGAATCATCCATGAAAATATGAAATTGATCTACCAAACGGTTCACCTGAAAACGGGTAGACAAGACTTTACAGACAAGATTTTAGGACAGAAAATCCAAAATGGCTGCCTTAACATTTACGCAGAATGCAAAAAAAGTAATCAGATGTAGATTTTCATACAAAGAATCATCCCTGAAAATTTGAAATTGATCTATCAAACCGTTCTCCTAAAAACGCGTAAACAAGACTTTACAGGCAAGATTTTAAGACGGAAAATCCAAAATGGCTGCCTTGACATTTACCCAGAATGCAAAAAAACTAATCAGTTCTAGATTTTCATACTAAGAATCATTCCTGAAAATTTGAAATTGATCTACGAAACGGTTCACCTGAAAACGAGTAGACAAGACTTTACAGACAAGATTTTAGGACGGAAAATCCAAAATGGCTGCCTTGACATTTACCCAGAATGCCAAAAAACTAATGAGATCTAGATTTTTATACTAAGAATCATCCCTGAAAATTTGAAATTGATCCACCAAACGGTTCACCTGAAAACGCGCAGACAAGACTTCACAGACAAGATTTTAGGACCGAAAAATCCAAAATGGCCGACAATAAAAAAGTCCTTATGAGTTTTTGCTGATTTCTTTTTACAAAATTATCACATATAACTACTGTTAACAATAAAGTAGGCTTTTACAGCAAAGTACATCTGAAATTATTTATAAAGCTACTAAATAGTTAAAGTATGAAAACTCAAAAACACCATTCAATATGATACAAAGTATTATCGCGCGCTAACTTTTCTTAAGACATTCAAAATGGCTGACATGACTGAGCTAGCAGGTCCAAAACCTAATCAGATCTAGAATGAAGTGAGTTGAACAAGATGTTAAAGTTTTAAAAGCAACTGTGAAGCAGTTTTTCTTAAAGTTTGCAGACAAGGATTTTAGCATTTGACTTCAAAATGGCCGACAGGAAGTAGGTATCGAGTTAATTTTTTTTCATCCACATCTGTATGCACTCATAAGTTATCCCTGAAAATTTGAAGGTGATATCTGTAGCGGTTTTGGAGAAAACTGCCGGACGTACGGACAGACAGACGGACAGACGGACAGACGGACGCGCCTAGGCCGACAATATGGCCCCACACTATGTGGTGGGGACATAAAAAGTATCAAAATCACTGCCTGCTTTATCACAATAAACGTTTGTTACAAATATTTTCAGTAAAATGCAAATAGAAGGCCCATTTGATATTAATATGGAAAGATAGTCCACTTTGGTGCGGTAATTTTACTGCAACAACTACATATATATGTACATGTATAATGCCTTTTTATTCAAAAGTCAATCATTGTATTCCTATTTAACATATTAAAGGATTTTTATATATCTGAATAATTGTTATATTCATTTTCGGCAAAGTAAATAATAATAGGGCTCACACAAGGATCAACTTTATTGAAGACTTTTTGTACTGGTATATCTGCATCTGTAAGAGCAAGAGCAATGAATTGCAATTTTTAGTTGAAACAATGAAACAAACACTACCATCATTACATTTAATATTTAACAAATAAAATTGTGTTTAACGTAGTATTTTTTCAAAACATCACTAAATATGAAAAAGTTGTAAATAAAGTGGATCCTTGTGTGACCCCTATAATTATTTACTTTGCCAAAAACTAACATAACATTGTATAAGTAAAATAGGAATATTATGATTAGCAACAGTGACTTTTGGATTAAAATGGCATTTCAAGGTCAGCAATATATAATTCTTCACCATTATTGTTTTTGATAAAAACGACCACACCCAAATAGACTATCATACATATCAATATCAAATATGCCTCTTATTTCATATAGTCACTGCTATTATTTGAAAAACATGATTTTTTTCAAACTCATATTTTTGACGGTTGCACCTTGGGGCAAGCCGTTTAGCCCTTTCGTGTCACCTTTTTAACTGCAGACAAGTGAAAATGAATAGTCAATGAACCAATCTATAATGACTATGGGCCACTTCTTAGTAATCTACCTCAACATCGGTTTAGACTAACTAAGCCACTTTGGAAGCGATTTGGCGCATACTAAATGTGCTCGAAGAGAGTCAATACACGGTAATTATGTTTCATAATCAAGTATTCTTGACATTTACATGTAATTATGTTTCATAATCAAGTATTCTTGACATTTACATGTAATTATGTTTCATAATCAAGTATTCTTGACATTAATACATGTAATTATGTTTCATAATCAAGTATTCTTGACATTTATACATGTAATTATGTTTCATAATCAAGTATTCTTGACATTTACATGTAATTATGTTTCATAATCAAGTATTCTTGACATATACATGTTTCATAATCAAGTATTCTTGACATATACATGTAATTATGTTTCATAATCAAGTACTCTTGACATATACATGTAATTATGTTTCATAATCAAGTATTCTTGACATATACATGAAATTATGTTTCATAATCAAGTATTCTTGACATATACATGTTTCATAATCAAGTATTCTTGACACATACATGTTTCATAATCAAGTATTCTTGACATATACATGTAATATGTTTCATAATCAAGTATTCTTGACATATACATGTTTCATAATCAAGTATTCTTGACATATACATGTAATTATGTTTCATAATCAAGTATTCTTGACATATACATGTAATTATGTTTCATAATCAAGTATTCTTGACATATACATGTTTCCTAATCAAGTATTCTTGACATATACATGTTTCCTAATCAAGTATTCTTGACATATACATGTTTCATAATCAAGTATTCTTGACATATACATGTTTCATAATCAAGTATCCTTATACATATACATGTAATTATGTTTCATAATTATGAACACAATTCATGAACTTTACACTTGCATTTAATTTTAATTGATTTAATTAATTATTACAGGTATATAGATCAAGGCAAGAATCCCCAATTGTACACCAAGGATTGTATGGAAAAAGCTCTATCTAAGAATGAATCGGTCAAAGGCAAAATAGATGGTTTTAAGGTAACCAATACTACACTTTAAGTGACTCTGTTTATATTTTTCAATGTTTATTTGAAAAGTAAATACTTGCTTTTCATCCCCCAAACAAATTTTTATTTTACAGCAAAGAGAATTTTTTCACATGAGTCATTCATTTTTTGTCAATATGTCAACCAAATATGCCATCTATTCATCCAAATAGAATTAAATTACACGTTTGTGAAAACAGTACATGCACCATACCGATCTCTGTACTATTTATGCTGTTTTCTTAGAATATTTTTTCCTCTGCTTAATATTTGCTCAAAACAAAATAAATGTACAGGGTGTCAAATGGTGTTGTGCGCATTATTCATTTTGACTATTTGAGTTTCCATGATTTTTTGTTCATTTTTCTTCTCAAGTACGCATTGAGATTCTTTAAGCACTAAAAATTGTACAGCTATTACTTCATCAAATCATGTACAAATATAAGCACTAAACATGAACCTCTGATTCACAAATGCGACATATTGATATAGTCTCCATTTTTTGGATGGGTTTGGTGTTCATTGGTCAACGGTTTGATGTTTGTAACAAATGGCAGGTGGTGACAATTTGCATGTCAATGTCAGTGCATCTTGGGAAAATGTCAACTAATTTTGCCTCTTGCAGCCATAAAATAGATAATTTACAGCCTTTTCTAAAGAACTTCAAGTGCCTTTCAATAATAATATAATGTAACTGCACAATATACAGGGTGGTCCAAAAAAAAGTGAACCCCTGCAACTGGCCATATTTCCCTTATTACTTGCAGGAATTCTTTTTTATTTTCACATGTTGTAGAGGAAGGTCTAAAATTTATGTTGGGGCCATACATTTTTCTTAGTCTTGAAAGGACGATTCTCGGTTTGGAGAACGAAGTTCATCAATCTAAATGAGCATTATCCCTGCTTCGGACAAATTTGATTTTTTTTACATAATATAGATTTGTAGTCATAATTTAATTTGGGTAATATTTCTAGATTTTTCTCAAAAAAATATTAGCGCAGTACACTGATGAACTTCTTTCCCCAAATCGAGACTTGTATTTTATTGAATCGGTCAAATCGAGCATTATCCCTGCTTCAGACCAATTTGTTATTTTTACATCTTGTAGATCTAAATGTCCTCTTTTGAATATTCATAGTTTAATTTGGGTAATATTTCTATATTTTTCATTAAAAAAATTATTAGCCCAGGAGACTGTTCTCCAAACCGAGAATCGTCCTTTGCAGAAATTATAAGCCCTAACCAAACATTACTGAAAATGGACAAATTGTGATTTTCAATATCCGCGATTCTTCAACCCTTTAACACCTTTCCCCCTGGGAATTTTATAAGCTGCAGTCTTAAAGGGTTTTGATTAGCATCCCGTATAAAAACAATATGGCGGCTCCAGGCGAATCAACTGGATCAGTCCATTTTTAAGAAATAAGGGGAGTTCTGTAAAATCCAGTTTATTGAAATTGTCTTTGAGATAAAGTAATCCGTTTATAATGATTTTGAAAACGTTATCCAAAGAGTGATTGCGTTCAAATAATACACGTACAACAGCCAATATAAATTCTTGTATTAGAAACCAGTTTGTCTTGCTTTGTTTCATTTGTAGGATATTTCATATGCCAAGCTGTGTGCTATTACGTTATGGGGAAATTTAGATGCCAATTTTTCCTTATTATACACAAATAGAAGATCCTGAAACTTCACCCATAAATGTGGAATTGATATGTCAAAATAAAATTCACCCTTTTATAAATGTGTGACAATCTATAATATACTTATGCTATATAACAGTTAGAGGTGTTGACACAACGACCTCGAACCTGTGAACCCTTGAGTATTATTCCGGGATCGGGCCTTTTATACTAAACGGTGAGCAACACCAGAAACGAGCGTTCGATTTGCTAAACGATATGCGTCACCCTTTAAAGAACTAATATTTTCTGACTTTGTTCAATTTTAAATTCTGCACATTATGGCTTAAAACTAGCATCCTACATTTGTTAGTTGCAAAGTTATTGTGATCCAAAGAGATGTGCTAAGCTTCCACAGACGAAAACATTTTCCAGTGAAATCATGAACATACCCCTATATGATCTTGAAATGTCAATATCTTCAAATCATGGACCAATTCTAATGATTTATGGCTCAAAACATTGGATATTGGATTTTGTTTTGATTTTTTAAAGATATTTGATAAAGGGGTTATCAGATTCCTGGTCACAGGGGGCAACTCCCTTCCATAAGAGGCCCCCTCTAACTGTTGGTGTAGGTAACATACCCCTGAAACTGTTGAACAGTTAAAAATGCTTCAAAATGATCAATGAAAGTGTGAAATGTGTTTTCTGCTTGAACAGTGTCCCTTTTGTCATATGGTAGGGTTTTAAATTTGTATCTCTAACTGAAAGCTGTTTAAGATCATCCAATGTGTTTCAACGATTTCCTTGAATCACATTTGTAAAATTTTGTACAATATCTAATTTCCAGGCATGTTTGATAAACGCTTGTAATTTCTTCAAAATTTAAGACTGAGAATAAATTATGGCATCAACCAAAATTTTAGACCTTTCTCTACAACATGTGATAATATGAGCCAATTCATGCATGTATTAAGAAAAATATAGCCTGTTGCAGGGGTTCACTTTTTTTGGACCACCCTGTACTTGTAAGCATCTCTTAATTTAGAATCAAGATATCATACTCTCTTTTGTTTTCTTTTTTGTTTCATATTCCTTCAAAAACATCTGAAGGACATTTGATCTAATTATGGTGTGAGAGAATGTACATGTATCTTGTTTGTGAGAATGTATCTTGTTTGTGTGAATGTATCTTGTGAATGTGTGTATGAAAGTTACCTCTGTGTGCAGTTTGATCGTTAACACTAATGTTCCCTCTGATCAGATTGACTGATGAAACAACCTTTTTGAGTTGTCAAGTTGGCCGACCGGTCTAGGCGCTGATGTCATAATCATGCGGTTGTGAGTTCGGGACGTATGAACCCCATTGCTTTTGTTCATTCATTATTCATTCATGAATCACTCTCTGAGGTTTTAGTTGCAGAGGTTATCATCTGCTCTGGGTTCTTAAGGACATTTAGGCCCGTAGCCCCTGGCCAAAAATTCTTTCAAAATCATGCAGTTTTTCACCATTTTTAGCACTTCTCAAGTGATTTTAGTCATATTTGGGCCAAAATTGTCAAGTGTGAACCCCCCCTGGAAAATTTTGAAAACTGAACACCCATCTTTGCAAATCCTGTCTCGGGCCTGCAGTTGAGCTAATTGTGCCTGGGAATGTATGCATGAATTCACTTCAATTGTATTGGAGCATTAACACTTGTTCCCTCTAATCAGATTGACTGATGAAACACCCTTTTTGGGGTTGCCGAGCAAGAGTATTGAATATGCTGGGCTAGACGCTGTTGCCATAACCGCGAGGTTGTGAATTCAAGGCATATTTATTCATTTGCATAATTACTTGCTTTATTTTCCAGAAATTCAAAGTTCTCCTGATCTTAGAGCTCAGCAAAACATTCCCGAATGAAATGGCAAAATACAGAGCTGTTCGTGGTGACGATAGATTGGTGTAATGCTTAGCAGATTAACGTACTGGGTGATAGATATCAGATAAGCGTAATTGATAACAGACTAGGGTCCTGTTTCTTATAGCAGAGAAGTGTACTGGATAACAGACTTAAGAAAAAGTTGACAGATGAGCTAGCGTGATAGCTGACAAAAAAGCGTAATAGAAGACATTATTGCAAAGTAAAGCAATTATATTTATATTTGACTAAAGTGAGACCTTAGATGTAAAACACAAAAGATAGGTGAATCTAAACAAAACAAATATCCTCACCATTGAAAGATGGCAGCACAAGACATTGAGGAAGATGAAATGTACCTCACGGTTGAACTCTCAGGGGTCATGGGCCGTGATTGGTTGAAACCAGATCTATTAGAACAGTTCAAGGTCATTGGAATTGACTCTGAAAAGCCTATTCTACAGCTTGGCCAATATATCTTTGTTGGCGAGTTTGAGGATATTGTTGGAACTTCTTTGTTTTTTGAACAGACTAAAGATGAGGAAGGGGAAAAGTCTGTCCAGTATGTGGGAAAAACAATGAAAAAGCTAAAAATGGTTCGGGCGTTCATTACAGACAACGAAACTGACGATTCATTGAAACATGATGCGTCTGGAGTAAATGTTCAGGGCCACCACACTTCTGTTATCGACTTTAAACAATTCACAATTAATGATGATAAGAATAATAAGAATAATGATGATAGGAAAAACGATGATAAGACTAATGATGACAATAAGAAAAATGATGATGAGAAAAATGACGATGATGTGGAAAATGCCACTGAAGAAAAACGTCGCAAAGTTGAGACAAAAAAATCCACGAAAACAAAGAGACAGTATGATGATGTGACTTCTGCAGATTCAGTTAAAACCACTGAAAATTCAGGCAAAATTTCAAAACATTCGGTTGAAAGTTCCAAAGAGGTTTCAGAGGAAAGTGATATGGACACATCCAAATCAATATTTACTAGTATCAAAGGAAAAGAGACGGATTAGTGTAAATATTTTGTAGAAAAGATCAGACAGCTTTGTAGTATCATAGATATAAATGAGAGGTTAATACCAGAGATCTTATTCATAAAGCTCACGTGTAGCCACACACCTAACCTGTTACTACATTTTTGTAATCATATCTAAATACTTCTAAGAATGATACAAAGTGTCCTGTTTTTATTGACATGATCCTGCATATCAAATGGGCATTTCAATTTCAATACACGGATAGGGTAAAATGGTTGTGAATCACAAAAAGACGAATATATCTTGAAATACCAAAAACTAACGAATTGTAGTGAACTATACAAAATACAAAGATTGTTGCTAGCAACTTTTATTTTTTAATGCTCGTTAATTTTCACATTATAATTATTATTTAGCATCGAACTCTTTGTTCTCGAGCCAGAACTTGATTTTCCAAACACAATTTCTTCCTTCTTTGACCCGAACGAAGTGGATCATGACGCTGAAAAGAACGTAAGTCATCAATGAGTACATTATTTGAAAATAAACCAATTCACTGCCTTGTATTCATTTCGTCCAGTGTAGTAAAATAACATTTTTATTATACATTTACAACTGTCATGCTACAACTGTCATATTCAAAGTTCAGTAGACAAATGCTGAAAGAACCTCATGGAACAATTTTTGGAACATCAACTGTTAATTAGAAAATGCTAGAAATTTTACTTTTACATAAGTACTTTATTTTGTTAGTTTGTTATTGTTTTCTGCAGTATCGAATCTCTAACATTTAATGATATACATTGAAATTCTTCTGAACCTGTTAATGGTCCATCAGTATTGTTATCAATCTTATCAAAAACTGTATAAAGAATATTTACCGCATTACATCAAACACCACCGTCTCGCCTTGATCATTTATGGAATATAGAATTCCCTGACCGTAGCCGGTAGCACTTCTTTTGTCCACGCTAACTTTGTCAAAAACAACATCGATATATGACGTAGGGTCCTGAGCCTTTAGTATATTTTCAAGAAAGCTTAGGACATCTAATAAACAAAATAAATCAAATAAAGATGCATAGGCACTGGCGGATCTAGAGGGCTGTGGCCTCTAGGGTGGGCCCAGAAAAAAATGTTTGGCCCAAAAATTTAGAAGGGCCTCAATAAGTGGGCCATTTTGGGCATTACATGTACTTGGCCTTTTTAGACCGTATTATCAAAAATATACCTTGATTTGAATTTTTGGGGGGGATTTAGGGGCCCAATTTTTTCAAATTTGAAATATGGGCCCCCTCCCCTTGCTAACTTCTGGATCCGCCAGTGAGGGAGAGGGGTTTCCCAAATTTCAGAGTTGGTATTGGGACACGTGATACCCATGTGATAGATCCATATAAGACTTATAGATCGATCGTATACGGATCTAACCTACTGTTGTCTGTCATTTTGAATGCTTTGTGATAGATTCATAATATAAGGCTCGTACTTGGTACCATAAAGGAAAGTTAAGGGAAGCCCCTGAGTAATACCATGGAATTATGTGAGCTACTCACTTCTTGTGATTAAAATGTAAGGGCATATGATAGTGAAAGCGCATGCGGTAAAGGGATTACAAAACAGACTTCCTCCCTACCATTCATGAATATAGAAAATTTTATAAACATCTATTAAGTTCTGTACTCTATATGGTAAAAATGAGTAGAACAAATGAGTATTAAGCTATTATAAAGTTTGCAAATTGCACAATTTCTTTGAGTCACGGAGTGCCAACTACAACCTTTAATTTTAATTTTAGACTTACCCTGCTTACCAGATGTTTGAAAATCTAGGAGTACGATTCTCATACTGCGTCGTTTTTTCTTCAAACTTGTTCCATTAAAAGCAAAAGAAAGATATGCCTTTCTGTTGGTACACTAAACTCTTTTACAGAGTCCCTCCTCTTAGCGCCGTTTGGTTCGCCGGCTGTGAGAAGCGCTTCTCACAGCTGGGGACCCAAACGTCGCTAAAACGGGGAACACGGTGCAGTATGAGACATGTGAGAATCGCAATCCTTGATTTTCAAACACCCGGTAGGTCTAAAATTCTTAAAAATTAAATAAAGATTTTTCAATTTTCTAAATACTTTTGGCTCGCATCATTCCCTGACATGACAGACTTGCCAACCTAAAATGAAAATTTTTCGGGAGATTTAAAAAAAAGTTGCGGTACTTTTAAGGGATTTTTTTTTAAAATCCGGTAGTTTTTGCGGGAGTTTTTTGAAAAAAGCGGGAGTTTTTACGGGAGATTTTTGAAAAAAACGATAGTTTTTACGGGAGATTTTAAAAAAACGGGAGCTATTACGGAAGATTTTTTAAAAAAGGTAATTTTCGCGGTAATTTGATTTTTGAAAAAACGGGAGTTTTTACTTTAAATTTCGAAAAAACGGAAATTTTTACGGTAGATTTTGAAAGAGGGGAGTTTTTACGGTAGATTTCGGAAAAACGGGAGTTCTTACGGTAGGTTTCTGAAAAAACGGGAGTTTTTACGGTAAATTTATGAAAAACGGGAGTTTAGATTATAGATACAACATTTTATTACTTTGGAAACGAATTGATCAAAGCTAAGTAAAATGCATGAGGTTCCATTTTTAGGTTCGGTTTTTCGCGCATGAGCATTAAATCAAGCAATTTAATTGGTTGAAATTATTATGACGCATGCGCATTTAATAAATTAATCAGAACTTATAATCTAAGATAGATGTCACTTACGTTCATTATTTCACAGCAGTCCCTACCCAAAATGCGCCTTATATTGCCATGATTGCGGGAATATTTTGTTTAGCGCCATATAAAAACAAAATGTATTCTCCCGACAGAAGTATGACAGAATATGAACTGGCCCCCGTTTGTGGACATTTGGTGTGCAAACTTTTACCGAACTGATCGCAGAAAAGCAATTTGAGTCATGGGAATGAAGTACTTTTAAGTTATTTATGAAAGTATCGATAGTGAACCATGGGAGCCAATCCTTCTTGGAGTAAAAGAAAGAAGCGTGCCTGCAATAATCAAGGTCACAAATTTGTCAAATTCCTTTTAAATACGGTAGATTTCGACAGCAAAAAACGGAGATTTTACGGGAGTTATACCAGAATACGGGGGATTTTACGGGAGTTATACCAGAATACGAGATTTTTTACGGGAGATTTCAGCAAAAATACGGGAGATTTTACGGCCATATTTCTAAAAAAAATTACGGGAGATTTTAGTAGAAATACGGTACGGGAGTTTACGGGAGTTTTTACGGGAGAAAACGGTACGGGAGTTTGGTATTTTTTACGGAAAAACAAAAAATTTACGGAAGATTCCCGTAAAAAAACGGGAGGTTGGCAAGTCTGCATGAAAAATAAGACAGTTTCAAGGGAAGTCTCAACTCATACCTTCTCTTCCTTCAAAAGTTCTCCAAAATGATGAAGCTAGGATCACACAGTCGTCTGTATATCTCGCAGCAAGAGAGCTGCAATCAGGAGCAGTGGGAGAAGCACACAAATTAGGATCAATCAAATCGTCCTTGTACAGACGCATGAACTCATTTAACTCAGCTAAGACTGAAACATTAAATATAAAGATTAACACCCCAGTCACATTTGTCGTACGGAGGCCGTGCGTCGACCGCAGATCAATTAAATCAGTGAATTTCTGCGGCGAGCGTAGAAAAACTACGCTCGCCTTGCGGCCTCCGTACGGCGTATCCAGTTTTTTACAGGCCGCATGGTCGCCGTAGAAATTATAACGCGGAGTTATAATATTTGTTCATTTCTGAGGTCCCCGTAGAAATCAACTGGCTCAACAAGATTGAATCATTATTTTTCAATGTTTCACGATCACTTTTCTTTTGATATTACATCCTAGCACTATTAATAACATTTATAAATTGTCCTGATGTAAATAAAATGAAAAAAAGTATTATTTATCAACAGAAATTTAAAATTCACCGTGCGGCTGCCGTGGGAAATGTGACTGCAAAAGTATGAGAACGCAGAAATTCCACGGTGAGCGTAGAAATGTTACTGGCCGCAGAAATGATAGACCGCAAGGTCGCCGTAGGAAATGTGACTGGGGTGTAAGCGTGATAAGGTTATTAATTTATCAAAATAAAAGAAATGTGGAATATAACTTTTTAACTGATCAACCGTGTTGCACAAACTGTGCTGGGACGACGTGTATCGGTCAAGTCAAGTAACTTAGTCAACATTCGATATTCGTATGTTCATCAATATTTACTAAGAATGGTGCCTCAATTGAAGTAAACCCCTGGTTAATTATTTTCAATAAACCTATCAGCAAACGTGTAAATGATAATGTTGATGTTCTGTTACATATTGGTAAAGCAATCTTGGGGATATGGCCTAAATTTCTAAATTTCCACTATGTTTCTGTATACCCCTACTTTAAAAGATGTATGCTATTTGTCATTTTTCATTATGAACCAAGCATAAATGTATTTTTTCTTGTTTACATACAGAATGAACTTTCCGTTTTCAACTATTGAAAGATGGTACTGCATTTATTTTTTCATGATATGGAGCAAACAAATCCGTATCAATTTACACTGTAATATCCTACATACTTATATTTCAAGGGTAGTTTTGAAGAATAATCAAGAAAATCCATGCTTTCAAATGGATTCATCCTTGTCAAAGAACGTAATGAGGATATACGGTTTGAAAAACGAACAACATGTTTCAAGTTCTTAGAATTCTTGGTTAAAACAAATTGAAAGTTGTGATTTCGAATGTAATCTCCTACTCAATGAAAATTGTTGATATTTGTGATTTTTTTGTGAATTTTGTTAATCACCTACCACTGTAACTTCCAACTTAATTTTTGAAAGCCAAATATAATAGTCACGAATCGAGATTTAAGTCAAACGTTGATGCCATGGCATACTTCATATGCGTACATTGACTGTCGAATACATGTCGACTTACATCTATATAAATATCCACAGTTAACTCAAATCATCAATGCTCGAAACGGCTCCCCGGGAGTGTAAATATCGTCTTGTACGAATCGAAATAATAGCGGGTGGTTGGAATTTTTGTTTATAGCTTACATCTATAGATTTAAAAACATATCACCTCATTGAGAGGTACATGCAGATTTTGGCGATCTACCATTACACCCTATGCAGACAGAGCCTGTGGGAAATATTGGGTGGGGAGCAAATGAGCGGAGGGTGCGGAGCTAACGGTCATTTTTGAATTTAAATTTGGGATATTTCTGGAACTAAGCCGTTTTGGGACTTCAAATATACCAAGATATGTGTATTTGACACCAAATACCAATACAATTGTGAAAATAGTAGCGCAATTCATTCTATAGCGACGCAGTGTGCCTTAAACCTTTCCCAGACCTATATATTTTGAAATTATCCTTTTAATACTGAGTCCCCAGCATTCATAAAAAAATGGTGTTCAAGGTACACTATCTATACAAATTATTTTTGCATCTTGGAAGCCAGGCAGTATCAGTGTGATTTTATAAAAATTCGGAAATGTTTTTCAGATATGAGCCCCCTCTAAATATTGGGTGCGGAGCAGCTCCATAAACGTAGCTCCGCACCCAATATTTAGAGGGGGCTCATATCTGAAGAACATTTCCGAATTTTTATAAAATCACACAGATACTGCCTGGCTTCCAAGATGCAAAAATAATTTGCATGGGTAGTGTATCTTGAACACCATTTTTTATGAATGCTGGGGACGCAGTATTAAAAGGATAGTCTCAAAATATATAGGTCTGGGAAATGTTTAAGGCATACTGCGTCGCTATAAAATGAATTGCACTACTATTTTCACAATTTTATTGATATTTGGTGTCAAATACACATATCTTGGTATATTTGAAGTTCCAAAACGGCTTAGTTTCAGAAATACCCCAATTTTAAATTCAAAAATGACCGTTAGCTCCGCACCCTCCGCTCATTTGCGCCGCACCCAATATTTCCCACAGGCTCTGTCTGCATAGGGTGCATTATAAAAGGCTAAATATTGTGCAAAAACACGAGTTGACACGCTTACATTTGGAATTGAAATTTCCTACAAAATTGTCGACTCATGTTTAAAAATCATGAAAACAAGGTTGAAGATAAAACATTGACCCAGTTACTGTCTATTTAGCATTGGATCACTAAGGGAAATATTATTAATAGTACAATAACGTCATTTCTAAGGGCAATATAGTGAATTATAACATACCTATGATGATGTATAGTGCAAAGTGTACACAAGACAGCGGGCCAATATAAGTTTTGAAAAGCCCGCGCCCGCTAACTTTCTGATTGGTCAAGGCGCTGACGTCATAACCAATCAATCGAAGATAAAACTGCGCGAGCAATTTTTCTAAACTCATTTCAATCATTTTCAAACAATTTGTTTGTCAATTCTATAAGAAAACGGTACTCTCTGACCAGTCTACATCATCATAGGTATGTTATAAATCGTTTATGTCACTATCGTGGCACATATGCCCTCGGTTCTCAGAGATCAATGTCCCTCCCAAGGTCGGGCCATATATCACTGACACCTCGGGCATATATGCCACGATAGTGACATAACCTCTAAATATTGGACCGAGGGCCGGCAAGGTGGTAATAATGACTTAGATTGTTAACAGTTATATTGTATTCCAAGAAACTTTCAATTTAGAAATGCAAAATGTTTAATTTTGTTTTTCAATTATAAAAAATGGCACCTGTAGAGAACAACGTTTACAAAATTATTTAAAACGAAGATATTTACTTGAGAAGCGGTATATCTTAACTTACTTTTATCATCCCGAACTCAAATATTTCGAATACTTATTTCGAGACCGCTTTGTTGTGAATGGATTCGAGATGTATTCAAAATTAATACGGTTAAATGTGTATTATCATCTTAATAACCACCTGACAAATTATTTTTAAATCAAAGAAGTACGATTTTTGAGATTTTTATTTTCGAATATTGACTTAGTTACTCGACTTGACTGGAATATCAACGTTTTTCGCATTTATTATCATGTTATATTTTACTAATTGCATTTTATTGTGTTAAATCATCCCAACGTAAGACATGCACGTATTTTATATTATTAAAACCTATAGTTTTGAATGTTCAAATTCTAGAACAAGGGGTATCGATAATTATCTGAATAAAATACAAATGCGTTATGCCAAGATGTACTATATATCGGAAAATGCTTGTCAAAAAGCGATTCACTTTTTTGGGACACCCGATATTAACAGTTGTTACATCAAAGTCTAAGTTTAAATTCCTATATCGACGATAGGGATGCAATTGCCTTAATAAAAACTTTACAGAAATATATTTTCAGATGTGTCTTCAGCTAAATGTTCAAAGGTAGTAACGTGTACACCTTCCTTAGCCTAAATATCCCTCAACGAGTCTAACTTGTGCCTCATTTAATTGAAATCCTGGCTTCGTCAATTACCCTTTATCACATACTAGAGGATTATTTGGTTTGAGTTTTTGTTTTGATTCTATTTAATGTGATTTTTATCCCAGAGCACTTTTAAGTAAGAAATTAACCGTGCCCTTACCTGCTTCATCACTGCCTTTAACATTACATGACCTAGAACGGCTCCGGTCGCCGCCCCTGCTCCCGCTACGACCCCAATAGCAGTTACAGGGGTCAATCAAAACCGACAGCAATATCACTGCGAGCAATTTCATTTTGACTTCTACTGAAGGAAGATCAAAGAGGAAATGACTATTGCTAGTATTGCGTGAGTGAGTGCAATATAAGATTAATAAGTTTGGTATTCCAGAATATTATCAATCGTCCCAGTTCTGATTTAAATTCAAAATAATTTATTTTCCTCTGAACGACCATATAGATATATTTCAAACAGCATCTTTGATCTTTCACCAGAATGTTGCAAATTCAAGTATAAACTATATTAATTGTATTTGAATATCAATGCATTAAGCATTTTCTAAGATTTATAATGATAATACTTATGATATATCAAATTTTATCCTTACCTTTCAAAATTTGAATTTGATGTCCGCTTGTTTGGTTGATGTGTCCTCTTCGCCTCCACGTCAAATACTAAATTATTAGTTAACTATGCTCCTAAAAGAACACATTGCGATAAATGGGCCCAAAACATGTATACCTAATGCATATCGCAAAATTATACATGTTTCAAACCCTATGAAAATAATCTATAGTATCATGTGATATCATGTAATCTCTTAATTTCGATTCAGTTCTACAATTTCATACTCTTTTCAATAAAATAATATATTTCAAATCAAAAGATATATACGATATAATTTACACATTTACATATAAAGGTTACATAATGTAAAAGGTTTGTATATCATTTTAAAATGTTCCTTTAAGATTGCCCTTAAGAAAAAAAACATGCTTTCCATGGATTACCATGGGAATTACATGTACCTATACTAGTATCCTATGGTAAATCATGTAAATACTGATATTCCATGGAAATAACCATTTAAAACCATGAAATATTCCATGGTAATTACAGATATTTCATTGATAAAAAATGGAATTTTCCATGGTATGTAAATATTAACCATGAAATACTGGTCGTTCGTGATTTTTGGTCTTGGTCAGGGATCTAAGTAGTTATGTTAAGCCATCAATGCAACAAGTTTAATCTATTTTTAATTATATAAAAAACTGTTATATTTTGCTAAATACAACAAGTCATGACACAACTTGATCATACCTACTATACAATATTGATTATTAAGTCATCAACCATTTTAAGCTATTTTGAATTATATTAATTGATTGATATAGTATTGTAACAAGGCTCATTTACTCATTAACTTTGACTACAGAAATTTTTTTGATCTTTTACAATATTAGTATCTATCAAAACAAAAGACCCATTGTACATATATGAAATAAATTGGTGAAGTATATAAAACAGTACAAACTGGGGAGAATTTTTTAAATCTCTAAAAAATCATTTGCTGACCATATATTTGGAAGAATGAATGCATCAAATGTTGCTTATCCCTTAACCAGGGTTTCGGAATGTAACACTAACACAGTTACACGTAGGGTGTCTGGTAACGATTTACAATGACGCATTGATCAATACGTTGTTATAAATATTTTAAAGGACGATTCTCGGTTTGGAGAACAGTCTCCTGGGCTAATAATTTTTTTCATGAAAAATATAGAAATATTACCCAAATTAAACTATGAATATTCAAAAAAGGACATTTAAATCTACAAGATGTAAAAATAACAAATTGGTCTGAAGCAGGGATAATGCTCAATTAGACTGATTCAATAAAATACAAGTCTTGATTTTGGGGAAAGAAGTTCATCAGTCTACTGCGCTAATATTTTTTTGCGAAAAATCTAAAAATATTACCCAAATTAAATTATGACTATTCAAAAGAAGACATTCAAATCTATATTATGTAAAAAAATCAAATTTGTCCGAAACAGGGATAATGCTCATTTAGATTGAAGAACTTCGTTCTCCAAACCGAGAATCGTCCTTTAAATCTCAAATAATGTAAGGTTATTGTGACATGAAATTCGAGCGTTACCTTGGCGTATTTTTAAATTTTAATCTTAAACAAAGCAAGATTTATGTCAAAATAAAACAATTACGTAACATCAAAAGTCGTATTTTGTACAATCGATTTGCTGATCACATTAAACTGAGTCTTTTCCCATGAATCAGAAAAGTTCATTTTTAATTTAATTTGTATGAAACATTGTTAAAATGTTGTAGTCCCCTGTCATCGATACGTGTGCATTCTATATTGGAAATCATATACTTTAAGCGAAAATTTCTTGACAATTTACCAAAGAAATTTTGAGACACGTATTTTGAATCGTCATTCAATATTACATAAAATGCCAAAACATCCGAGTTTACTCTGACATTATATTGTTTATCTCATTAGGTCTACCATTGTAGACTTTGTGTGTTGAATTGTATTTAGGTACTGTAGTTTAAAAATTTGAATTCTATTTTACTACTTGCTTATTACTCGTCCACGTCGACAACTGCACGACACGTGCACTTTAAAAAGGAATGACAACATACGACCTTTATTGTAAACCCTTTGTTGGAAATATATAGTTTTGAAAGTGTGACCCGCTCATGAATTGTATATTTTTGTGTATCTTTCTATTCAGCTAGGTTAAACTGTACGCGATTATCAAGAGTATACCCGTTTAGAGAAATACAGTACATGAACAGTTTATTATTAACTTGTAAATATTTAACACCTGGGTATTTGTCTCCAGATAAGAGATAATATATATACATGTATGAGTTAAGGGTTTAAAAAGGAGTATATGCTTCTTTGTGGAACTCAACCTAGAATGAGATTTACTGACCTAGTCGTTTTAACATGGACCCTGTCATTGTTCAATGAGGAGGCATACGGGGGATGTGTCGTGGTGTACGAACCCTTGCGTATGACAGACCTAACAGAGGGTACGTCGAGGAATTTATTTCTCAACCTTACTTGTTCGACTACGTTTGATATTAGTGATGATTACGAGAACAAATACAATTTCAAAACCGAGGACACTGTAACGGATTTAGATGGTTCCGTTAATTTGCATGTACGTATAACGTCACGGAATGACGTCATAGCAGTTGTTAAAGATGCTGATTCGATCGTTCTGTCTGATACAGAACCTTCAGCGAATGTCACCGTTGTTGGACGACGACTGGGTAGGACCACCTTGAATATAGAACGCATCGGAGACACCATAAAACATGAAAACATATCCTTACCGAGCAGTTACACTGTTTTGGTGGTTCGCAAACGAGGTGCTATTGATATCATATTCGCAGTCGTTCTTGGAACGATGATTTTGGTTCAAAACTTTGGTTTCGGTTGCAAGATCCAACTAAATGCCATCAAGGAGATTTTAAGGCGTCCAGTTGCGCCTGCTATAGGATTTTGCTGCCAGTTTTTGTGCATGGCACCGGTAATGAAACTATTTTTAATTGTAGCTTCAGAAATTCACCCTGTTGAATTTTATCGGCCTATACTAGTACTCGTACAGTTTGCCTGTGGTGTTTTGGATCATTCACAATTGCTCAGTTTATATACATTTCATCGCTTTATTTGATAAATACGAGAAAACACAATAATTAATTGTCCCTCCTACCTCCATTTTAACTATATCATGAGTAAACCAAACTGGCAATATCCGAAATAGAAGTAACATAGGTCAACATATTAATATGGGACAATTTTGTGGAGGGTGTTTTACAAACGCATGTTCTTGTATTTCTAGTTATCTGTTGGTATATCTCAACTGCTCAGACTTGACAACGTGATGAGTATTGGACTACTTGCTATAGGAAGTAGTGCCGGTGGCGGAGCAAGCAATATTTTCGCCTTTTTACTCGATGCCGACCTTGACCTTAGCATAGCCATGACATTTATAAGTACAGTTGGAGCGCTTGGTAAGTTTCATTATGCATGGTTTACCTTTTGAAACAATTAAATACCTATTGGAATTGAAAGCAGGTCGTAAGCCTAGATCAATATTCTTGCTATGGTATCCAAGACGATAGTCTGTGTAAGTAAAAGTGTTCCTCGACATTTACATTAAGCAAGGACTTGCATTAAGTAAGCTAGCTTTCGATATGATTTATGCATGCATCCTTTTTTACATGCAGGTATACATACTGGTATCATGTAGGTATACTGACAATCCGTTTCACTATTTCACAATGTATTGCTTTATGTAATACCAGTGTATAATGCATCCCATTGTTAAGCAAGGGAAGACTATGGTATCAACTATCAATAGATAGTCTGCAGGCCCGTAGCCAGGATTTGCCAAGGGGGGTTCATTTTTCAAAAATTTCCAGGGGGGGTTCACATTTGACAATTTTGGCTCAAATATGGACAAAATCACTTGACAAGTGCTCAAAATGGTGAAAACTGCATGATTTTGAAAGAATTTTTGGCCAGGGGGGGGTTCGCCCGAACCCTGCGAACCCCCCCTGGCTACGGGCGTGGTCTGAATCAGACCGGATAAGGAGTTACATTTAAACAAACATTCTTTCTTACTAATTACTATTTTGTGATCTAGGTATGACACCATTTTGGATGTGGGTGTTCAGCAGACTCTACGTCGCAGACGTCCGTGTCCATATTCCCATCGTCAACGTACTCGCATCGGTAGCTGTTGTAGTACTCCCCGTTGCCGTTGGAGTGATCGTCAATCACTTCAAGCCAAATGTTGGCGCAATTATTGTAAAACTTGTTCGTCCATGGATCGCTCTGATCGCCATTGCTTTCGCAACACTAGTGCCACTCGCCTTTCACTACATTTTCACTCTCGTCACTTGGCAAATCTTTCTGGCTTGTTTCCTAACCCCGGTACTAGGTAGTATTATCGGGGCGACAGTCGCGGCCATATTTAAGCAAGAGCTACCAAAGATCACGACAATATCTTTAGAGACGGGCATGCAGAATCTTCAGTTGGCACTAGTGATGATCGGGATCAGCTTATCACAACCTGAATCCGACATGGCGACAACAATGCCAATGATGTACACTTTGGTAGGAATCATACCGTGGGTGATAATAGGTGCTGTCAAAATCGTTTGGAACTGTGTCAGGAAGAGACTGTTGCTTAAAGGAGACGCTTACGATCTTGATGCAATGGTTAAACAGGATATAGAATATATCAAAAATAAATCTAAAGATGATTCTCTCGGTACTGTTATTCCAGGCGAATATTTACATACAAGATAACTTTGTTTCTTTTTAAACTAGCAAGACGTAGATTTGACAAGTATATAAATACCTAAGTCAGTATTTTTTATTTGTAATTACAAAGATGGCACTCGAGCCGATATACAATATATTATAATTATATAGAACACGAACTTAATAAATCTTATTTAAATATTGTATTCATTTATACATTGCATCATCAATTATCATCTGGTAATGTAGCTGATATACACAGTGTACACCATATGTATTGTTTTATTCACATAAAAGCTTCAAAACATATAAATTACTAGTATTGGTTGGGTTTTTGCAAGCCTCGAGTTAAACCATTTATTCAATTTGTTCAATAAACAAAGATGTCGTTTTACCTAATCAATTAATACTATTATTGGTAATATCACAAACTCCTCATGTAAATTATTCTCTTTGAACAAAATCCGAGTCATAGCAATGCGAACACATTTTACAATTAAACAACCAAACTTGAATGTGGATAATAATGTGGGAAATTGAAAATATACCCTACTCTATTCTCCAACTGGCAGAGTTATGCAAGCTATGATTTACACAGGTTTTGCTTAGGCTATTTGTACAATCTTATTTACAACATATTTTTCTAATTTAGAACATCAAAATTTTAAACTTTCTAACTTTCTTGTATCAGAAGAAAATAAATTAATATATATTTCTAATTTTTTTATTAAAATCAATGTAACATATTTACAGGTTGTAGTGGCTATGACCCCAAAGAGGGAGTATTAGGTGCCACATAATGGTATTTACAATGATTTGTGAAATATTAATTGTCCTATAATTACGAAAAATATCATTTTCACATCATTTATAAATTGATAAAGTATAATGCTTTAACAATTTTGTTAATCCTTAGAATCCTTGACATACTGATAATTGGTGCATTTGTATACTAAAATGTAGCTTGATAAGAGTTTAGTTATGAGCTTTATATATGTCACGCGCGAGTACGAGTATGACGAGTCCTCTAAACGCAAAGTTTCGTATTTCTTACTAACAACTAGAAACCAGCACTTCCGAGTAGCAATTAATCCCACGAAGTTTTGATAAATGGCAACCTGCTGGCGACCATCTTATTCTGAACATATTTCTTTTGTCCACGGGTATCAGCATTTAAAATTTGAACCAAACAAACAAATCCATCGACTGGTATTAGATACTATATATATATATATATAGACTGTCAAAAAACAACGGCAACCCCCCCCCCCCTCTACAGCAAAAAGTACCTATGCCCTAGGCTAGGGAGACGTACAGTGGCAATTTATTGAGAAACTACAAACTAGATCTTTTTATCTTTTTGCCGCGCTGATGTGTTATTTCGTTCAGTGCAAAAGTAACGCGAGATTTAGAACAAAATCTCGAACATCTCTAGAAAGCAATTTATGTTACATCAAGGTGTGTGATCGGTACCTGTACATCAAGGTGTGTGATCGGCACATCATGGTTTGTGAAGGGAAAACGTTTGTGCGAGTTGCATAAGCATTTGTTCGACTTGTGTACCCTGTTCGATGTCATTTTTAAACAATGTATACACAAATACGCATGTACAAGTGTGATTTTACAAACATAAAGTGTGCAAACTCGAACAAACCGTGTATGAAATCACACGGATTGTGTATGCATTCTGCTAAACGCTATTCTATGTGTTCGAGATATAAATATAAGATGTCCAATTTTGATACAGTTTTAACACCATAGTGTTTTACTTCTTCATATTTGTGCAACAAGGCGGTCTCCAGTAATTTATATCCAATGCAAAATGAATGTTTACTACTCGGCGATATGAATTCCGAAGACAAGACATGGCGATGTCATTTGTAAAGGGAAATGGCTATGTGTACATTTGCATTGCACTGACGTGTCGCAAAAAGGTGGCGCATTTGTTTTTAAGGGTATCGCGTGAATGTAACTTTGATTCCCCGGATTATAAGATAATATTCTAATTAAAGTTATATATCATTTGAAAGCTGTTTCGATGAAGATTTTAGATCAACTACACTCCGTTCACATTTTTTGCGCGTTCGTTTTTAACATCTGGCAAATATCCCATGTTGACACGTTACATTTTGAATTATTTTTCGTCTTTAAACGCTCATAACTCAAACAATATATGACTATTATACTTATTTTTCGTCTTGATAAAGGTAGATGGAAGTTTTATTTCAAAGGATGAATTTTAGTAAGCGTCCCATATTGTGACGTCATAGAGTCTGAAAAATAGAATCTGTTGACAGCGACCTTTTTTGCTCATTTTTTGGTACCTTCAACTTTTCAGGTGTACATTAAACAAATAATACGAGATCAATTTTTAATAAATCATACATGATTATTTTGCTCCTAAACTGTAGCTTATTAATAAATAGTTGATTTTGTTCAGAAAAGTATGTGTTTTCTGTTGTATGTGGAAAAGTGGAGGACGAAAGGTTTTCAAAATTCATTAAAATAGGGCTAATTTACGCCATTTGCCTATTTTCAAGCACAGCAACACGTATATTTATTTCACCTAAAATATCAATTGATTCGTGTTTTATGATGCTCCTAGCCCATTAACAATATATATATATGATATCAGAGTTATTCGTCTAAAATGTTTTGAGATATAGAGGTAAATGTGGAGGACGAAAGGATTTTCATGTGTGTACATTTTTCTCAAAAACGTCACATTCTATCATGTTAAAAGTGCGAGGATATTTTGGATTACGCCACAAAATGTGTAACAATGCGTGCACGAGCTTTTTGCGACACGTCACTCAGCTGCTACATGACTATACATATCACTGCTAATCAATTTGACAACGTAGTTTCTATATTATGTAAAACTGAGTAAATAGGTGTCAGCACTCGTTTGATTTTGGCCAGGTTGCAATAGGTGCCAATGGTTAAAATTTGCAATAGTCACTCGATTATATGATTTATCAATATTGTTGGTTGAATTTGTCAAAAGCTCGAATGACATAATATGAGATTACCCTGTTAATGTGATTAATCATGAAAATTTTGTTTTTTGAACGAATAAATTGAATAAATTAAAAGAATTCTAAAATTGAATAAAGGGAGAACTGGCCAACACTTCTTTTAGAAACGTTCACAAAGTCATTGAAAATCAGAGGTTGTTAACATGACAGATGTAGTCAAAGGTTGTTAACATGACAGATGTAGTCAAAGGTTGTTAACATGACAGATGAAGTCAGAGGTTGTGAACATGTAAGATGTAGTCAAAGGTTGTTAGCATGTCAGATGTTGTCAAAGGTTGTTAGCATGACAGATGTAGTCAGAGGTTGTCAACATGTCAGATGTAGTCAGAGGTTGTTAACATGACAGATGTAGTCAGAGGTTGTCAACTTGACAGATGTAGTCAGAGGTTGCTAACATGACAGATGTAGTCAGAGGTTGTTAACTTGACAGATGTAGTCAGAGGTTGCTAAAGTGACAGATGTAGTCAGAGGTTGTCAACTTGACAGATGTAGTCAGAGGTTGTTAGCATGACAGTTGTAGTCAGAGGTTGTTAACATGACAGATGTAGTCAGAGGTTGTCAACTTGACAGATGTAGTCAGAGGTTGCTAACATGACAGATGTAGTCAGAGGTTGTTAACTTGACAGATGTAGTCAGAGGTTGCTAAAGTGACAGATGTAGTCAGAGGTTGTCAACTTGACAGATGTAGTCAGAGGTTGTTAGCATGACAGATGTAGTCAGAGGTTGTTAACATGACAGATGTAGTCAGAGGTTGTCAACTTGACAGATGTAGTCAGAGGTTGCTAACATGACAGATGTAGTCAGAGGTTGTCAACTTGACAGATGTAGTCAGAGGTTGTTAGCATGACAGATGTAGTCAGAGGTTGTCAACTTGACAGATGTAGTCAGAGGTTGTTAACTTGACAAATGTAGTCAGAGGTTGTCAACATGGAAGATCCAGGTATTGTTAACATGGCAGATGTAGTCAGAGGTTGTGAACATGACAGATGTAGTTAGAGGTTGTCAACATGGAAGATCCAGGTATTGTTAACATGGCAGATGTAGTCAGAGGTTGTGAACATGACAGATGTAGTTAGAGGTTGTCAACATGGAAGATCCAGGTATTGTTAACATGGCAGATGTAGTCAGAGGTTTTGAACATGTCAGATGTAGTCAGAGGTTGTCAACATGGAAGATCCAGGTATTGTTAACATGGCAGATGTAGTCAGAGGTTTTGAACATGTCAGATGTAGTCAGAGGTTGTCAACATGGAAGATTCAGGTATTGTTAACATGGCAGATGTAGTCAGAGGTTGTGAACATGTCAGATGTAGTTAGAGGTTGTCAACATGGAAAATCCAGGTATTGTTAACATGGCAGATGTAGTCAGAGGTTTTGAACATGTCAGATGTAGTCAGAGGTTGTCAACATGGAAGATCCAGGTATTGTTAACATGGCAGATGTAGTCAGAGGTTGTGAACATGTCAGATGTAGTCAGAGGTTGTCAACATGGAAAATCCAGGTATTGTTAACATGTCAGATATAGTCAGAGGTTGTGAACATGACAGATGTAGTTAGAGGTTGTCAACATGGAAGATCCAGGTATTGTTAACATGGCAGATGTAGTCAGAGGTTGTGAACATGACAGATGTAGTTAGAGGTTGTCAACATGGAAGATCCAGGTATTGTTAACATGGCAGATGTAGTCAGAGGTTTTGAACATGTCAGATGTAGTCAGAGGTTGTTAACATGACAAATGTAGTCAGAGGTTGTGAACATGACAGATGTAGACAGAGGTTGTCAACATGTCTGCCCGGGATAGAAAAGTCTTGATTCGTTGGCTGAGGGTAAGTTTTTCTCCTGAGTGAATGTGCAACAAAGTTAAACCAATCAGATTATTTGGTTCTCATCCTCAGCTTAGGAACAGCTTAATGCAGGTCGTAGTTTTATGAGACTAATGCAGTGCACTTTAGGGGAGGTCATTTTCGATTCTTTTCGATGTAATTAGGATTAGTTGTGTACTGGCGAACAATGAGCTTATGTTAGAAGTTGGGCCATGGAAGATCTGATAAATCTTTAGTTTTAGCATTAATCAATCTATGACAGTGTTTAAGCAAGGTTTATTAACATTTTTTATTTACTGTATTCTATGTGTACAAGATAATGAATTTCCATTAAGGTATGGCTATTTGTACATACTTACCATAATCCTATGTATACAAGGTGGTGGTCCAAAAATGGGACACTCATATTTCAAAGATAAATGTTAATTTACTTGTTGAAAACATGTCATATTATATACCAGAGGATAGAACATTTTTGATTTGGTATATCATAAGCTCAAACTTAATATAATGTCTGTCAACAAGCGTCCATAATATAAATGACGTCATTTTCAAAACTTGCTAAAACCAAGTTTTATTGTCAACCTTATTTACATAAACAGACATTCAATATGTCAACCATTCTGAACAATTATAGCCCACAATTTTGGTCTTACCTGATCAATAGCATCAATAATATGCAATAATATGATCAATATGCATCAATTCATAATACCCATCACAAAAGCTTTGTTTAAAAACATATAGTTAACCAATATCTATTAGTCGTGTTATCAGTTGCATCTTACTCCATTTGTTCAAGTATTAATTGTTCTGAAATATTACCAACATTTGTAAATACAACTATGTGGTTTTAACAAATTGTTACACTGGTCTCCACCTAGTTATAGAGACGAGAAGGAAATTTTCATTTTCATCATTTGCACTAAGGAGGTCAATTTATATCCAAATATTTACATTTATGTAATAGTAGCATCCGGTTACTGAATAGCGAATTAGTCACGAGCGTAGCCAGCTTTGAGTCAGGGGATGGGACCCCCCAAAAATTAGGTTTTCAGTTAGGGGTGCGATTTTGCCATAAACAAGCGATAAAATAAGATTTCTTTTGAATTTTACAAAAATTGAGGCAACTTCCTTCAAAATTGAGCTAGAAGTTTCAAATAAAAAGTATTTTAAAGCTATTTTCTTCTGATTTCCCATGGTTTTGTTTTTCTTGGTTATGGGGGTTTATGCGAGTATCCAAGGGCTCGGGTAATCGAGTCAGAATTCCTCACTTCAGCAACCACATAGCACCCAAGACGTTATTAAATTCCCAAGATAACGTCCTGGTTGCTAAAGTATTTTCTCACTCGATTATTGGAGCTGATGGGTATATTTGTTCGTGAATGATTAGTTTTTCAGTAATCGGATGTTACTATTAACATATAGGTAAAATATTTGAATACAAATCGACAACTTTCTTGGGGAGAAAAGGAAAACTCGGCCGCCGGAAGTTCTTCCACCTCTTTATAACAGGGTGGGGACCAGTGAGTTTGGTGAATTTAGTTATGAACATTTTTAACAGTGTATCCATGCATAAGCAGGGGCTTGGTCAATTCAAACATCATCAGTCGATTCATTTCAGACCACCGAGATTAGCAAGGCCGATCTTGTCGTGGTTGTGGTCAGCATCATGCAAAACAGACTTGTTGTCACTTAGTTCAGTCTTCTCGGCAGTAAGAGCAACTTCAGGCATGTTGACCGAGTTATCCGCACCCAATTCTGGCATTTGGCCTTCTCCCGCGACGTTGTCCAAGAAACCAAATGCTGCACCGATTGGGGAAAAGAACTTCATGGAAAGTGGATCTCCTCCCTTTGCAATGACAATGATCTAAAATAAAGGTATTAAAACCGGTAGAATAATTCCAAAATACTAATGCATTTTCAGGTTATATCATTGCATCGTTGTACGTCGATTCAAAATGGAAACATAGTTTTATTCTTTCTAAATGTTTTTTAAACAACGGCCTTTCATGATACAATGTGGTTAAAAAATTGAAACCCTGCATTTTCATCTTATCCTTGTCATTTTAAATAATTAATCCCTAATATTTTACACATTTGTACTGTGCAACATTCAGTTTCCTACCAGCTAACCATATTTCATGACCATCAGATTGATAGTCACAATGATACAACACTTTGAACAAGATACCCCACTGTGACCACCATCGCGCTATTGGCAAATCTGAACAGGTTGTTAATGATCTGACTACATTTTTCAGCAGGTATGGCCCGAATGACATGAATTATCTCCTTTTGAAGGCTGCAGTTGTTCTGTGATTTTTCTCATACACTCTTTGGTGTATCATCACAGGTTGAAATTAGGTAGGGACATTTTGGATGATGGGTGAAGGTTTGACGAAAGTGCAATATTTTCCACTGGAGCATGTTGTTTAAAGTGCTTTAACGTTATGACTATCAATTTGATGGTCATAAAATATTGTAGGTCGGTAGAAGATTGAAAGATGTACCAATGTGCTAAAAATCAGGAATTAATTTCCTAAAATGACAAAGATATGAGGAAAATGGCGACAGGGTTTCCGTTTTTAACATCCTGAATTTAACTTTCATTAGAAATGACAGTTAATTTAGTAATTATAGTCTATTATACATAATACATAAACGTGTATATGTCTCCGCTGCATCATTTTTCTTTATAAATTATGTAGAATCTATACAATTTTGAACGGCATTATGCTACCTTTGAGATATAAATCAGTAGAGTGGTCAGAATTGTTGTGAATAATATCAGACATCCAGTTATGGCGAACAAGGCATTCGGTTCAGTTGGGATCAAGAACGAGATGATAGCCATTACAATGCTGGACAAAATACTCATAAAGACAGCTAACGTAAAACCGGAAAAGTGAGAAAATCCTTTCTTCATTGACATATACCTTGAAAATAAAATTTAATTATAATTTTATATGTCGATGTAGCTTTATTCAAATGGGGACAAAAACTAAATTACCTCAAAATTTCAAAAATTCAAGAGATATATTTTACCAACTATATATATCACTTACAGTGCTGGCCAAACTATGAATCCACCCAGCAATAACACAATGCCCTTGTAGCATAGTGTGGCAATTAGAAAGTAGTTCTTGTATGTAGATTCACATTCAATCATTATGGTTATCGTCCTTATCGAAGTATTATCGTCAAGCTATGGAGAAATGCAATATATACATGTATGAATGCCTTTTTAACATAGTGTGGCAATCAGAAAGTAGTTCTTGTATGTAGATTCACATTCAATCATTATAGTTATTGTCCTTATCGAAGTATAATCGTCAGGCTATAGAGAAACGCAGCATCTTCAAATATTTAATTCATATACATAATAAGTTATTGACCGATTTGAAGTTCAATACAGGATATAATCTGCTCGAAAAAGTGTGTATTGACACGACCCGAATCTCGAAGTAGAGCAGAATATATCCTACATTGCGATCTTAGGCCAATACATTTTACTCAGGAGATAAACGCTAGGAAATATTCTGTAGTCTCTGAAACTAGCAAAACAGATTGGTAAAGCAAAATGACTGATTAATCAAAGGGCTTCGTTCTACAGATCATACGATAATATTAAATATTAACCATACCTTAATGAAGGCAAACTTGTTCCAGGATAGTGTATTTCTCTGGTTAAGAGAACCCATTGATAATCAAATACATGCTGCCTGTATTTGAAATGAAAAGGAAGTACGCCACTACAAATGTGTCATATATTGATAAGGAACATCCGCAATGAGTTATAAAAATACCAACCGCTGCAAAATATAAACATTATTCTTACGGTTGAACTCAATTCTGTTGTGATTGGATGCAACGGATCAATGCCAAACCAAACAGCAATTATAACGACATCAGTGACAACCAGCAGGGAAATCATGATAACCAAGCGTCCTTCCTTGATGGACTCCTAAAATTATAAACATGTACCCTCTGTAAAGAAAAAAGTGCATTGTGTTTTATAAATCGTATTTTTCTTATTTCTTATCATAATGTATGTATACTTTGGCCGAACAGAGAAAATTTAAGAGAATTTCTTAAATATGGTAACAAGTTAGAAAGGATTGAATATATGTTACAATAATTCGGAAATTGTAAGATAATTATAACCATTAATCCTTTTCAATGACCCATAAATATGTTATACATCCTATACACTACACTGCATATCAAAATTTATGTCAGATGTGAAATCTAAATGTGTTTATTAAGCAAAATGGTAACATCCTATCTCTAATTTCACTGCTATTTGAGACGTAAAATTGTCTAAAAAACATATTTTAGGCGGGTTTTGGCACTTCCATAATTTTTTGTAAGTGTGTCAGTGTTAATTTCAAATCTGTAATGACCACTTTGGGCTGAGCTTTACAATGGTATGAAGAATATAATATAGAGAAAAATGAACTATACTGTTTAATAGCAAATTGTAATTTATGACGTAATTTTATGGTAAAAGTCACATTAAGCCCGGTATACACCAATGGGGCACGCTAGGACCTCCATAGACTTAACATTGCGTGGGACCTCGTGGGACCTTTTGGGATTTTGCCTCATGAAGTCCGTGGGACTCCATGGGACTCCGTCGGATTTTGCCCCATCTTGCCCCATCGAGTCCCATGAGGTCCCATGAAGTCCCACGTGGGACTCGGTGGGACTCGATGGGGCAAGATGGGGCAAAATCCCACGAAGTCCCATGGAGTCCCATCGAGAATGAACATGTTCATTCTTTTAATGGGGCATCGTGGGATTTTCGATCATATGACGTGTTGTGTGAAGCCCGGCATACACCAATGGGGCACGGTGGGATTTGATGGGACTCCATGGGGCTTGATGGGACTCCATGGGGCACGATGGGGCAAAGTCATCAAGGTCCCATGGGACTTCGTGGGATTCGATGGGGCAAATTGGGATTCGATGGGGCAAGATGGTACTCGATGGGGCAAGTGGGATTTTGCCCCATTAATGTATACCGGGCTTTAGCGAGTTTGTGAGACAATGTATTTAACAATTGCTAAGTTTTTTTTAATTTTTATCAATGCATTTCAAATGTCCACTAGTTATTCACAATATTTACCTGATGGGCCTCCAAGAGTTTACTTATATAATACATAATTTTGAAAATGCTATGACTGATAGAGGACCATGTACCTATTCTTTACAGAGGGTAAGCGAACGTGCCAACAGACAGCACCAAAAAAGTTTTAAAAAACAGCAAGAAAAGTGTAAAGCTTCATCAGTATAAGGACACGTAACCCCATTTATCCGAATCATAATCGAACTTGAGAAGAAACAATGTCTAACCCCCCCCCCCCCACCATTTAAGTTTCAATATCACATTGCAAGACAATCACAACAAGGGGCAATTTATCAACATTGAATCCATTACAATACATGTTAAAGAAAAATTTATAATTGATAGCTTATACTAAAAACATCAACAAAAATAAACATGTAGATACTATAGAATGTACACAATAGCAGCCAGTATCAAACTGATGTGGGACGGACAAAATCTTATTTCTCCCAGTCCATACACATATAAAAGGGTCCACAATCATCAGTAAAGCAATGCCATTATCAATAAAAATACAATGTTTCAAAATGATCATCTTGAGATTACAATGGCTGGATTCGATCTCTATTTCTTAACCATCAATGTCATAGCCGAAATGCATGATCCAAGACTGAGGTACACCTCAAAAGCTGTCCAGTGGAAAAATGAGTTCAGTGCCAATTTCTTAAACAATTCCTACATCATTCAACATCACAAGTAGTTAACTTGAAACTTCGAAACTAATGACTTCTATTTTTCAGGAAAACCCAGAAAATATAATATTAAAAAATATAACCTATATTAAAAAATAACAAAATGCTGATTCGAATGTCTTTAAGTTTTTACAAAATATTGTACAGGTCAAAGAAAATAGGAATATAATATCTAAAATATAAATGTGTTTATTATCTAATCCGGGACTTGCATCAATATTGATATCCCTGGGATGTCATTATGATTAATAAAAGTTAGGAGTGTGTATGTGATATTCTGTTATTTGCATTTGGGATCTAATTAAAGTATAAAATGGCAGAACTATTGGAATGAAAAACAGTTTGGGAAAATCTATAATTAAAATTCTAAACACCATTTTCACTAGTATACTTACCGTTCCTTGCTGGCTAAATAACTTATACACGCCCCATAATTTAACAGCCATTCCTCCATAAAAGAACGTGAATCCAAAAATGAGAAGTCCAGCAGAAACCTAAAATATGAATATTGACGTGTTACATACTTCACCAAATTGTGGCCAAAGAAGGTGAGCAATTACTAATCCGTTTAATTATTGGCATTACTGCATGTAACTGATGTATAAAAACATATTATTGAAATACCATTAAAGCTATGAAACCTTTTTGATCTTTTTAAGTATAATCGGTTTTTGCCATGACAATAAATCAATGATATATGTGAAATGTGAAGTGATATAATTCTTTCATGATTTGATTGTTACAACTGATTGTTAAATGATTAAAAAAATAAAGTTCCTGTCGATTCTTTCAATTCAGGGTTGTCCAAAAACAATACCCAAGTTAATAGATGAATATCACAGAACATACCCTCTGTAAAGAAAAACAGTTGCACGGTCCTTTATCAATCATACCTTTTTTCATTGTTATTATACCAAACATTCAGAGATATAATGTATGTCCACTTTGGCCAAATGTAGGATTTTCGTAGATAGGATTGAAAAGAACAAGTCACAACATCATGAGTGTGACTATTTACTATAAATTGACGTAATAAATATGTAAAATCCAATACCTAACAATGTGCCAAAAGAAGGAGATCCTGTGGGAATGAAATTGTGACGTTAAGAAGGCAACGCCATTTTAAATAGTTTTCAATCTCATTATACTTCGGATAATCAATTGTTACGATAAGGCAGATAACAAAATGAAAGTCTGATTAATAGAACCATCTTTTGATTAAACTTGAGGACTTATACTCTACAAATTCAGAGGTCTCTTCTCAGTTCGAAATTAGGGGTAGGGATGATATTTATAACAATTATCTTGAAATAAGATAATTATAACCCTAAGTCTTCCTATATCACCCATAATATGTGATATATCCTTAACTTAGCTTATGCATACGACAATTCATGACGGGTGATAATTTAGATGTGTTTATGGAGTAAAATGGTTAAATCCCATCTATAATTCCACTACTATTTACGGGGTATTTGACATTTTGTCAAATGTGTTAATGTTTTTTTTCAAACCTCTCAGTCATGAACAGTTTACAATGGAATGAAAAAGTTAACATCATAACCTTCCCATAGAGGAAAATGTATTAAAGTGTATAATCAAAATCGCAAATTGTAATTTATGACGTCATTTAAAGAAAAAACGTCACATGAGTGAGTTTTTGAGACACTTTTTTAACCATTTCTAACTTTATTATATTTTCATTTAATTTCCTCCAGTTATTTACAACATTTGACTCATAGAGTTTAGTAAAATTATGCAGAATATTTAAAATGTTGATTTGACCAAGCACCTTTCACTGGCAGATCTGGGGGACACCCCCCCCCTCCCCTGGGTGGGCCAAGAAAAAAAATTGGGCCAAAAAGCCTTAAGGCCCCAAAAAGTGTGCCGTTTTGGTCAAAAATGGGCCTTCTAAGGCCTTACTTTTTCATTTTAGGCCAAATTTTGAAGAAAATGGGCCTCAAAATTTGGGCCCATTTTTGGGTTTATGCGGACGTTTTTTTTATTAGACCAGAATTTTGGGCTCCCCTTGTTGGTTCCCAGATCCTCCCCTGCCTTTTTTCTTCTTAGAGGGTATGTCAAATCATGCCATGTACATCATCTAAATTATTAGCAATATGACACCATCCTATTGAAAATCCTGTACTTAACACCAGGGGTATCATGGGCGACAAAAAGATTATTCACTGTGGATTTCCAAATTATGGAAACGGAGAGGAATTTTATTTTAGCACCTTCAAAATTAGACTAGGTACAGTTCTTCAAGTTGAGTGCAATATTCCCTATTAAAACATGACTGTGCTCTTATTAAATTGTTTTATTTATTTATACAGAGAATGCATTAAAACAAGTGCACATGTGCTTGTGGCTGGGCATCAGCATTATCAGCCACGTTATATGATGAAAATCATATAACAGTATTCAATCAGACATTAAAATAGGGGTTGTAATTGTGGAGGGTTACAGTGGTTTGGGTAACCTAGTCATTTTTACATCGTTCAAAAAACATGGCACTACACATACATTCGAGGATATTCAAGTTTTCACCTTTAGGTACTATTTTATCACCAATGAGGATAAGGGAGAGTTTGTCTCGTTGTGATCTATATTTAGTAGAATATTTTTTGTTCATAATTTTAATTCATTTTCAAATTTTGTCCAAAATGTTGAACTTAGATTACAATGACAAATTACGTGATTGGTTTGTTTCACCATCCATTCCACACTGACAGATGTGGGAGTTTACATTAGTGAAATTATGAGCGTAGAGGCGAGCCTTAAAATTGACCATGAGATCACAACGCACTCTATTGAAAATTATTACTGTTTTCTTGAAACGGAGAGGAGAGTTCTGATGACTTTGTAACATCGTCATTAAATAGATCTATTTTAAGCCTGGATTTGAATATACTAAAGGTAGGCTAATTTCTTATTTCAGGTGAAAGCTTATTCCATCCATTAAGTGTTTTTGATATGCAAGATCTATTAGAATATGAGGATTTATTTGAAATTGTGTAGCTCAGCATGATTTCTTTTGAGAGGTTCAAATATGTTAAGAACATACGAGGGCAGCATATTATTATTTGCCCTATACATAAAAGTACTTCTGTGATATTAACGTATCTTTGTTAATGTTGGCAAATCTAAATTATTCAACACTTTAATTGTCGAAATCCCATGTAGAGCACCTGAACAAATGCAAGCGGCTTTACAGTAAAGTCGATCTAATAACTGTATTTTGTTGTGTTTGCAATATAAAATATCACCATAGTCAAAAATTGGCAGGATAAAAGATTGAAAGATTGTTTCGAGATGTTTTCCATTTATTTTCTGACAGAGCGCTTTTAGAGGTTTCATACGTTTGTCTATTTTTGCGCCAAGTTCAGTTCTGTCAAAAGTGAGATTTCTGTCTAGGATTAAGTTGGTATGGCTGTTTACTCTTGGTATAATCTCATATCCAAGAGAAAGATCTATGGTCAAAGTTTCACGTTTCTTTGGATTGGAAAAGGTCAACTTTTTGCTTTCAGTAACTTTAAAATTTCGATTCCACACTTCTGACCATTGAAAAATATGGTTGAGATCCTCCTGTAGGGCATTGTTCATTTCAGTTGCTGTTTCAGCTGTAAAAGACTGGTAAACGAGGTATCATCTGCGTAAATAAAACATTTTGAATTAAAATTGTCAGGTAAATCATTGATATGGATAAAAAATAAGAGGAGCCCCAGGATAGAGCCTTGAGTGAATCCAGAATTGATATTACCCTTTTCAGATAAGTTTGACTCACGACCATCTAATACCACCTTCACTTGTCTGTTTAGTAAATATGATTTCATCAATTCCAGGATATTCCGGCCAAAACCATACATTTTCAATTTTCCCAATAGTAGCCCATCAGGCATCGAATCAAATTCAGCCGAAATATGAAGATATATCCCTCTTACATTAGCCCCGTTATTGAATTTCTCAACCAATCAGAATGCAACATGGCCAATAATGAACGTTCATTACTGCTCTATATATAAGCGACCGTGCTCGAATCTGTTTCCAGGAATCTATCGTACATGTTGTGTTGCACAATGACATGGCGAAAATAACAGCATCTTTAAACTTGAGTATTGTTTCTTTGGTCTACCCTGTACATTGCGTACCATACATATATCTTTAAGTAAAGGCTCTGGCTCTATACCAGTCTGTAGGTCAGCTATGTGAACCAACACATAGACGTCAAGTAGAATACATCCGAAAATAACCACACTGGTCATAATCGGCCATTCGTCTTTTATCATTCTAAAATATTAAATCAGTAAGGTGATGTGTGTTCAATTGCCAGGCTATTGCTGATCTTTTTTCTTTTTGTAATGCACTGTCGGAATTTTGATTTTTGTTTTTGATAATTTTTTTTTTTTTGTGACAAATAATGTACATTTAAATTTTAGCTATTAATACAACCATTCAATGATATAATGATTGCATTCATTGTCTAGGCTTATGGACTCATCCCCTTGAATTGAAACAACTTAATTTGAAAAAAACTAAAAATACGCTTCGCTATATTGTTTTAGAAAACACATCAGATATTTCTTTAGTTTTCGGTATCACATGCTCTGAAAGAAATGGAACATCTATCCGAACCTCATTGGAACAATATGACATATACACAACGTGTATAGGACTCTCAATATTAAAAAATCTTGTTAATAAAAAATAAAAGGTTTAATTCAGCTTTTATCTATTTTGAGTGTTTTTTTATTTTTCGCATACTTTGTTAAATGAATTTAAACTCCGCTTATTGTAACTGTACTATTGAGAGGTCGAAGCAAATGTTGTATATGTTATTTTGTTCAAAAAAGGTTCGAAAGGATCTTTTATTTCATTCTCAAGAATTGGTAAAAAAGGAACAAAATACAGTTGCACTAAAAAGCAAAAATTGTTCACAAAACAAGTGTTCCGGAACATATTTCTCCACTCGCGCACAGAGATCCGTAAACCACATCCCTGATCGAAAATGTTTAGTTTCCTTGTTTCACTAAGTTGACTGTTGACATCCTCCTGCATATTGGCATATAAATTGTAATCCCGAACTCCCGGATGTATAATGTACAAGTTGTTTGGGGATACGGATCTCTGTGCACGAGTGGAGAAATTGTTTCGGGAACAAGGAAATGGTGGTGCGCGATTAAAGATTTTGCGTTCACAATGTGAGAATCGTGGTTCGAGTGCAAGGAACTTAGTTGGCGCTGCAGAAGTGACATTCGAGTTGTTAGAAGTCTAGAAGGCATGTTTCCACCAACATGTGCCTGTTATGCTCAAATGCATAAATGGTGTATATCAACGCTAGTAGTATTCCTACACCAGCAAGAACAGGTAGCACAATAATTGGAGTTTTAACTTATACGTCAATGATTATACTAACACGTGTTTGTTGTGCACAACTGCATAAATGATGTATACACCAGGAAAAACAGATATTACTATAATTGGAGTCTAATTTATACGTCAATGATTATACTAACACGTGTTTGTTGTGCACAATCGCATAAATGATGTATATCAACGCTATTAGTATTCCTACACCAGAAAACAGAGAAAGTACAATAATCGCAGTCTTGCTGATACGTCTACGGACAACGTGTTCTTTTTCGGAGTCGGATGGCGCTGTACCACCTAAAAAGTAGAACATTTAAAGAAACAAAACCTTGACGAATGCAAGAAAAACAGAAAATAAATATTATTCATTTAGAGAAACCCTAAAGTAGAGTAATGGCAAGATATGTTACTACTGTATCATTGAAGTAGTTCTTTGGGGTGATTATGAACACCCATATATGAATATCCTCAGTATCTTTACACAAATACCAGTCTTAAACTGATGTATCATCAAGCCTTTCGAACGTATTGGGCAGGGTGACGATGCTGCTTATATTCTGTCGTTTTTAAACAAAAAAAGTATCATAGTTTCAAGACAAATGAAGGTGGAGTACAGGGGCGGATCTGGGAACCAACAAGAGGGGGCAAATTTCTGATTTGAGAAGAAACCAAAAAGTGGGCCCCTGCCCCCCCCCCCCCCAGATCCGCAAGTGGAGTACCTTTGTGATGTGTACCTTTTGACCTCCATATAACGGCAGGGTGTTATGTTGTAGTCAGGATGCTATCTTTCTTATCAAATAATCAATTTTAAACAATACTGAACAGCTGGATAACAATACTGACTAAATCACATTTGTACCCTGACTTCAATTTAACGACAGGGGACTGTGTTATGGTCAAATTGCTCTATATCTTATTGAAATAGCAATGGTTAATACACATTTGTACCTTTTCTTTCCTATCACAAAAAAACAATACTGAATGAAAAAAAACTAAAAGACAATGATGGCTCAATCATATGTGTACCTTTTGATTTTAATAGGACGGCAGGAGGTTGTGTCATAGTCAGGTTTCTTTCTTGTGTATCATAAAAACCAATTTCGAGCAACGTCCTATTTGCTGAAAGAATTCACAAACATTGCAAGAGGGAAACGCGAATGAGTCAAGTGAGTAACGCAAACCTCCCCCTATTGATAAAATTCATTGTTATATCTGTACAATTCACACAATGCCTATACAATAAACTTACAGTTCCATATACCAAAATAACAGTCCTTCTGTCTTGCCCCAGATGTTTTGTTATAAAAATAACGACCCTGAAATAGCAAATTTATTATACGTCATATAGTTCAGTCCTGAAAGACGGAAAAAACTAACATGAGGCCAATGCAACTGGGCACGTGACACGGTAACGGCAACATGTTTTTAGTGTTGACAATGTGGAAGAATCAATCACACTCTACTATACCTTACCTCAAGAAATGCATGATATACTCTGTTTGTCTTATTGTATTGTTGAGTATATTTTTGAAAGCACCTTATTAACATCTAACAGTCATCCGATAAACCATTAATAAAGAACTGACAAATAAAAACAAATAACTTAACCATTACTAATAACCCAAATGGATCCATGAACACCAAACACAAGTTACAGTAAAATGAATTAGCCAATAGCTAAGCAGTAAACGATTCACTCAGAAATATTAGACGGGCTTGTTATTTTTTGTCACTGATGCTGTTTCATTCTGGATTGAACATAAAGGACCGAGTGGATAAATGGCTGGAGATAAATTCTGTATTTCAATTTACTGATGTGGTATGATTTGTATATGCCTAGATTTCGGATTTTATACGAAATGAAATAAGTGGTAAAGACAGTTAAAAAAATGTTGTTTAAAACTTACCGACACTCCTTCAAAATCTACCTGAAGAAGGTTTTTGTAAAGTGAATCAAGTAATGGTTTCTTCTTGTTAGTACTATGCTTATAATTCTTGACTTCGTCCACTGTAAAATTCTTCAGAGTTTCATTAATCGCCAATCCTATTGCCCAAATATTGTCATAGATTGCAGAAAAATAAAGGCTTTTTGCAACCTGGATCCCCGGCTTGAGAATACGTTCCAAGTCTTTATATGTCTATAAAAGAGAGTCTATAAATTCAAAGGATTCAATTCCAACGCGTCAGAATGTTACGTGAATATAAATTGAGATTTAGAGAAATGTACATGAGATAACAATTATAAAGATCTACATGCTTTTTGATAGTTCATAACATCATGTTACCTATGTTACCTATTTATAGCAAAACATTGACTTTTGCACGTTAGTGATGCTGCGCCTTTTTCAATAGATCTCATTTCTTAGAGGCGTATCAGTTCAAAACAAATACTATACGACCTCAAATATTTTGCCAGTTGTAATTTTCTCTTGAAAAAGTAAAACTTCCAAATTTGTTGAACTTTCTTGCAGAAATCATCTACCCCCCCCCCCCTACATTCATTTTGTACGATCATCGGGCGTGTCGGTGTGGAATTTTACCGGGGCTCTGTTTTATTCAGATTGATCTGACTTTTGATTGAGTTTTATGTTCTGTTGAAGAACGCTAGTGATTGATTTAATTCAAATATACTCCTCAAAAAAAGTTAAGGACCAGTCTTTTTCCTCATAGGTTTACCTGTTAAACCCAATGTATCTTTAAAATATATTTTCTAAGCCCGAAAAGAAAGAAAACCTGATAATGTAAATGTACCTTGACTCTATTCTCTATATTTCAAGAAATTTTCAATTTAATCTCTTTATTACAATAGGTCAAAAAATGATGTCAAAGTTGAGGAATTTCAAAAAATGGCAGAACCAATGTTAACCAATTGGAAATGGTGGATTAGTGGAAAATCAGATATTTGGATATCTATTCGGTAAAACATTTATTAAAAATAATTTCTGATTAGACAATTGAATTGTTTTACTTTCGTGTGAGAATTACAGATAAAGAGTATCAACGTATTTTTGACAACTCATTTTGACCCCTGTGTTATTTCAATGAGAGGTTTATTGAGAAATGATTATTACTTTGTAGATTCAAAACGTTGTAAAACCTGGAGAAACAAATCAATTTTTTTAAGACAAGTTAGCAATTCCAATTGTCTATTTAAATTTCATTTTTGAAAGCAATTGAATATATGGATATTTTCCTAGATCTTATATGACTTTTAGCAACCCAACTACTTCCTTCTGGTTTACATGGGTTCTGCCATTTTTTAAATTCCTCAGATTTGACATAAATGTTTGACATATTGTAACGGAGAGATTAAATTGAAAATTATAGAAAATAGAGTCAAGGTACAAATCCATTGACATTATCAGTTTTTCTTTCTTTTCAGGCTTTGAAAATAAGAGTTCAAACATACACTGGGTTTAACATTTAAACCTATGAGGAAAAAGACTGGTCCTTAACTTTTTTGAGGAGTATATATACTTATAGGACATCATATTGATCTTATTCAACACGCATTCTGTCATAACAACGACGTGTATATCATTGGTTTAACATGCGCTGCAATGGACTGAAAATGTACTTTATTCAATTATAATTGCAAACCGTTTACCTCGTTCGTTGAAAAATGTCTGTGACCGGGATATATTCCAAAAATAGACGAAAGAAATTCGGAGCATATTATTGTTCCTTCGAGAACCTTCCAAGCTTGACTTGAGTTGCACCCGTGAATGGACTCATCTATGAGATCTAGCCTTGCGAAAGGGTTGTAGTAGGCAAATAACACGTGATGTCGTCCATAAAGTCCAAGTTCATGAAGCTAAATGCAATATGATTATCAATATTATATATTAAATACAGAACTGCAATATTAAAGATACCATGTTAAGTATGAAATGATTTTATGATTATCAATATTATATATTAAATACAGAACTGCAATATTAAAGATACCATGTTAAGTATGAAATGATTTTATGATTAGCAATATTATATATTAAATACAGAACTGCAATATTAAAGATACCATGTTAAGTATGAAATGATTTTATCATCTGAAATTTTAATTTACTTTTCTTTATCCATCTTTCATTAATAAATAAAACGATATCATTTACTCTTCATTAGACACGAATTGTGTGTAAAATAAAAACATATTATTTTATGACATGGAATTTATCAATGTATTTATTACCTTGCACAGCATCTTTCCAAAATCCCAAGTGTGAAGTACAAACGACACAATAATTCTAATCCCCTTTAATAAAAACAAATATGAATGTTATTAATTGTTAAAGCCAAGAGTGATTGCTTTCGCCATTTCTTTTCTTAATGTTTCTTTCCCTCCGCTTTTTCTTCTTTTTATTCTTTATTTCTACCCACACTTGTGAGCATAAAATAGTACATATACATACAATGATAATACAGTTTAGTTTAATTCACTACCACCAATAATCTTCATCAATTTACTTAATTGCACAGAATATTTAATATTTGACAACAAACTTTTAAATTTTAACATATTTGGTTGTCTAATGAAGTAGTTATCGAGAAGTATTTTTCTGTCATCTTCAAAAAGTTTACATTCTAAAATATAATGGTACTCATCTCCTAGTCTGCTACATTTGGTACACACTCTCTCTAACCTTCATATAAACCAGTTGATCATTAAATAGACGAGCTTAGTTTAAGTTACTTAGTGGTAAACTAGTAAATGTACCTTGGCTACTCGGAAATTGGGTCTAATTTTGTCTAGGTCAAAGGTCAAGAACTAGATGAAAGGATAGGTATCGATATGGAGAACTGAATTCAACAATGTTTTTCTCTTAAACCAATCATTGAAAACATTCTGTAAAAAACATGGTATTTTATGTAATGTTGACTAATTGACAACAATTTAATTCGAAAATTATTTAGAAATATTTTATATAACTGTTTTTGTTAACATTTTTTGTTTTTTAGTGCAATTGTTTTTGCTCCTTTCTACCAATTCTTGAGAATGAAATGAAATGTCTTTCCGAACCTTGTTGGAACAAAATAGAATATACAACATGTTTTTAGACCTCTCAATATAAAAGTTATGAAAAGGAATTTTTGGTTGATTTTAAAAAAGTATTCCAAAAATTAAAACAAAATCCCCCCAAAATAACAATTTCATTAACAAGTGTTTGGTGTGTTTTTTAAAACAATATAGATAAAAGTATGCATATCTATTTCAAATTATATTGTTACCATCAAGATCCGAAAAATTCAAATATATATATGAACGGTTATTTTTAAATGGTTTATTTGTGTTTATATTACAGGCTACAGGTGATTACATAAGGGTTTGGAGGCACCAGAACACCTACATGCTTTAAAATATATATATATAAGTAGTACCCTGGACAGGTTTGATGATGCAGTCGTGTTTTTACTCTATATTTCAAAAAAACAACCATTCTTATTGCAATTTTCATATTTTATTCCGGAGACAATTTCCAACATAAGAAAAAATTATGTTAACGAAATTCCTTATTTTATGATTTTAATAGGCTCTTTTTAAAAAAACGCCACTGTCATTAAAATACAGGTTTTTGCTTGAACAATTGAACTTTTAACGTAATTTCAAAGATTGTCAAGCTATTGAATTTTTTGGCGCTTAAAGTCTTTCCAGATGTATTTGATGCCATATTAATCATGGCTGATTATTGTTATTCATTTTTGTCATATTCAGTGATATTATTACGGTGCATTAGGCCAATGAATAACTTGTCACTCTGGGTCACGTTTCCTCTGATAACGCACCTTTTTTCGCCACTGGGGTTTTCCACCGCCGTCACTCAGCATGCAACCATGTGGCACGTAAATTGTACCAACCATGCTTTGAATATGTCAAACAATATAATGATAGAATGTGACACAGCTATATTAACATCTTTGAAGGATCTAATGCCGGAAATACTTGAAGTTAGACATTCGTAATGTTTTACCTCATTTTGGACAGTATTGAACAGTTCGACCTGGTTGAACTTGTGTCTGTTGACAAGAAGATTGACCTCCTCTATCTGGGCTTAATCTAGAGTACGCTTCACAAAATGATACCCAGAGCAACAAGTTTTTTATTGGTCTAATGCACTGTAATAATACTGAATATGACGAAAGTGAATAACAGTAATCAGCCATAATTAATTAATATGGCAACAAATATATCTGGAAAGACTTTAGGCGGACGAAAATCCAATAGCCAGGCAATATTTGAAATGACGTTATAAGTTCAATTGTTGAAGCAAATACCTGTATTTTATTGAAGCATTTTTGAAAAAGCCTGTCAAAATCATAAAATTAGAAATTTTGATGAAATATTTATTTTCTATGTTGGAAATTGTCTCTAAAATAAATCTTGAGAATTATAATAAGAATGGTTGTTCCATTGCTAATATAGAGTAAAAACACGACTGCATCATTCAACCTGTCCTGGGTGCTATATATTAGTTTGACCAATTTTCGTACATGTGATCGATTTTTACGATGTTCCTCTCACTTCCTCTATTGTATTTAGAATGTGGTATTGTCAAACATACTCGCTTAACAGTTTGGTTTAATATGCACAATATCATTCGTCTATTTAATCACACCCCTAACTTATGTGGTAGACTTTCGAATTCCAAGTTGGAGAAACATAAACCTTGAGAATCAAGTAAGAGCTTGGCTGTCAGGGTTCTATTTACATAGTTCATAAAAAGTGGATAATGTAGGCCGTATAAGATGATATCTCATCCATTAAACTCCTCAATCAATTTATGACAAAATAATAAAACTTGGACAAAGTATGATGTTCCGACTATTAAGTGGTTTATAAGGTTTTGGACAATAATAACATGCGAATCCAAACACTCAGAAATGCGAAGTATAAAGTATTATTAGAATTCACATGGTAAACTCTCACACTTGGCTGATCATAATTATTTTTAATAACATCCTTTTTACTCGGTATTTTATTAAGTTTTCAAGTCTCGAAACCTACTTACTCAGCTACCTAGTCAACTACTTATTCAGCTACCCTACTCAGCTTCTTATCCAGCTTCGATCTCGAGATTGATCTTAATTTAATTTAACTATATTAATGATACTTTCACAAGATGATATTCCACTAGTTCTCTGGGTTTCTTGGAATATCACTTGTGAAAGATACATGGGTATTTACCTCTATATAGCTAAATATTTGTTCATTATCAATAAATTAATCACGATATATTGAATCATAATTTTTGGGTTCATCTATTTATAATGGCTTCAGTATGAATGAAATGTCCTTTGGTCTTCTGGTCTTGGATTGTGATATTGATTCTTGAATGGTGGGGGAAAGGAGGTATTCACCCTGGACGAAGTGATAAGGTCAAAACAAGTGGCTCTGATTTAGGAAAAAACGATCTTCCTAAAAATAAACATGGCAGAGCAGGGGTGAGTTTATTTCTTTAAATTATACCCTTTCTTGGCCACCTGACATGTTCAAACTCGGTACATTGATCCAAGACATATCCACCTCTCTATATATAATATTGTAACGATTAAAGGGATAAGGTGCGTAAATGAAGTCTCACTTTAAATCTTCATAGTATTTCCAATGGATAAATAAGTACCTGATCTTTCATTTGACACCAAAAACAGCTCTAACAGACCACATCGGAATTGACACTAGATCATGAAAAAATATTTTTGATCTATCAATTTTTATATGTCAAGTTTTTAGCAATGCGATAGAAAAATGGCATTGTTGTTTGCATTAATTATCCATTCATTTTTGATAAGATTTTCAAGCATACGCCATCTTTTAATCCAAGAGTTATTTAAAACATACACTTTGTGAAAAGTGGTAATTCACTTTTTTCAATCTCTGAACTTCAAATGGTGTTTTTCTATGCAAGTAATTTTTTTTTCACATCAGTATTATCCCAAATAAAAGTTTTTATCATATTTGATTGACTGTGTGAGTGACAAGTCTCAAATAATATTTTGTCCCTTTTCCTTCAAAAATAGGCGCATTGCCTGTTTAATACTAAGAAACGAAATGAATACGAATTGAAATAATATATTTTTGTAAATAACCGCAATATTTTTTTTTGATTATTTTCGAAAAAATGGTAGATACTCTGTTTCAAATGCATTGATATTTGGCGATATGATAGTTTATGAACCAGGGAATGTCATATCACCATTATTTTTCTAATACAAGAAGTAATTTACGTCCCTGAGACGAGATTAAATTTATTTTCTGGAAAAAACGCGGCTCTGATTCCCACAGAATATATGGAAAATACGTGGAATGGATGTCTTGTTTACTTTCAGGTGTGTAGGCTTCCAATGCTACCATTGTGACGGGAAAACAAAACAATTTAATGCAATAATACAACACTTGATTTTAAAACATCCTGAAAATGAAATGAAAATCAGAAAAATTATTAATGTTAGTATTACTAATGTGTCATTACATTTTTGAGTTGACTTGCTTATTAGGTTAATATTGACAAAGCCAGATTTTGAAAAAAAATAGTTTAACTGTATTCTTGTTGTATTAGAAATTAATAAGATAATTTAAGAACATTTAATTATGATTGAAAAATTCAAATATTTTCAAAATTAGAGGGCAAAATGATTGTATCACTCTGTGCAGTGTGCATATGTACTAGATTGCTATTAGGAACAGATTGAATGCAAATGATATGCAACACTACAGTAGTACAATTCTTAGTGATATTTATAAAAGGCATAGCTATTAAGTTTTCATTATATTATTTGTATTTCCTATAAAGAAGTTGTTTTAATAACAACATGATTTAGTTTTGCAATATTCAAAATTTATTCTATCAATATTTTTCAAGCAACTGAATATTTTTCTCATAATTATGACGTCATTGACTAAAACCACACATATTAGTTAGTCAAAGTCTTAATTATGAAAACAATATTCAGTTGCTTGAAAAATATTTATAGAATAAATTGAAATATTGCAAAACTAAATCATTGTGTATTATAAATAATTAAAAAATGCAAGTACATTTTTATAAGCATAATACTACATACTGTTTAATGAGGTAATTTAATGTCTTTAGTAAGCATGCTTCAGAGTTATTTAATTTACTAATTGCAAGCCTTGTGACCAAAACATTGCTGAGCCACTAGGCTACATGTTAAAATGATTTTAAAGATGAGTTTTAAAATGTGAAATACTTATATTATGTTTGTTTGGGGCACTGTATATGAAATATATACTAGATAGCTCTACATGTTTGACATGTCATAGATAGCAAATTATTTTGTTACCTCTGTTTTTATTAATTTATACTAGGATGAAGAAAATCTAGATTTATACAAGTGATGATTGATGAAGTGAAATATATTTTTGATAATTCATAAATTGCAATTTAAGAAAATGGTATTCTTATATCAATACTTTGTCATGATTCTGGTCATACAATTTTGTAATGCATACCTAATGCATACCTGACCTTATTTTTATAATAACTGTTAGTCATAACTATTTGAGTAACAATTTTAATCATATTTTGGAATAATTATTATAGGTAATTATATGATTATTAAAGGTAATTACATTAATATTATAGGTAATTATCAACACAAAAGTGCAAATATCAACACTGTACTGTAGTTATTTGTTTTCTTAATTGTATAGTTCTTTACACAGATAAAGATGATAGAATAAAGTTTATTTTTGAAAACTTTATTAATACTATTGTTATTTTTAAAAAAAGTGGAACTTTAACAAATACATTATATTATTCCTTTGCATTCATTCGACTAAACTGCTTAAAAGAGGGCTTCATCAAAATTAATGAGATTGAATCAAAAATCTAAACAATCACTGTGACTGCTTCTCAGGCTAAACAAAAGATACAGTAAGGCAAATGATTTGTTCTATAGTAAATGTCCAAGACGATTTACTAAAATAGTGGACATAAACATAATTCCCATTCATGTGCAATGGCAGTGTAAATAAAGGGGTTGTTTTGACACCCAGATCTTTGGACTTTGCGTTGACAACGGGCATCGTACGTCTAACAAGCTGCATGTATCTTAGACTCTTATTTCATCCAAAGGCCACTTCCACATGACTTGATGTAATATAAAGAGATTTTCGACGCTTCATAACGGCGATTGTCATAGGACATGACTGGAAAACGTTAAATTAATGAAACTAAATCAGGTATAGAAAGCCGCGTTTTATCACAAATCACCATCGCAAATCAATAACCGCTTATTTTCCTCAAATGTTCGTCGTCGGGAGTAAAACAATAGGCATCACATCAAATTGAAATAACTGTCGATGCTGTAAATGCACATATGAAAAGAAACATACAATCTCGGTGTGCATGAACGTTTATATGCATCATTGATCATCAATGAAAGATATTTTGACAATATAAAATCGTAATTTTTAGCGGGAGATATAATTCTCAACTTTAATTTACACTCCAGCCACTAATGCGCGTTCCATTCAATTTAAAACACACGAACTGAGTAGTTTAAGATGTACCACTTGAACATAATACAAAATTGTATATGATTCTCCTCTTTGTCCACAAGAATTTAACCTTACAAAAATTGGGGTACAAAAATTATTAATTTTTAGGAAGATCGTTTTTTCCTAAATCAGAGCCACTTGTTTTGACCTTATCACTTCGTCCAGGGTGGTATTAGACATTGTTTCTTTTCACGTTAGATCATGGTTTTAGACTATATGGGGTTTGTTTTTCTTGACTGGTATGCACTTAGGGTTTGATTTTTCTTGCTAAGTTCCATTATAACTTTTGGTCTTTTCCCTTTTGGCACTAGTGCTCATATATTTATCAATTTGACTTTGCAAAAAAAATGTTTACCTTTAATGATGTCCAAATAACATCACTCGACGATTTATCAAACAGAATATCAGCATATGGTTTTATATTTCGTTCAGCTAGTTTCTTCTTAAGTACTTCTGTACCCTTGTAAAAAAATTATATGTAAATTTAAGCTAGAAGAAGCAATCAAGAACTCATTCGGTTATGTTGGCTGTATCATTCGTCAGAGAAACCCTTGCCCAAATAGATCAGACAACCTATAAGGTAATGATTAATTAAATTGTGATGTGCGCAGGGGGGTCGGGTGTCCTAATCATGACCAACATCAAGACGACTAATATCCGTGAGACCACCTAGAAATATCACCATAACATTACGGTATAAACAGCTGGGATGAAATGAAGTGCAGGATGTCCATCCAAATTAGCATATTGGTTGTTGATAATTCATGGTAAGTAGTACTAGCTATTATTTGCAAATCTTGCGAAAGGGGTGAAAACCGCATACTTAAAGCCTGATTTGGAAGTCACATATGATTTACAAATTGAATAAAATATGGCTGTCTGTCTCTGTACATGTAACGCAACTTCAATCAAATAGACTTAGACAGATCCGCAATAAACAGCCATCATGGAATAAGAAATCAAAACATATTTCTTTTGTTGAAATCACAGTCCAGTGAAGATATTACAAAATGCAGATTATTCATACCCTTGTAGTTATACACCATATTGCCTGGAGAGTTGATATATAAGCTTAGTAAGTAACATTTGGGATAATCTATATGATTTTAAGGTAAAACACCCATAAACTACATAGTGTTTAAAACTGCTGGAATTCCATATACAATTGGCTAACCTTTGACATCAAGGCATAATCGTACGTTATAAGTCCTACTTTGTTCCATCCAAATTGCTTCAAAATCAAATCGAAAACTTCAGCTACGTCTGAAATTCCAGCATGTGTCATGGTGTAGTATTTATACCTGTCAGCAGTATAAAGTGATTCTAAAGTAAGCTGATTCTGAAAGGTGCAAACAAATGAGAGCTTAATTGTTACGTCGAGGTATCCCCGCATTTCCCACACAAATTTTAAATTATATACACCAAAAACACATTTAAGTTTTCTAGATGGATAATGGTTGAAGTGTTTTCATTGCGTAATTATTACTGACTTAAGTATGATAAAAGCAAGCCAGATATCCTGTTTAGAGCCACTATTCGTATTTTTGGAAATGTATTCTTTTAATACTATCCAACATGAATCCACTTATTAAGACTCGGTCAACGTGTGTTCTTCTGAGAAAATGAAAATTCCAGACAGGGTGTATTGACTTAACATGGGGTTGACATGGGTATACAATTGACTTATCAACTGCATATTATCATGTACGTCGTCATCAAGTCTCAACAAGTAGATTCATGCTTGAGAGTATTGGTTATAGTATAGTCATGGTAACAATGGGGATTCGTAAACAGGACATTAAAGTTTGACTTTAGTTTATTTTTAAAGTAAGTTAGCTCTATACTTGATTAAAATACGCTACATACCACTATACATCCCCACGTAACACAAACTGGTATGGTTGCATCCTGTCCAACAAAAGTGCTCAATATAAACGCCGTATCACGACCTCGGTAGATATATTCCCACAGCTTGCCATTTACACCCGACACGGACTTATTCTAAATTACAAATATAACTTTTTTTGTGTCGATTTGTTCACTTAATATTAATAACATAACTGTAGAGATCAAATTTATCATTAAGGAAAACTTAACTTTACTAGACTTAAAAATGATATTACAATGACGGAAAAGTAAATCATAAGCGATTGATGGAAAGTGCAGACCTCTTAAAAAATCATGAGAAAACGAGAATTAGCAAGATCTCGACGCTTCATTAATCGTGTTTTGTGTATGTAAAAATCCAATGTCAGATAGATTTAAGATTCTACCTTGAAAAACCTTTTTAAAGTCAGAAAAAGTCAACTTGCTTCAATTTTCCAATAACTTAACAAATAGTTTTCAGACGGACATCGATATTTTCAAAATCATCTGCAAGTTTTTGGACGTTCAAATCGGAGTTTAGATTTAAGATTTGACCTCCAATGACTTTCACAAGGTCAAAAAAGTCAAAATGGTATTTCTCAACTTGCTTCAAATTGAACATTTTTTTAAATCATCTCTTAGTTCTCAGAAATTCAAATCTGATTTTTTTATTCAAGACGTAACCTCCAATGACCTTCTCATGGTAAAATAGGTCAAAAGTGTTTTTCAACCTGCTTCTAATTGACCTAGAATAAACTCATAGTATTGTGCGCAACAATGTGGTAACATTTTGTCACGTTAATGCCTTTTTGATTATGGCGACTGCTTTACGAGTGGATGTTGATCCTTAGAATTACCAATGGACCTCGAGACTGGAACTCGTCTATCCCACATCATTTAAGACCGAATGCTCTTTTTTATGAGTACTATTATTTTTTCAATTTCTTCTTCAACGTGTATTGTTATGCTCACAGAATGAATGAAATGTCCCTTGGTGTTCTGGTCCTGGATTTTGATTTTTGATTGAAGGGGGAGGGGGTTTTAAGCATTATTTAATAATCTTCTGGTATAAAGGGAATATTTTTCGTATTCCAGGTTTACACTCAGAGTATGCTTTTCTCAGTCCTTTCCGTTTTTGGCATTTGTGTTAAGCTGATATTTATCATTTATAGTTATCCTACAAGTTTTCTCGAAATGCGTTCTTATTTACATTCGCAACATTGGACTCATTGACCCTGATTTGACATATCGGGGTCAACGTTGATGTATCTGTTAAAAACGTTGTTGACATATTTAAAAAAACTTATATATACTTTGTTAAATGGGCATTTGAATAGGTTTACAGGAATAAAAACATTATTGAAATCAGACAAATAGTTTTAATATACACATAGATTGACAAGGTGTGTCTGATTCCACCCAATCCTAACTCAGTATTCCACATGACAGAAGTGCATTAAATAATCAATAACGCACTCAAGGTCACTTGTTAAACAGTTGTCATGGATAGTGATTAATGAATATTTCACATTGGATTTGATGACTTGCTAACTTAACTTTTGCAAATAAAAGTTCAAACAGGATCTTAAGAGGTTCTGGACAAATCATTTGATTCTGGACTTGTCATATTTTTTTTTCAACGAAATCACATCCAAGGGTTGAATTTTTATTAGCTATTTAGAGAGTGAGTCCTTCCTAGTATTAATTTCAATAAAAAAGTTGAAATAGAACCCTAGTTGAGAGTCAATCTAATACTTACATTACATTGATAAATTAAGGCAAATCCTGAAATATTTTTAGAGTGCATTTTTTATGAAATATTATCCAGCAAGTATTTAGATGAAACGGTCTTATTTAAATACAAATCATAACATGATGATATTTTTCATGAAACATTTTTCAATGAAATTCAATTGAAGGGTCAAGATAAAACGAGCTAATTTAGGTGAAAACCCTTACATGATGATGTGTTTTCATAACTTCTTTCATAAAATTCCATCAAGGGGTGAAGATAAAATTATCGAATTTAAGTGATTTAAGGATAACGAGGATATGTTTTCTTTGATATTTTTTATGAAATCCCATCCAATGGTCAAGGTAAAATTTTGATTTTGATTTGGTATTAGGTCACGTGTTCGAAAGATCCATATAAGGCCCACAGAACCATATAGGAACGTCATTTTGAATGTCACGTGATAGATCCATATAAGGCTTTTAGAACCATGTATGGAAAGATGAGGGGAAGCCCCTGACACCTGTTTCACGATTTTTTCCGAACGTTGTTCGGATCATTTCGGTTTTTATGCACTTCATTATTGTACCGAAGTTTGCCGATTCGATTCGTCGTATTTCGGAATCCTGGTGACAATTTTATACTCCATTGGAGTATTTTTGACCTACTTCTTATGACGGAAATTCCCGAACCTTGTTCGGATTAATCCGGATTTTCTGACCTACTTTATCTACCGAGATTTCACGAGTTAACATTCGTCTCATTCCGGAATCCTGGTGATAATTTTATACTCCATTGGAGTATTTTTGATCTACTTTTTCTGGATTTTGCCCTACTTATTATATCTTGACAACAAGCAAATCAAAAAGTTCGACATGAACGGGTCTCGATCAACTAACCTAGACAATGGAAGCCAGGCACGCTAACCATGAGGCCAACGAGCTACCGATATGAAAGAACAAAAGTATTATATATTTATACCGAGCGTCAATTCAAAATGATCCTCACTTAAATACGACTCGTCAGTTGTATCTAGAATAATAGAACGCCTATGGCGCTAGTGAATAACCAAGTCCCAGGTGAGTGGTTCGTATCCCTCCGTGATATACTATTTTTGTTTTATTAAATACGACAGAAAGGAGCAAGGTGTAGGTTGAAAACAAGACGTTAGTTTGTTTCAAAACAGTTTGGAAACATTAATCTCTGATAATTTAAGGTTTTCCACTCCTGAAGGGCCTCTAGATCTATGAAATTCAATAATCCACTCAGTAAGAATACGATTTCACTGCAACCTGATGTCCAATCAAGATCATTCAAATATATATGTATTCCTGACACGTTTGGGCGTCCGGGAATAAAATTGCTTGTGAAAACTGGCTTTGTATAAAAAACCTCCTACCTCATACCCACCTACCCACGTACGTGGGACATAATACAGTCTTTGAAGGGTTCAATTTTAAAGATCTTAGTCTATTAAATCTTAGTTTATGATGAATTATAGAAGCATTTGTAACGATCCTTGATAGCAAGTTGCTACTACATCCCAGCTGGGTTCGATTCCCACTCGGAGCATCGAATTTAGCACACTTTCTTTCTATTTCTTTATCTGGCTTGTTGGACCTATGGTCGCGGTCGTTAGTTATTTATTCCCCCGAGGCGCCCTCGGGTCATTACACATTAAAATGCATCCACATGCCTTTATTTATGGATCTGTCATCTGTCTAGTCATAAAACAAAGCCGGAATTGTAGAAATGTTAATACTTTGAGCTATTTTGAGATTTAATAATCATTAAAATTGAACCCTTCAATGACTGTATCATGTTCCACGTAGGTGGGTAGGTGGGTATGAGGTAGGAGGTTTTTATACAAAGCCGTGAAAACTATATACAAAAGTGTTCCAGAGACCCTTATCTACTTGGCTAAGGTTTTATTTGAAGAAACATTGCCTTATTAAGCAGGTAGAGGGGCATACAGAACACGGAAGCAGATGCTATGTTGAAAATTCTCTATATTTCAATTTGAACCTGTGTTTACATGTCACGTAGGCCAGTGTTTTATATGGGGATTATATGTACTTTACTTGTTTACATGAACGTAAATCATTACATGAAATCTGCATTCTTCTGGGTTTAATCTGGGTTTGTATTGTCTTATTGGGGCTTTTCGACTTTAAAACAAACCCTACCTAAATGGATTGTATCTCGGGAACGTTTTTGTAAATAGTTATTATAAACAATTCTGAAAGAATATCACATATTTTTGTCTTCCCGATTTCAGTCATGAATTACGTCAATTTCTCGTGCAAACATTGGGTAGACGTTGTCATAACCGGATGCCCGAACGTGTCAGGAACATATAGATACTCGAATGATGTTGATTGAACATCAGGGTGCAGAGAAATCGTAATTTTACTGAGTGGCTTCACGAAAAAATAAGCAGCACTTTAGGCCACCTTAAATACAACTCGTCAGTTGTATCCAGTTGGAATCCCAGCGTAATTTTTTTAATTATATGGTTGTGCTTTGATTTTATGCTGAAAACATTTATAACTACGTCAACTTTATATTAAAGTATTTATTATCTTTTCAGTTGTATTAAAATGTAAAATATGATATATGTCAGCTTATTGCTTTCTGGAGAACAGTCAAGGTTTAAATTTGGTACAATGAATCGGACACTCATGTAAATCGACATGGTTATAACATTGAACTCAATGCAGTAAATTAGTTATTTCTATGAATCACAGCGGAATTGGTTTCATTTTATATGATTGCCAACTCTGGCGTTTTTTTGTGAATGCTTTTGACCGCTGTAAATGTGAAACTGATACAGTATTATTCAATTGTTTTATGTCTTGGTCACATTTGCTCCGATTTTCACTACGGCGCCCGGCCGATTGAGTATTGTGTTCAGAAATGTATTCAATTTTGAACAAAATACTCGCAGCAAATGTGATCCAGGCATTACACAGCTGTATTTCGAACATACTATTGTTGCTTAACCACGACCTAGCCAATTTTAAAATCATACTCCTTATTTAAATCCAACGATAGGAGCTCATGGAAAGTATACATTTTAACTTTTATACATCTTTACAAATACTAGAAATCTACATGTTCGAGTGGATCACGAAGGGTCCCCATATAGCAGCAGCCTCCATAAAATGCAAAATACCTGTATTGATAACTTGACTTTGACTGATTTTTGAATTGAGATGAACTTGTTGAAACCTCGTGAAACGCCAGATACTAGTACCTAGATGTGACCTTGAAATAACGTTGGCCAATACACATTGATTTTGACCTTAGGTCACCTAATCATGTGTCGTCAAGGGTCATTGTAGCCCTCAAGGTCCTTTAAACGCCAAATACTTAGATATTAATTTTTGATCTTGAAACCAACTTGACCCAGTTACATTGGCCTTGAACTCAGTTCACCTAATCGTTGGTTGCCAAGGGTCACAGCAGCCCAAAGGACTTTAAATCACCAAATACATAGATATTGATATTTTACATAGGAATGACCTTGACTTCAGGTCACCTAATCATGCCTCATCCAGGGTCGAATCTCAGACCAAGGGTAAAAAACGCGTAAACCTAGATATTGACATTTTAAAGAGAGAATCGGATCTAGCAAGCAGTCTAACAAAAAAAAAATTTCAATTTTAGAATATTTCTGGCTTATGTCATTCCTTTTCATGTCTATTATCTAAAAATCCCAAAACTGCACACTTTATTTCAGGAAAACTAAAGAGTTTACAACAATGACTTTTGTATATTTCTTCTATAAGAATGGTTACTTATTATTTACAATTTTGCACTTTTTATCTATTATAACTTCATCAATTTCTAACATATCGTAAATATTTTGTGAGATATTGTATTTGAGATTGTAAGGAATAGATAAGTACGTCAATTGTACATGTTGCTTGTAATTTTGTCACCTCCATATATCTGATTCTGCCTTTAACCTAGAATGACTTTGACCTCTGACCTTAGTAGAACGCTCACTGGCCCATCAAGTATGAGGGCAAAAGGAGATGTCGAGACCTACTATAAAAGCATGTTTGGTCTGTATGTCATTTTGTCTGTCTGTCGGGACATCTCCTTCTACACCATTTAATCTTAGTAAGTTGGTCTCCGAAGGTCAGAGTTAAGTTCATTCAAAGGTAAACGATCAATGTCTAGGTATTTGGCGTTTGATGATACTATGGCCCTTGGCGAATTATGATTAGATGAACCGAGGTCAACATTAATGTTTCCTGTACAAGGTCATCCCAAGGTCAAAGATAAATATCTAGGTATTTTTCGTTTCAAGACCTTTGGACAAATTCGATTCAATTCAAGAATCGGTCAAGGTCAAAAAATCAATATACAGGTATTTTGTATTTTTTTGTAACGATGTATTACAGTTAAAATGTATACAGAGATAAAATAGGTTAGCTCCTATAGTTTCCTTGTGTATACGTTTATGTCTCTGCGTAATAACGCAGATGCGAGCAGGTAGTTACCAATCTCACCACAAGGTGGCTCGTTCGGGTCAGATAGCATGGCGGGTATGGTAGAAAGTTCCCTTTAACTTAAAGTACATCTGTTTTCGTGGTTCAATTTTCATATCACCCTTAAAATGTATCTAATAGCAATGCAAATTAAAATATGTCCAGTGAACGAAAATGCAATACAAGAATAGATATTTCACATGGGGTTATTTTTTGTATATGTAACATGGTCATTTTCACATTTTATATTATTACTGTTCATATTAATCAATCCCTATTCATCTCAATATAACAGGTCCCTAAGTAGGTTGTTTGCAGTTTTACTCTTTTAATACCATGTTCACTTTTCACGTTTTATTGAAACCAGTTATTCAACTATGCAAACTGTGTCAGTTTTATATATCTATTGTTCCCTTATATGGTCTTTCTCACTCACATGTAGCTGAGTTTGCATTGGGTGTTGGCTTGTCAGTAGTTGTTGTAAGAGTTCATGTTGTACATTACAGAGCATTGTATTTTGAATATTGAAGTTTGAAATATACTATTTTATATATATATATTTTAATTTGAAGTTCGAGTTATTTTATTGCCACCCACGGGCCTTCCACACGCCCATTTACATATAACGCATTGAAACAACTTTAAAAAGTGAGCAATGTCAGTGTTGTGATAATAACGCCCCTCATACCTATTTATTACAGGTCGTGTAGACCATTGTTGCCTGATTTATAGCAAAAACATTGACTTTTGCACGTTGATGATGATGATGATGATGATGCGCCTTTTATAATAGATCTCATATCTTAGAAGCGTATCAGTTCAAAAAAATACTAGAAGACCTTACATATTTTGCCATGCACTGTGCCTTTGGCAATTCAGTTGTAAATATCTTGAAAAAAATAAATCTTCCAAACTTGTTGAGTTTTCTTGCAGAAATCGCCTACCCCCCCCCCCCCCTCCATCCATTTTGTATGATTTAAGCTGCTGATATTCTTCTTTAAACGAGTCGGATTTTCAAAATCTATAAGTTGGACTCCCTTTATAGAAGCTTTGAACTGAATTTGCACTGCTTAATGCTGACATTTTATTGTTTATCCATACATTTTAAGAAAAAATGTATAAAAAAAGATGTTAAGCCAAATGTTGCCCTAAAAATTCAGAAAATGTAAAAAATTTAGAATTTTCTATGTACAGGCCTTGTTGCCCCTTTCAGAAGCTTAATATGTAAATTATCTAATCAAACACTTCGTCCACCATTTTGAAGCACTAATCAATCCAATCTGTGCTAGCGATTCATAGGGCGAGCCATTGGGATATTTCCAGCGTTCGCACACACCTGGAAATGTCAGGGAAATTGACTTGATTTTCCAAGTGCTGGAAATGTCAGGTAATTTTAAGATTAGGTCAAAAGGGTCAAAGATGACCGGGAATTTTGAAACGGTAGATATGTCAGGGAAATGTCAGGGAAATTTGTATCAGTGTTGAAAAAATAATGTTTCAAAAAAAAATTAGGACTGACAGGATATCAATGAAATCCAAAATGTAATATTTAGTTGATTCCACAGGCTAAAGTATGAAAACGTATTACATATATCTAAAAATTTTACACTGTCTTGATTAATGGATTTCATAGATCTAGAGGCCCTTCAGGAGTGGAAAACCTTAAATTATCAGAGATTAATGTTTCCAAACTGTTTTGAAACAAACTAACGTCTTGTTTTCAACCTACACCTTGCTCCTTTCTGTCGTATTTAATAAAACAAAAATAGTATATCACGGAGGGATACGAACCACTCACCTGGGACTTGGTTATTCACTAGCGCCATAGGCGTTCTACTATTCTGGATACAACTGACGAGTCGTATTTAAGTGGAGACAAAAGTGAGGATCATTTTGAATTGACGCTCGGTATAAATATATAATACTTTTGTTCTTTCATATCGGTAGCTCGTTGGCCTCATGGTTAGCGTGCCTGGCTTCCATTGTCTAGGTTAGTTGATCGAGACCCGTTCATGTCGAACTTTTTGATTTGCTTGTTGTCAAGATATAATAAGTAGGGCAAAATCCAGAAAAAGTAGATCAAAAATACTCCAATGGAGTATAAAATTGTCACCAGGATTCCGGAATGAGACGAATGTTAACTCGTGAAATCTCGGTAGATAAAGTAGGTCAGAAAATCCGGGTTAATCCGAACAGGGTTCGGGAATTTCCGTCATAAGAAGTAGGTCAAAAATACTCCAATGGAGTATAAAATTGTCACCAGGATTCCGAAATACGACGAATCGAATCGGCAAACTTCGGTACAATAATGAAGTGCATAAAAACCGAAATGATCCGAACAACGTTCGGATAAAATCGTGAAACAGGTGTCAGGGGCTTCCCCTCATCTTTCCATACATGGTACTAAAAGCCTTATATGGATCTATCACGTGACATTCAAAATGACGTTCCTATATGGTTCTATGGGCCTTATATGGATCTTTCGAACACGTGACCTAATACCAAATCAAAATCAAAATTTTACCTTGACCATTGGATGGGGTTTCATAGAAAATATCGAAGAAAACATATCCTCGTGATCCTTAAATCACTTAAATTCGATAATTTTATCTTCACCCCGTTGATGGAATTTTATGAAAGAAGTTATGAAAACACATCATCATGTAAGGGTTCTCACCTAAATTAGCTCGGATTATCTTGACCCTTCAATTGAATTTCATTGAAAAATGTTTCATGAAAAATATCATCATGTTATGATTTGTATTTAAGTAAGACCGTTTCATCTAAATACTTGCTGGATAATATTTCATAAAAAAATGCACTTTAAAAATATTTCAGGATTTGCCTTAATTTATCAATGTAATGTAAGTATTAGATTGACTCTCAAATAGGGTTCTATTTTAACTTTTTTATTGAAATTAATACTAGGCAGGACTCACTCTCTAAATAGCTAATAAAAATTCAACCCTTGGATGTGATTTCGTTGAAAAAAAAATATGACAAGTCCAGAATCAAATGATTTGTCCAGAACCTCTTAAGATCCTGTTTTCATTGGAAATGTGTTCTTTTAGTGATTTCGTTCTTTTAGATGATCTTGTAAAAACTATTTTACAGAGTGCGTTGTTTCAAAAACTTAACAAATCCCGCTGCGCGCTCAGGCAAAGATTTGGGTACAACACCTTCATGGTATGATTCAGCAAACGATGCACTGAGTCCAGGGCTTAAATCCTGAAATAGCAATTTCTTGTTATAAGAAAGGTTGCATGCATTTACTTACTGGTAAACATGGATCCAGTTCAAGTTTAAATAATGGAAACAAGTCAGTGGCATCGTTGACATCTAAAATTGCCCGTTGTGCGAACCTGCACGAGTCAATATAGATAGAATATTCATTATTAATAATAATATTCCCTATGAGTATAGTTGGTCGTTGCCCCATACTGTCCATCGTCGCATTTGTATTGTTGCCAAAAGATGCAGTGTTGACCAAGGAACGGGCAGTGTAATCAAGTGTTGATGTAACATTATCAGTGTTTCCAAAAGTTGTTAATAACCTTGTGTAAAGAATAATTATTATGCAAAAATTAACAGACATGATGTCCTCAATTTCACTGTTAACCTTGCTCAAGTATTTTATGTGTGTCAGTATACTCCAGTTTAAACTTACACATAAACATCTAGCATTGCATTATGCTAGATTACTAACCGGAACATGTTTAGTAGACAGGTTTTTTTTTCAACGATCCTCCTCATGGTTTTGGTGGTGAAAATCCAAAACAATTGTTTATCTAGAAGGCGGTATATAAGCCAAAAAAGTATGCATTTTTGTTGGTTTAAGAACTGATTTCTAATAATGCTTATATTGTTTTACACGTGGGATGGCGGGAACATGTTAAAAACATATATTTAAAAAAAGAAATATACCAGTAATGAGTATATAACAAGTTATAGTTTTTGGCTTTTCTCGTAAGATTCCGGAATATACCGAATGGCTTTGACGAAATCCCGTTAACCTATTGAGTGAACTTCACTGTAGAAGTTCTCGTTTCTACTTTCCACATGTATTCAATAAATTTAGGGGCATTAATTACAAGCAGTCAAAGACGTAGATGCCACGTAGGGCATTTCACTTCCCGGTTCCACTTCTACCTGTCTCTAATGTCAAGTGTCCCTCGCGATCATGTATCCCTCGCAAGTCCGCCCTCGCCTCGTCAACAGTCTCGCGCACGCGACTTTCAGGCTATTTGGACACAGCGTAACATGTCTTGTAACGTTAATTTTACTGTTCTTAGTTTAGTTAGTTCAAGTTTACTAGTTTATTACAAATCATAAATGTAACATTGTACTTTGAATTGATACGTTAAAATCATATACACACTATGACACAGTACGAGGGTTGTCCCAGAAGCAATGCACTATATGCTCTAACTTTATCAATAATTGATATTTTTCCATGAAATTTTCAGTAAATGTTCCTTAGAGACATTTCTTTTATACTAGAAATTTTCATGTTGACTGATAAAACTATATTGATGTTATAATAAAATCAAGTTGGTGAGTTTGGGTAGGGTGGGGCAGGTTATACAATCACGTCAAAAGGAATAAAAAATTGAAAATCTGATATAATTAATCAACAAATACCATTTGGTGTAGCTATGAGAAGTATGCTCAAAAATACATTTAAAGATACTAAATTACTATGAGCACATCCTAGATTTAATGGATGCACAGTGTCCCATTTCACATTTTCTCAAAATATTGCCGTTTGCATGTTATGTACTTTTGATGCCTGTCAGGTCAAACACTCTAGGCAATTTCTTCCACCGTGACTTGTGGAGTTTTTGCCTCCCATGTTTGGAGTTGTCATACAGGGTCAAATCGTCTCTTTTAAATCTCTTCTGCCACCCCATAATTGTAGTTCTATCTGGAATATACTCCTTATATACTTTCTTCATGGAAGCATTGTTTTGCGTGGCTGTGAGTCCAAGTGAAGTATGAAATTAGGCCACCAAACGCAAGGCCTTCTGTTATCAGGTGAGAATTGCAGCAATTTTGCAATTTCTTGACTGTGACTGTATTTGAATTTGTGACTATTGAAATGTGGTATTATGACATCACAGTGCTAAATGTCATTATTCGTACTTGATTAACATCATGCTGAATAAATTTAACAATTTCCCAAACATTTTGACCATTAAAAGGAAAGAAATATTAATAAAATAACACTTTAGATATTTTCATAATTAGAAAAATTGGTACCTGCCCCGCCCACCCCTACCCCCATGTTGTTATAGCAACCATATTAAGACTTAATATTAATGTTGGATGCTGAAACTTAAGGATATAATAGATAAAACTTCAATGGTTATATACACAAAATTTCAGCTGAATTGAAGAATATTAAAGAAAGTTAGAGCATATAGTGCATTACTTCTGGGACAACCCTCGTATACAACATACTCCAGCTAAAAGGTTTTTAAACTCCGGTCGTTCGGGGCACATAAAAGTCTAAGTTCTTGTTTACCCCTGCGGAATTTATTCATTAATATTATACCTTCTCTTTAGTCCGTGTCTCCAAAATAGAAAAATCTAACTTTGGTATATAACCGATTTTAACAGAAACCGTAGTCAAAATAATCCTAGTATAGTAATATTTGTATATTGCTACACTTTTGCTCATTATGACAGTAAAAACAATCGAATGTTTCAAATATCACCAGTCGATTCATTTAAGACCACCGAGATTAACGAGGCCGGTCTTGTCGTGATAGTGCTCAGCATCATGCAAAACAGACTTGTTGTCACTTAGTTCAGTCTTCCCGGCAGTAAGAACAACTTCAGGCATGCTGACCGAGTTATCCGCACCCAATTCTGGCATTTTGCCTTCTCCCGCGTCTTTGTCCAAGAAACCAAATGCTGCACCGATTGGGGAAAAGAACTTCATGGAAAGTGGATCTCCTCCCTTTGCAATGACAATGACCTAAATTAAAGGTATTAAAACCGGTAGAATAATTCCAAAATAATCATAATTTCAGCTAATATCGTTGGATTGTTGTATATCGATTCAAAAAGTAGCCGATAAATTGAAATATATAAGGGTTATGTACTGGGAGGTTTTGGATACAGGATTTATCCAAAGGGAAATGTGTGTATCTCCCGAGGGACCGCAGGGACCGAGGGAGATACACATATTTCCCACGGGATAAACACTGTATCCAAAACCGACCGTACATAACAGATGTATTTCATACCTACTGAGGTTCTAGGTACATAATACCCTATAAAGATCCAAAATTCCAAAACATACTAGGCGTTTTCTTGGTCTTAAAGTTTGCGAGATTTTCAAAAAAATTTAAAAAGAATAAATTTTTAAAAAAAATTAATTTTGAAAAAACATTTTGAAAACAATTTTGAAAAAAAATTGAAACAATTTAAAAAAAAATTTCAGAGCAGGACCGGGATGGATACAGCGTGTATCCATCACGGTCCCTAGATACACTATATATTCCCGCTCGTTATGTACCTAGAACCTCAGTAGGTATGAAATACACGTTAATTCTTTCAAATGATTCATAACAACGGCCTTTAATGATATTATGAATTAAACTTTCATTAGAAATGACATTTAATTAAGTAATAGTCGATCATTCACAATACATAACCCTGTGTATCTCATACTTGAGTGGGTTTCGGGTAGATATCACCCGGGAATATATATCGTATCTGAGGAGCGGGCAGGATATATTCTATATGTCCCGCTCCAGTCCAAATGCGGGCAGATATAATATATCAATCCCGCTCCGGGGATTTTTTCAAAAGTTTAAATAAGTTTAAATATCAAAAGTTTTAATTTTTTAATTTTAAAATTTAATTTTTTTTAAGTTTAAATGTTACAATTTCATTGTATTGATCAAAAAGAATATTACGAAAATGTTAAATATAAATATCTTGTCATTTGAAAAAGGTGGAAAAGGTTATGTCTACCCTAAACCCACTCAAGTATGAGATACACCAGTTATGCACGGTCGGTTTGGATACATGGAATATCCCTTGGGATATACAATACATCTTGATATAGATATATTGTATATCCCTCGGGATATTCCCTGTATCCAAAACCTCCCAGTGCATAACCCCTATATATGTCACCGCTGCATTATTTTTCTTTAGGAATCATGTAGAATCTACACAATTTTGAATGACATTAGGCTACCTTTGAAATAAAAATCAGTAGAGTGGTCAGAATTGTTGTGAATATTATCAGACATCCAGTTATGGCGAACAAAGCATTCGGTTCAGTTGGAATCAAGAACGAGATGATAGCCATTACAATGCTGGACAAAATACTCATGAAGACAGCTAACGCAAAGCCGGAAAAGTGAGAAAATCCTTTCTTCATTGACATATACCTTGAAAATAAAAGGACGATTCTCGGTTTGGAGAACAGTCTCCTGGGCTAATATTTGTTTTCATGAAAAATATAGAAATATTACCCAAATTAAACTATGAATATTCAGAAGAGGACATTTAAATCTACAAGATGTAAAGATAACAAATTGGTCTGAAGCAGGGATAATGCTCAAATAGACCTATCCAATATAAATACAAGTCTCGATTTGGGGAAAGAAGTTCATCAGTGTACTGCGCTAATATTTTTTTGCAAAAAATCTAGAAATATTACCCAAATTAAATTATGACTCTTCAAAAGAAGACATTCAAATCTTTATTATGTAAAAAATCAAATTTGTCCGAAGCAGGGATAATGCTCATTTAGATTGACGAACTTCGTTCTCCAAACCGAGAATCGTCCTTTAATTATAATTTTATATATTGATGTAGCTTTATTCAAATAGGGACAATAACAAAATTACCACAAAAATGGACACGTAAGAATTTTCAAAAGCTGTAATTTGAGTTCTAAAGACTCAGTGACCAAAAAATTGGGAATGTTTACACCATGTGTTATCAATATATTCATATAGTTTCATACTAACTGGCATGATTATAAAATTTTAGAAATTCGTATCAATTGCGAAATTATTCAAATTCTACTGAAAAGAACAAAACCAAATACAAAACTTGAGTTTATTATACAATGCTTTAAAAGGTAAAAATATATTTTAGCAACTAAATATATCACTTACAGTGCTGGCCAAACTATGAATCCACCCAGCAATAACACAATGCTTTTGTAACATAGTGTGGCAATCAGAAAGTAGTTCTTGTATGTAGATTCACATTCAATCATTATAGTTATTGTCCTTATCGAAGTATAACCGTCAAACTATAGAGAAACGCAACATCTTCAAATATTTAATTCGTATACATAATAAGTTATTAATTGATTTGAAGTTTTATACAGGATATAATCTCCTCGAGAAATTTTGTATTGGCACGAAGTCTCGAAGTAGAGCAGAATATATCCTATATTTCACTTCATATCATTCTATAACGCTTTTATCGTGCGATCTTAGGCCAATACATTTTACTTAGGAGAAAACTCTGGGAAATATTCTGTTTTCTCTGTAACTCAGAAGCAAAAAAGAAAAGCACAATGACTGATCAACCTGTATTTGAAATGAAAAGGAAGTACGCCACTGCAAATGTGTCATATCTTGATAAGGAACATCCGCAATTGTTATGTTATTGTTATTATTGTTATGGAAATACCAACCGCTGTAAAATAACATTATTCTTACTATTGAACTCAATTCTGTTGTGATTGGATGCAACGGATCAATGCAAAACCAAACAGCAACTATAACTACATCAACAACAACGAGTAGGAAAAACATGATAACCAAGCGTCCTTCCTTGATGGACTCCTAAAACAGTTTTTCATTTGTTTTTTTGTTATATGAAAATTTGTATTTCAAAAACAGGAAATGTACATGAAATGGCCTTATAGCCCGAATCTTATGATAACAAGGATAGTTATACATGGTGGTCCAAAAAATGGAATATTTGTTAATTGGACACAAACCCTTTATTTTCCCTCTGAAATGCACCAACATTTTACTGAGCATACTTCAGTCACTGATCTCTCTGATGTAAAGTTTATAGGTGCAAACCACAAAGTTAATGCATTAAACTAGTCAATGTTTGATATAACCCCCTTTTCTTTTTTTTGTCAATTTCGCCGCTACTTTTTCAAGTTTTCTTCATTTCAAACTTTAATAAACATATTGATTGCTATACACATTTTATAAAATCATATTTAGTTGACAAGAGGTATTTATATCTATGGTCTACTTGAAAACTATTGTGTTATTGTACATTTTGAAGTGAGGAGTGTATATGTGATATCTCTATAGGATAAATTGCATTTTGGGATCTAGATTAAGTATAGAATTATTGAAATGAAAAAATTCATAATTATAATTCCAAATATCGTTCGCTACACTTACCGTCCTTTGCTGGCTAAATAACTTATACACGCCCCATAATTTTACAGTCATTCCTCCATAAAAGAACGTGAATCCAAATATGAGAAGTCCAGTGGAAGCCTAACGTAAGGATATTAACGTTGTTTACATACTTCATCAAACTCTTGCCTAAGTAGGGGAGCAACTAAGAATTCTTTTGACGATTGGCATTATGATCATTGATATATAAAACACAGTACATAATTCAAATACCAATAAAGCTATGAACATTTTGCGAACTATCTTTTTAAGTATAACCGGGCTGTATGAGCATAACAAGGTAGGTAGAATGTGAAATGATATAATTAATTCAAGATTCGATTGTTACAACTGATTGTTAAATGATTTCAGAGAAAGTTCCAGTTTCATTTTTGTCGAGTTTTAGATACAGGGTTGGCAAAAACCAATACCTGAGTATCAGGATGCATATATGCTAGTTTATATGATATATGTGAAATAATACCATGTATTATATATCATTTAGAAGATAAATCATTAACAATATAACACCATTCGATTGGAAAATCATCTTGTGGAGTTAGAGGCTAAAATTTACACCAGGGCTGCCATGGGCTACCATAAATGTAGTCACTTCGGATTTTCAAATTGTGGATAGGGAGAGAAATTTTAATTTTAGCACTTTCAAAAGAAGAACAGATTGAGTGCAGAATTCACCAATAATATTTACATATTTGAATTAATTATCAATTGTATATTACTCTTAAATAAATATATAATGACTCAGTCAAGCATCTGTGCATCTGTGCATCTGTGACTGCAATATGGAGAGAAATTCGGGAATTTTCATTTTTTGATTTTTGGTCGCTTTTAGCTTTTAACTCCACAGGAAAACGAAAATTATGCAATCGGAGGGTATTGTATACGAGGGTGTATCATAAAGTTCTCATAATATCTCTCTAATTTTTTTATTTTTCAATATATTCTGATGAAGTTTTCACAAAATGTGTAGTATAGATTGCTGTATTAATCTATCAAAAAATATTTGGTATAAAAGAAATAATATTTAAGAAATGTTTGCCATAGTAACCGGAAATCAAGGCACCCGGGGCAAATAAAAAATCATGCAGGAATAGTCCAAACTAACCATGTTTAAATGCATAACAAGTTATCAAATAAGCTATGAAACACATCAAATTGTTAAATACCATGTATTCTTGACTGTTTTAAACTATTATAATGGTCATGTGAATTGTGTGATCTCATAATGGATGATTGTAATGCTTCATTAGAAGTGATGTTAGACATTACAACTGTTTTGTCAAGTATTCCAAGGAAAGTCGATTTTCCACTTTAGTTCATCTTAAATATTAATAGACCCCGCATAGGGTGTAATTATGTTGATATCTTTGCAACATATTTGTTTAAGATCATCTTTAGTATGAGCAAAGGACATCAAGGATTTTTCGAACTAACCTAACTTTTTATCAGTGTGAATATTATTTTTCTGATGATCCCTACATCTATGCATTATCTTACTCAGTCATTTCTGACAATTAAGCTCTGATTCTCAGAGTCTGGTATCACATCCAATGAAGCATGTAAGCATCCCCTATGACACCAAACAATCCACATGATCAATTTGTTTAATAGTAATTTTAAGCATTTAACAACATATTACAGTTAACATTTTAAAGTGTTTGGTAATTTATGAGAGTTTATTATGTATGCAAACAAAGTTAATTAAGCTCATTCTCTCAATTATTTTTATTTGCCCCGGATGCCTTGATTTCCGGTTACTATGGCAACCATTACTTATCTAATGTTTCTGTTATACCAAATATTTTTTGATAGATTAATAAAGTATTCTATATCGCAGACTCTATGAAAATTTCATTAGATTATATTGAAAAATAAAAAAAATAGAGAGATATTATGAGAACTTTATGATATACCCTCGTATATGAAAATTATATAATATGAAATATAATACATACCGTGATTTAGGATAAGATGTATGAATTATTCATATTTAAACTTAAGTATTGCTTTTTTAGCCCACCCTGTATATTGCATACCATACATATATCTTTAAGTAAAGGTTCTGGCTGTATACCAGTCTGTAGATCAGCTATGTGAACCAGTACATAGACATCAAGTAGAATACAACCAATAATAACCACACTGGTCATAATCGGCCATTCATCTTTTATCATTCTAAAATATTAAAATCAGTAAGATGGTGTGTGTTATCTTGGTAAGCTTTTGCTGGTATGTTTTTATGTATTGCACCGTCGGAATCCTGTTTTTGTGATAAATGTTTTTAATGACAAATGTTGTGCATCCAACCTTTAGCTATAGATACAATCATTCAATGATATAATGATACATTGTGTCTATCGCATACAGCCGTATCATCCTATATATTGACGCTATCAAATATGTGGAGTACGATTACAGCAGTTTTACTAATTACGGCTATATTGATACTTACACGTGTTCGTTGTGTATGATGTGTAGTAACGCTAGTAGTATTTCTACTCAAACAAATATAGTACTAACCAAGATTTCAAAAGGCCTTAGTTAAGCTTAGTTGTCTTACAATAAAAAGGGATTCTAACCCAGATCAATGTATTTGTTTAGGTCGATCAACTTGAGTTCTTCTGAGAAAATGAGGATTTCAGCAAGGGTGCGTTGACTTAATATGGTGACATACATGATGGTATCCTAATGCTACCATCCTGATGCTAGTCATTGGTCAACGGTGTTTGTCCCATTTTCTCAGAACTCAGCTAGTATATATATGTTGGAAAGTATTGCTAAAGTCTATTTAAAATGACATTGTTAAAAACGGGTTTTCCAATGCACAACAAAAAATAATTTTGTCTAGACGGGTTTAAAACCAGGGCTTGGTCTCGTGCCTCGTGGGCGGAATGCAAGCATTTTCCCCCTGAACCACTTTGGCTTATTAATGTGAGTGTGGTCAATCAAAGCTATCTTTCTGAATGCCCCTAATATACAAGTAACGTGATATTCTGAGTCTAAATTTTTCAAGAAATAGAAATGGCCGGCGAACATCGAAGCAATTGAAGGAAAAATCGTGATAATCGCGATAATATTTTCATAACATCTTTGTCCCATTTGTTCATCATCGTATATCTTCTAATTTTAGCTCAAAATCACACCAGGAACATCGGAACAACCCAAAATTGCTTTTTATCGAGATGTTATGGTTTATTCAGAACTCTGGGCTTGTTTTTGAGATTTTTGAGGCTTTTTGAGACTCTCTCGAGACATGATACTTACACGTGTTCGTGGTGTATGACTGCATATACGATGCATATCAACGCTAGTACTATTCCTACGCCAGCAAATACAGAAAGTGCAATAATTGAAGCCTTACTAATACGTCTCCGTACAATATGTTCTTTTTCAGAGTCAGGTGGTGCTGTTCCACCTAAAATGTAGATACAAGACATGAAGGAATGCAAGAAAAACAGAAACAAAATATTATCCATGTAGAGAAACCCTGAACTTAAGACATGTTACTACTGTATCGATAAAGTAGATGGTTACTTGAGGATGAATATGAACACACATATATGGACCCCAATTTGTATCCTCAGCATATTTACCAGCTATGAAACTGATGTATCACTGTAACATAAATGAGTAAGGAAATCTATTTTAAGGGTTAATTCGCATGATTGCAAAGTTATTTCAAGGATAAGCATTTTTATAACTGGCTAATTATGCTACAGAAGCCAAATAGTTGCAGGTGAACCCAAGTTGTCAATATGTAAAGACATATAATAATATCAAGGCAGTTGACGATTAGTTGTAGATAGATATATAATTTTATGTGTCCACACTTTAGATAAGTTAGATAATCAAGATAAGTTACAAATTACAAACAAAAGAAATACAATGAAAGAAGCATCTTACCAACAAGAAGACAAGAATAACACGCTAAGGTTATCTTTTGTTCACAATCACCAAGCCTTTCGAACTCATTTGGGCAGGGTGGCCCTGCTGCGTACATTCTGTTGTTTTGTTTCAATACAAATAACGTATCATATGAGAAAAGAAGGTGAAGAAAAACAATACTGAATAGCAATAATGACTAAATTACATTCGTACCTTTTGATTTTAATATGACGGCGGGGGGTTCTGTCATAGTCAGGTTGTTTTCTTTCGTATCATAGTAACCAATTTCGAGCAACGTCCTATTTGCTGAAACAATTAGCATATATTGCAAGATGGAGAAACACAAAGGAGTAAAGTAAGTAACGCAAACCTTCACTAATTGATAAAATGCATGTATACGTTCATATTTTACAATTCACACATCGCCTTTATATTAATAAACTCACTGTTCCATATTCCAACATAACTGTCCTTCTGTCTTGCCCCAGATGTTTTGTTATAAAAATAACGACCCTGAAATAGCAAATTTATTATACATATAGTTACTGACAACCATGAAAGACGGGTAAACTAATACGAGGTTAATGTAACTGCAGGGCACAACATGTTGTTGTCAGTGTTGATTTGGAGAGGCAGTCGGCCATATAGCTAAGTGGAAAATATTTACCTGGAAAGGTTAGACGGACTCGATATGATAATTTGTTTTTTTGTCACTGATACTGCCTCTACCTGAATTTAACATAAGGATAAACGTTTGGATATAAGTTCTGCATTGTACTATACTGATTTGGTATGATTTATAAGTGCCTAGACTTCGGATTTTCATGAAATAAGGATATTAATGAATATTAATTACTCAAAACTCACTGTCACTCCTTCAAAATCTACATCCAGAAGATTTTTGTAAAGTAAATCGAGTAATCTCTTATCCTTGTTAGTACTATGCTTATAATTCTTGACTTCGTCCACAGTAAAAGTCTTCAGAGTTTCATTAATCGCCAATCCTATTGCCCAAATATTGTCATAGAGTGTAGCCTGATAAAGGCTTGTTGCAACCCGAGTCCTTGGCTTTAGAATACGTTCCAAGTCTTTATATGTCTACAACAAAGTGATCTGTATAGATTCAAAGAATATTCATAATCAAAATACCAAGGCATCAGAATGTTACATGATTGTAGATTGAGAGTTAGAGTCATATCTGTGTGAGTCCTAAAGATATACACTGTGTACATGTATTTCATATGTTCATAACAATGTTTTATATCGCTTGTGTTGAACGGTAACAACAATGACATTGTTTTATATATTTATAGCATGAACCACAACGGGAAGTTCGCTTCCTGGTCTTATCTACCCCAAGGCAACTGAACCCAGTTATCACCAACTACGGTATGTGATATAATAACAGAGCTTTTACAAGTACCTCGTTCGTTGAAAAATGTCTGTGACCGGGATATATTCCAAGAATGGACGAAAGAAATTCAGAGCAAACTATTGTTCCTTCTAGAACCTTCCAAACTTGACTTGAATTGCACCCGTGAACAGATTCATCTATGAGATCTAGCCTTGCAAATGGGTTGTAGTAGGCAAATAACACGTGATGTCGTCCATATAGTCCAAGTTCATGTAGCTAGATGGAATATGATTATTAATATTATATTTAAGTATAGAACTACAATATTAAATATACCATGCTAAGTATGAAATGCTTTTACGATCTAAATTTTAATTTCCTTTTCTTTATTCATCTTTTATTGATAAATAAGGCCATATTATTTTATGACATGGAATTAATCAATGTATGAATTACCTTGCACAGCATTTTTCCAAAATCCCATGTGTGCATCACAAATGACACAATTATTCTGATCCCCTTTAATAAAAACAAATATCAATGTTATTAATTATTAACTCCAGAGTGATTTCTTACGCCAGTTTTTTTAGCTACCTACACTGCCAAAATAACTCCATGCTAAATCAGCGCTAATCTTTTTTCGCGCTAATTTAGCGCCAATTTGGTACGGAATTGGTACAAATAATGTTTGTGTGGAATTAGCGCTAATAAATCAGTACCAAATCAGTACAAACCTCAGTTAGTGCGAAATCAGCACTAACTTAGCAGTGCTAATTTAGTGCTAAGTGAGTGCTGATTTAGCACTAACAAAACTTATATTTTTCTGACTATTATTACAGTATTATTGATTGATTTAAGCAATATTGATATTACTTATTTAGAGTTTGAAATATTTTATTATAAATAACATTCATTATTGTGATTTCTTCATTGAGTTTGACATCTCAGGGAAATCCCTGGGAAATCCCCTTGAACTTTTGACCTATGACGTCACACATTCTATGACTCATACAGGAAGTTTGAGAAGCCACATATTTTAAATTTTGATTTCTGTGCCAGTCTCTGCCATCTGTCTGCAATTTTCACTTGTAAGTATATATTTGATTGTTTTGTTATGAATAAATGAGCATATATTAGGTGCACCTATTATATAGAAGACTTTCAAATACCAGATAGGCTCTGTGGGATAGGCTAGGGCGAAATTCAAAGATAAAAATGAATTCAGGAGGAATTGAAAAAAGAAAATTCAAATTGAAAAGTCACTGAAAGTCTTATCTTAAAAGTCTAGGGCATAGCTATAGGCTAGTTCTTTGGAGTTTTAAAAAAAATATATTTATAATCTGCAATTCATAACGTCTTCTGAATGAAGCCAGACATGGGCCAATCCTGGCCAAAATGTAATTTCTGAGTGATTTCAGTTTTAAATTCAATTTTTTATTCTTTATAAGATCATTTTCTTTTATCGAGAATGCATTTCTAGGCTACCTTTTTATTTTATAGACTTGATGTTGGCACTATTGGTCAGATGTTGGCATATCATGAGGAGTGAAGGCAGTGAAGAATACAATACATAATCAATGGATGGAGGGCCTTATATCAGCAATGTGGAATGCAACATACTTATGCCATTTAGGCTAGGTGCGTAGAGTAAACGTTTCAACAGTTTTAGGAAATCTAATAATAATTTATTTTGCTTATTCAGCGTATCGTTGGAATCGTGCCCCAATGTCATATTACCATGTTCATTTCATATCACCATGTTCCCATGTTATATCACCATGTTCATTTCATATCACCATGTCCCCATGTTACATCACCATGCTCCCATGTTATATCACCATGTTCATTTCATATCACCATGCTCCCATGTTATATCACCATGTTCATTTCATATCACCATGCTCCCATGTTATATCACCATGTTCATTTCATATCACCATGCTCCCATGTTATATCACCATGTTCATTTCATATCACCATGTTCCCATGTTACATCACCATGTCCATGTCATATCACCATGCTCCCATGTTATATCACCATGTTCACTTCATATCACCATGCTCCCATGTTATATCACAATGTTCATTTCATATCACCATGCTCCCATGTTATATCACAATGTTCACTTCATATCACCATGCTCCCATGTTATATCACCATGTTCACTTCATATCACCATGCTCCTATGTTATATCACAATGTTCATTTCATATCACCATGCTCCCATGTTATATCACAATGTTATATCACCATGTTCATTTCATATCACCATGCTCCCATGTTATATCACCATGTTTATTTCATATCACCATGTTCCCATGTTGTATCACCATGTTCATTTCATATCACCGTGTTCCTATGTCACATCACCATGTTCATGTCATATCACCATGCTCCCATGTTATATCACCATGTTCATTTCATATCACCATGCTCCCATGTTATATCACCATGTTCATTTCATATCACCATGTTCCCATGTTACATCACCATGTCCATGTCATATCACCATGCTCCCATGTTATATCACCATGTTCACTTCATATCACCATGCTCCCATGTTATATCACCATGTTCATTTCATATCACCATGTTCCCATGTTACATCACCATGTCCATGTCATATCACCATGCTCCCATGTTATATCACCATGTTCACTTCATATCACCATGTTCCCATGTTATATCACCATGTTCATTTCATATTACCTGCTCCCATGTTATATCACCATTCATTTCATCATGCTACCATGTTCATAACCTTATTTATGCCCTCATGTCATATCACCAATTCAACATGTTAATAGCCTATGCTTCCTCACAGGGCTATAATAAAATTGTAAATACGTCAACCCTAACTATGACAAAATAATCTAGCATAATATTTTGGCCCTGTAAAAATATTGGAAACAATTTGTGTATGCAAACTGAATTCTTTGTTCAAAGATATTATTTCGAACTTTCAATTACATTAACTATTACGGTAAGCAAATCTGCGAATGTTCATAGAAAACTATATTTTCAGGTAACTGTTATCAGTTATAACAACAAAAAGCTTGTGGGGGTGGAGCAAAAACCCAAAAGGATGGTTAAACTAGGCCTATGAACAACTTTCACGAGGTATGTATTGATTTATCATATTAATTGATTAATTCAGAATTAATTCAGTTGCCTTATACCGTATACATATAGATACTGAACAGTGACAGCATGTTCTCTTGATGTCTCATAAATTGGATCCTTAATAATATTGCATCACCGCTATTTAGGAAATGTAAATGTTATACAAAGAAAATATACATATATGTACTTAGTAAGCTGCAATCACGATCATGGATTAATTGGTTTAACTTATGAATATGCATGTTTATTGCAAATGTGATGAAGCCTTAAATTAGCGTTTCTTTTTTATCATTTCAGGTATAACGATTTTACATCAGGGGAACTAAATCGGCGAATAAGAAGGCACAATGACAGGGTGTTAGCATTAACGAATGATTAAGGAATGACAAGAACAATTATGGACTAAACACACCCCTACACCTTTGAACTGATACCCTTGTAAAGGCAATGACATTTACCAGTTGTATGTTATTGGGAGTTAGGGTCATCATCATTTATATACAGAACGACAGTTTTTGTACATTGTGTAAATAGTGAATCTTTTGTAATTTACTGTTATTTACTGTTACTGTGGTAAATCTTCAATCTGAAGGAAATAAAACGATAGGATATATAATATACGATAAATGCGATAGGACCTACTCCTTTAAGACCAGTAAATGATATGATGAATAAAGTTATAATTTGGTATTATATATAACAAGATAATGTATTATGTTTTTAATGATATTATAGCTGGGATACTTGTTTGGTTATAATATTAATACCTGAAGAAAAACCAAGATATATCAAAATCATGTGATATCATAACCCTTAAAAATCCTTTCCCTTGTTGGTCTAATTAAAAACAAGATCTTAATAAAAATGTCAATTTAATACATTTTTATCGATTCATCCCCGATTCATCCCCGATTATTTTTAAAAGTTGGTACAAAATTCATACAAATTTAGCACTAATTCCACGCTAATTCGGTGCAAAGTCATCACTAAGGTTAGTGCTGAGTTAGCGCTGAGTTAGTGTGAATTTTGTACCTGCTGTACAGCTCGATTGGTACTAAATCAGTACTGACATTTTAGCGCTAATTCCACACTAAATTAGTACTAACTCCACACTGATAATTTGATTGCGGATTGGGGGTGTATATAAATAGTCAACTACTCATTCAGCTACCCTACTCATCTTCTTACTCAGCTTTGATCTGGAGTCTTAGATTGAACTTTGTTCAATTTACCATTCTAGTTATTTCTTATACACTAACTATAAAAATGATACTTTCACAGGATGATATTCCAATAGTCCTCTAGGGTTCTTGGAATATCACTTGTGAAAGATACACAGGTATTCACCTCTATATAGTTAAATATTTTTTCATTATCAATAAAGTTATCATGATATATTGAATCATAATTTTCCGTTTCATCTTTGTTATCAGCTTGACCTTGCAATATATTAATTTTACCTTTAATGATGTCCAAATAACATCAGACGACGATTTATCAAACAGAACGTCAGCATATGGTTTTATGTTTCGTTTAGCTAGTTTCTTCTTAAGAACATCTGTACCCTTGTCAAAAAAATGTAGATGCAAAATTAAGCTAGAAGAGACATCAAGACCTCATTTGGTGATGGGGGCTGTATCAGTCGTCAGAGAAACCCTTGCCCCAATAAATCAGAAATTTGAGACAACATATAAGGTCATAATTAATTCAATCCTGATGTGTACAGATGTGGGGTCGGTTGACCTAGTCACGACCAACATAAAATAAAATGACTAAGATCTGCGAGACCAATTAGACATATCACCATAAAATTACGTTACACCAAGCTCGGGTGAAAGGACGTGCAGGATGTCCATCAGCATATGAGTGGTTTGTGATTGGGGGTAAGTAGTTTGTAATCCGACAGATATGCTAGCATTTGCAAGTCTTGTGAGAGGGTTCAACCTCAAATTCAAGCCTGATTTGGAGATTACATATAGTCTATTCGTAGAATAGAACAAAAGATGGCTGCCTGCTTCTGCACATGTGACGCAACTCAAATTTTTAGATTTAGATAAATCTGCACTTAACTGCCATAATATTTCCAATACGGGACCGTTTTACAAATGTAAGCTACCATTAGAAAGTCAATGTGATTTGCAACGTCCATGTTCTACTAGATAATTGTTAAAACATAAAACAGGATAAAGAGAGTGAGATAAATTAATTTTGACACCGGGAGTGCGAACAAAATCTTGAAATAAGTGTTTACCAACTGCCATATATATTACAAACAGTGTTTGGAACTGCAATGTACACTCGGCATACCTTTGACATGACACCATTATCATAGGTTATAAGTCCTATTTTGTTCCATCCAAATCGTTGCAAAATCAAATCGAACACTACAGCAACGTCTGAAATTCCAGCATGTGTCATGGTGTAGTATTTGTACCTCTCGGCATCATAACGCGATTGCAAAGTAAGCTGATTCTGAAAGATATAAACAGACGACGGCTTGTTATGTCACGCTACCCCCCCCCCCCCCTTATGAATTTTATATGAAATTCACTAAACCCAATCTCGATGGACAATAGTTGTAGTGTTTTCATAGAATTCTAAGAAGCAAACCCAATGTCCTGTTTAAAACCCGTATTCTTACTATTGAAAATTGATTTTATCAATAATATCCCACTTGAATCCACTTGTTAAGACTCAGTCAACTTGCGTTCTTCTGAGAAAATGAGGTTTTCAGAAAGGGTGTATTGACTTCACATGTGGTTGACATGGGGATACAATTGACTTATCAAATGTATATCATCTTGTACGTCATCATCAAGTCTCAACAAGTAGATTCATGCTGGAAAGTATTGGTTATTGGTTATAGTATAGTCATGGTAACGATAAGGTTTTTTAAACAGGACATTGGAGCTTAACTAAAGTCTTTTTAAAAAAGTTAGTTAACTCTATACACTTGGTTAACATACGCTACATACCACTATACATCCCCACGTAACACAAACTGGTACCGTAGCTTCTTGTCCAACAAAAGTGCTCAATATAAACGGCGTATCACGACCTCGGTAGATATATTCCCACAGCTTGGTGTTCACTCCCGATACTGAACTATTCTAAATTACAAATAAAACGTTTTTTAGTTTCCATTAATGGAAAGTGGTTTACAATGGGAATGCAGATTTAACCCAAATGCGACATGAAAGTGTTTTTCAAATATTCCATTCTATTGAGCTGAATCCCGGGAGCTGAATGCATGCTCATCGTTCAAAAAAGTTGAACATGTATTCACCGAAAATAACATTGAATGTTTAATCTATTTTAATATTAGAATATTCTTACTTTACTTAGAAACCTGTGTATTAGAATTTCTCAAAAACGTTTAATCGAATAAGAGATCTAGAGTGTTTGCACAATTGAATGAAGCTAATATAATAGTTGTCACCCCTGTTTATATTTAGTTTGGTTTGGCTAGACTGCCATAGACTTCCATGTCATACATTTGCAACTTAATTTCGTGACTTATCAGAGTGTTGGTGGGGTGACCCTATCACTCTACATGTTGTAATTTATCATGAAAATTTAGATTATTGAACAAAGAAACTATAAGGTTAAAAAGAAATTAAGCATTACATCAATACAAATTCGGTCCTCATTTTGATTAGAAATAAATGTTCAACAAGCTTCGAATTTCCAATAACTTAAAATATTCTTTAGACTTCAATTTTTTAAATCATCTGCAAGTTTTTGGACGTTCACATCGGAGTTAAGATCTGAGATTTCACCTCAATGACCTTCACAAGGTCAAGATATGTCAGAATGGAATTTTTCACCTTGCTTCAAATATAACTCCCCTATCACACCAAACTAGTTCTTACCCGTTCTTGCCAGTCCTATGAAAACGTCGTAAAACGGGCTCAATCTGGCTGTGGTTGGGAAATATGTCTAAAATAATTAGCTACTTCGTTCATAAACAGTCTTCAATACGTCCATCTCATTCGCAGTTCGTTCAGGCTGCACCACGTCGGTGTGCAACGTGGTATAACGCGTCCCTTAGTCTAGAAGGTCATCATGACCTGATTACAGAACGGTATGGTCGCAATCGAATTTTGAATCGAAATTCTAAAATCACCTTCCCGTCTTCTAACGTTCATGAAGTTCGTAAATAGACCTTATTAAGTTGCAGCTACGTTCATTCTGTTCGCACACAGTTTAAAACCAGTTTTGAAGAACGCAGTGGCAACTTGTTTGGTGTGATAGTTATATTTTTGCTAACTCGTTCATAAGCAGTCTTAAATACGTTCTTAATCAGATAAAACCCGTTTGCAATTAGTTCTACCTCGTTCTCAATACGTCCTCAGACAGTTCAACTCGTTGTCATAACGTCCTTAGTAGGATTGAAGTACGACGGTTCCGTTCGTAGTACGTCCAGCTCGTCGTTAGTACGTTGTCACTCGTTCTAATTGTAGAACGTATCGACCACGAGAACATTTTGAGCATGTTCTAAGTTCAAGAGGACCTACCCGTTCGAGTACGTTCGGTGAAGTTTATAAATAGACCCCAAACGGTTCTAAGTACGTCCAGTCCGTTCGTACACAGTTGAAACCCGTTTGCGAGAACGTAGTGAAAACTAGTTTGGTGTGATAGTAGGGTTAGAAAGGTTGCAAGAAGGGTTGCATGCATTAACTTACTGGTAAACATGGATCCAGTTCAAGTCTGAATAAAGGAAACAAGTCAATGGCATTGTTGACATCTAGGATCGCTTGTTCCGCGAACTTGCACGAGTCGTTAAAGAAGACGAATTGCCGAAAAATAAGATTCCCTATGAGTATTGTTGGCCGTTGCCCCAAACTGTCCATCGTAGCATTTGTAGTATTGATGTCAGGAGTTGTCGTGTTGGCCAAAGAACGCGTATTGTCATCAAGTGTTGATGTAACATTATCAGTTATTCCAAACGTTGTTAATAGCCTTGTGCAAAGAATAATTATTATGCAAAAATAAACAGACATGATGTCCTCATTTCACTGTTAACCTTGCTCAAGTATTTTATGTGTGTCAGTATACTCCAGTTTAAACTTAAACATTAATTTCTAGCATTTATTTATGCTATGCTTCTAACCGGAACGTGTTTTATTACACGGGTTTTAGTGGAGTAGAGTTTAATTTTATGTAAACACTTAGAGGAGGGAAAACTCCAAAGATTAGAAATGAATTCTTACCGACTTGTTTCCGAAAAACATATATCGACTCGTCGTGATATGTCACATCAAATACAGCACTTTCTACTGGATGATCATTGAAAAAATCTAGAAGCTGGTATAGGCAAAATTTTGTATTTTTGTTATTTTAAGAACTAATTGATTTCTAATAAGTAACTTTCATATTGTTTTACACGTGGGGGGCGGGAACGTGATCAAAAACATATATTTACATAAAAAATATGCCAGTTATTAGTTTATTATGAGTGAACATTTTCGGCTATTCTCGTAAAATTCCGGAATATGCCGAATGGTACTGACGTATTTTACGACTTCCGGAATCCCCTGACATGACGTGGAGGGATTGTAGCTGACCGTTAACCTATTGAATGAACTACATTGTACTGCACGTTCCCGTTTCTACTTTCCACAAGTTTAACTTTAGGGCTATAAATTACAAGCAGTTAATCACGTAGATGTGACGTGGGGCATTTCGCTTCCCGGTTCCACCTCTACCCGTCCCTTATTACAACTGGGCTGATCACGTTTCCCTCGAAAGATCTGCGTCGCCCCCGCATCGCGAACAGTGTCACGTCTTGTTACGTATTTTACTGTACTTTTTATAGCGTTTCAAGTTAACTAGTTTATTATTTAACCATGAATATAACATTGTACTTTGAATTGATACGTTAAGATCATATGCACATTATGACACAGTGTCAATGAGCATACTCCGGTAAAATCCGCTTTATCTACATTTCATCGAACGATCAGGTAAGAATCGCACCCAAAAGACACAGATAATGTGAAACACATTCGGCTTGCTGAATATCAAGAATAAGCTTGGTCGATATAGCCTTCGTGTTACCAAAAATATAATTTTACTGGATCGTGCGGTTTATAGAGACAATATAGAGACTACATGATATCCATCGGAAAATGAACAAAGGGGGTAGGCGATTTCTGCTAGAAATTTCAACAAATCGAGGATTTTTTTAAAGGATGCACTTTTAAGATATCGAGATCTATAAAAAAAGGCCCGACGTCACCGACGTACAAAAGTCAAGGTTTTTGCTATAAATCAAGCAATTATGGTCTACAAGACCTCTAATTAATATTTACAAGTAACGTTATTTTGATAAAATTAACATCCCTGTTTTTTCAAAATAAGTTTACATACGTTATATAAAAAATCGATATTATTAAAACTGAACGGAGGGAGGGGGAGTGAACAAAGGGGTGGATGTTTTGTCTTAAAGTGGAAGAACTTTACACGAATTCGTGTATTTGAAAAATGAAATCCTGACTCAGTAACATTTGGAGATGTTACAACACTGAAGAGTAAAAAACAGGGACGTTTGGAGTTAATAAGTCAAGTAACATATCTTATCATGTCTAATAGAAAGATCACTCCCCCCCCTCCCCATATTCACCACCCCTCCGTCGACTTTTAATTATTTTTGATTATTTCCAAAAAATAAGGAAACTTGTTTTTAAAGCCAGCAATGCCATTAATTTTGTGATGAAAACATCACTTACAATGTTTACTACAGGTCGTGTAGACCCATTGCTTGATTTATAGCAAAAACATTGAAATGTGCACGGTTGCGTTGCGCCTTTTTAATAGATTAGCTACTCAGCCCCCCCCCCCCCCCCCCCGCCACACCCACACATAAATTTCGTTCATTTTCGGGTCACCGGGCGTAATATCAGAATACTTAATTTTTGTCAAACAAATTTTTTATCCTTGCAAAATTTTCATTTTTATTTTTGGTTTCATATTTTTTCAACACCTTAAGTTCATATAAATACTATTTGATGTCAGAGCACTTCATTTTTGTTTCAGAGATTGTTTGCCCTTGAAATTATATAGATATATATATGATGTCAGAACACTTCTTTTTTGTCAAACAAATTCTTACCCTTGCAAACACTTTCAATTTTATTTTTCACCTTCACTTATTCTGAAGACCATTATACAAACTATATAATGTCAGAACTGTTCTCATTTGTCAAATATTTTTTCACCCTTGCAAACGTTTCAAAAATGTATTGTTTCATATTTTTACCTATTTCAACATCTTTAAGTGTGCGCTAAAGTTTACTGCGCAGGCGCAGCGCTCTCGCTAACCTATTTAAAGCGAATACCAGGTACACGGTGTATAACCCAAACGCTCCTACATGCACGACGGAGCGTTTCATTACTGAAATTAAACAAAGAAACGCTCCGGAGTAGGAAAACTGGCTAGCGGGAATGATGAGCCGTCTGACAATTTCCCCGATAATGGGAATAAGAGGTATGAGTTACATATTTCGAGTATACCATTCGATGGGTGTGATATTCATGTTGTACTTGGCTGACTGTTGACGTTTGAAGCAATAAGGAAGAGCTGTACGAAGCAGTATAGTTATCAAAATCCAAAAACGTATCTGTCATTCTACCAGCCAAAACCCCTTTTGTCGATACATGTGATTAGTTCAGCCAAGATTAGAGCACCAACGTATATTTTAGTCAAATTCCAATGCTTCAACGCACCATACATAATCGTAATAGTGATTTGATGACCGAAAATCCAGTCTTAAAAATGATGACATTCTCATATTCAAGAAACGCTCCGATCTGGTTAACACAGTGAACTGGAAACGCCCCGGTAGTCTAGATCTGTTTAGGAAATATATAGCTTGCCTTTCCTTTTCAAGAAGAGGAAGAAAAGATCTTATATACCCCTTGGCATCAAAAGAAGAAAGATTAATTCACATATAAATTTTCGTTTTTTTCTATAGTTTTATGATTTAGCACACATGTAGGCATGACATCGTCTAATGTAGGCTTAAATCAGCTAGTTGCACGTTTAGCACCACCAGGTTCAGATGTTTCAATTTGCCTAACAAGTACAACACGTTTTTGAGAGAAAGATTCGATTGAAACTCTTCTCTAATAATCTGAAAATGATATCAAAACAAAATGGTAAGAGCGTTTCTAAAATTGTGTTCTAAATCGACGGAGCGTTTCGAGGAAAACAAGCGATTTCTTGAGAACAAGTAATGGATTTGGACTGGGATTTTAGGAAATGAGAATATACGAGTTCTTGATCTACCACATTAACAGAAAGATTAACGTTTTCAGAGAAATACTAGTTTAATTCGTAATTCGTGGTCAAATCGTCATCTTGAGATTCGTTCGATCTACACTACGGAGCTTTGATCAAGCAAATAACAGTTTACCACCAGAAGTTGAATAAATAAGATCTTTGCTCACGGTATTGTTCATCGAATGGTACATAATATTTCACCATAACATATGATATGTAAGAGAAACGAGAGAAACAATACTGACGGTCATAGTGGAATCTTCATTAGCCGCCATTTTATTTCGCTCTGGAGCGTTTCCGCGTAAATAAAACGCTCCGTCGTGCATGTAGGAGCGTTTGGGTTATACACCGTGAGGTACAGGCTTTAGAGGTAAGCCAGGAAGGTGAACAATCTTCGTGTTGATTTCCCGTATAATCGTAACCAAGTAAGTTTCACCATTGAAATTTAAAATTACTATTAGATATACTTTGTAGATGTTATTTATGAAGCTAATTAGTGTATGCATCGATCAAATGGCTCATTTTGAACAAATAAAAAGTATTTGTGTTTTGTTTCCCAGGGAATTGTATTCCCACATAGTACACACAAAAAGAGTGTACATTATGTAGTACTTGAATAGCCTGGTTTATATAATATTGAAGGGCATGCTAATTGCACACACGAGTACATGCATGAAGGCTTAATATATAGCTTGCATACCTAAATAACAATAAACTCGTCTAATCCCCTAATGTAAACACGGCGGTATACGTAGCCCGATGTATCGGGGACTTTAAAGATATCGGGTCTCCTAAAAACACAATTAGAGTAACCCCCTGATTTTTTCTTGTTATTTGATGTAACACAAGTTTGTTTATCAACTTATCAATTCTGAGGCTTGAATTAATTCGTTAACAGTATCAATTCGATGATTGTTCTTAGCCATGAATTTCCACTTACATCAATAGAAATTGAAATTAAAATTTAAAAAGCCCGCTCAAATTTGTTCCAGTCTGATTGGCTTTTTCTTTCAGATTATTTTGGCTTGGAGAAGCCATATTTATTACTTCTAAGGGGTTACAATATAGATAAATTCCCCCAAAAACATTGTATTCTGTTTTCGACTTATTGCGTTCAATTCTGACAGTTGGTTGTTCTTTTGGTTGTCCTGTTGATATCCTCAATATATTGTCGATATCGTGCTTATGATTTGGTCTCAAGATATATCTAAGGTATATATGATGTTTTATGAGCAATTATATTGGGACATTACTGATTGTCCAGAATAGAAATCTGGAAGACTCGATCTCTTTAAGACCACATGCAGACCATATGATGTCAGAACATTTCATGATGTTGAAAAGATGTTGCCTTGCAGAGTTTTCACTTTATTTATCTTAGTACCATATTTAGCAAAGGTTTTAATTCTTTCAGGATTATTAGTCCTACCATTGACCTCTTTGTATGAATTTTATTATCATTTTAATTGCCTATTTAAGAGGGGTAGATAATGTAAAATAGTGTAAAACTACTTATACTCTAAGAGCGAGGAGGAAAATTCTTAATAAATGGAGTATAGTTGGTTTGGCAGCATTTTCAGTTAGAGGGAAGTCTTGGATGAAAATTCTACCTAGGTGATAGCTTCACAGAGTGGTACATAATTCTTTTTTTCAGGGGTTAGCCCCCCACCCCCCAGAAACACCCCACCCCCGGAAAATATTTTTTTCATTCTCAATAATTTTAGATATCTTGATGTTTGTAAGTTACATACATAGACATTATATATATGAATCATTTGCATAACAAATAATGCCAATCACTCCTACAGAATTTGGAAAATACTACAAAGTATGTACCCCAGGGGGCAAATTCGTGACCCATTTTCTTACTATTTAGAGCCTCACTTTTCAATCAGACACTGGAAGACATTGAAACATTTCACGTGAAGTGCCCAGTAGCAGGGCTATGAGCCCTGAAAGGTTCAAACTAATTGAACTAGTAGGAGCCGAGAAAAAAATTGTTGAATTTTTGAAAAATTTGACATTTTTGAGAGGGGTGATTTTGTGTATGACTATAGCTGATGCCTATGGTTTCCAGATCTATCCCTCTTTGATGATAAATATGGTTTAGAAGTATGGAACTAAGATGTAAAAAATAATTAAAATGGGTTTTAAGGAAGTTTTATGTTTTAAACAAGTTCAAAATTCCAAGAATTGTACAATATCAGGTCTGAATTTACAAATTTTAGGTAAGACCTTGGATGAGCCTTAGATTTTTTACATCTGTCCCCCTTTGATGATATTTATGGTTTTGTAGTATGAAACTAAGATGTACAAAATAATTTAGATGGTTTTTAAGAAGGTTTAAGAATTTTAACAAGTTCAAAATTTGAAGAATTGTACAATATCAGGTCTGAATTTACGAATTTCAGGTATTACCTTGGATGAGCCTTATATTTTTTACATTTGTCCCTCTTGGATGATATGTATGGTTTTGTAGTGTGAAACTAATTAGTAATAAATAATTAAGATTGATTTGAAGAAAGTTTAAGGATTTTAAATGAGTCCAAAATTTGAAGAATTGTACAATATCAGGTCTGAATTATGAATTTCAGGTATGACCTTGGATGACCCTTATGTCTTTTAAATCCTTCCTCGTTGATGGTATTTATGGTTTTATAGTGTGGAACTAAGATGTAAAATATAATTTAGATGAATTCTAAGAAGGTTTAAGGATTTTTAACTTGTTCAAAATTTGAAGAATTTCACAATATCGGGTCTGAATTTACGAATTTCAGGTAAGACCTTGGATGGCTCTTATGTTTTTATATCTGTCACTCTTTTTATATCTGTCACTCTTTGATGATATGTATTGTTTTGTAGTGTGGAACTAAGATGTAAAAATGGTTTAGATGGTTTTGAAGAGTGTTTAGGGATTTCAATGAGTCCAAAATTTGAGGAATTGTACAATATCAGGTCTGAATTCTCGAATTTCAGGTATGACCTTGGACGACCCTTTTGTTTTTTACATCTGTTCCTCTTTGATGATATTTATGGTTTTATAGTGTGAAGCTAAGATGTAAAATATAATTTAGATGAATTTTAAGAGATTTAAGGATTTTAACAAGTTCCAAATTTGAAAAAAATGTACAATATCAGGTCTGAATTTACGAATTTCAGGTAAGACCTTGGATGGCTCTTATGTTTTACATTTGTGACTCTTTGATGATGTATTGTTTTGTAAAGTGGAACTAAGATGTTAAAAATGATTCAGATGGTTTTGAAGAATGTTTAGGGATTTTTGAGTCCAAAATTTAAAGAATTATACAATATCAGGTCTGAATTTTCGACTAATAGGTATGACCTTGGACGACTCTTTTATTTTTTACATCTGTCCCTCTTTAATGACAGTTATAGTTTTATGGTATGGAACTAAGATGTAAAATATAGTTTAGATGAATTTTTAGAAGGTTTAAGGATTCTAACAAGTTCAAAATTTGAAGAATTGTACAATATCAGGTCTGAATTTGCAAATTTTAAGTAAGACCTCGGATGAGCCTTATATTTTTTTACACCTATCCCTCTTTGATGATATGTATGGTTTTGTAGTGTGGAACTAAGATGTAAAAAATAATTTAGATGCATTTTAAGAAGGTTTAAGGATTTTAATTTGAAGAATTGTACAATATCAGGTCTGCAATGAATGAATTTCAAGTATAACCTTGGTTAGTCCATATATTTTAACACCTATCCCCTTTTCATGATATATTTGGTTTAGTTGTGTGGAAATATGTATAACATAATTTACATCGATTTTAAAGCTTAACATTTTAAACAAGTTCAAAATCTTGGCGTATTGTACAATATCAAATCTGAAATGAATTTTAAAATTTTTAAAGGAATTTAAAGTATAACCTTGCTTGGCCCTTATATTTTTTACATCTATCCTTTTTTGATGATATATGATTTAGTAGTGTGGAGCTAATATATAAAACATAATCAAGATGGGTTTTAAAGAAGTTTAAGGTTTTAAATAAGTTCAAATTTTCACAAATTGTACAATATCAGAGCTGATATTGATGAATTTTAGGTATTATGTTTTTTACATCTATCCCTTTTTGATGTCATATATGCTTTTAGTAGTGTTGAACTAAGATGTAAAACAAAGTTTAAGGTTTTAAACAAGTTTAAATTTTGACGAATTGTACAATATCAGAGCTGATATTAATGAATATTGGGTATTTAGGTAAGCCTTATGTTTTTTACATCTATCCCTTTTTGATGACATATATGCTTTAGTAGTGTTGAACTAAGATGTTAAACAAAATTTAGACAGGTTTTAAAGAAGCTTAAGGTTTAAACAATATAAAAAATTGAAGAATTGTATAATAACAGGTCTGGAATTTATTAATTTTAGGTAGGCCTATAACTGTGAATGGCCCTCATTCGTTTTTTACATATATCTCTCTATGATAACAAATATGGTTTTGTAGTATGAAACTAAGATGTAAAACATAATTTAGATGGGTTTTAAGGAGGTTTCAAAACTTGACAAATTGTACAATATCATATCTTCTGACATTAACGAATTTCAGGTATGTATTTCTCTATGATGATATATATGGTTTAATAGTATGGAACTTAGATGTAAAACATAATTTAAATGGGTTTTAAGGAAGTTTAAAGGCAGAATCAGATCTATGGGTGTGACAAAATTACAAGCAACATGTACAGTTCATGTACCAATCTATTCCTTACAATCTCAAATACAATATCTCCAAAAAGATTCACGATGTGTTAAAAATTGATGAAGTAATAATGGATTCAAAAAGCAAAAATGGGTGAAAAATGTTTAAATTCTCCCAAAATAATAAGAATGGTAACCATTCAAAAAGGTCCATGTGCAGTTTGGCAAGTGATTTTAGACGGTCATATATTTCACCATGAGTACTTTCTGGGCATAAATACAGTGATTTTTATTTTTAAAAAAAAATATTTTCTTTCAAGTGAAGTCCCCATGGAAAATTATAATTTTTTTCTAAATGTTTAGAGCCAACCAAGGTTATACTTGAAATGTAGTGTTAATATTGTACAATGCGCCAAGATTTTGAACATGTGAAAATCACTAAACCTTCTTAAAATCCATCTAAATTGTTTTTTTACATCTTTTTTACATCTTAGTTCTACACTACAAAACCATACATATCTTCAAAGAGGGACAAATGTAAACAATATATGGCTCACCAAAGGTCTTACCTGAAATTCAGACCGGATATTATACAATTTTTCAAATTTTGAACTTGTTAAAATCCTTAAACATTCTTCAAATTCATCTAAATTATATTTTACATTTTAGTTCGTTACTTTAAAAGCATAAATATCATTAAAGAGGGACAGATGTAAAAACATAAGGGTCATCCAAGGTCATACCTTAAATTCGTAAATTCAGACCTGATATTGTACAATTCTTCAAATTTTGGACTCATTAAATTCCTTAAACCTTCTTCAACACCATCTAGGTTATTTCTTACATATTAGTTTCACACTACAAAACCATAAATATCATCAAAGAGGGACAGATGTGAAAAATATATGGCTCACCAAAGGTCTTTCCTGAAATTCATAAATTCAGACCGGATATTATACAATTTTTCAAATTTTGACCTTGTTAAAATCCTTAAACATTCTTAAAATTCATCTAAATTATATTTTACATTTTAGTTCGTTACTTTAAAAGCATAAATATCATTAAAGAGGGACAGATGTAAAAACATAAGGGTCATCCAAGGTCATACCTTAAATTCGTAAATTCAGACCTGATATTGTACAATTCTTCAAATTTTGGACTCATTAAATTCCTTAAACCTTCTTCAAAACCATCTAGGTTATTTCTTACATATTAGTTTCACACTACAAAACCATAAATATCATCAAAGAGGGACAGATGTAAAAAATATATGGCTCACCAAAGGTCTTTCCTGAAATTCGTAAATTCAGACCTGATATTGTACAATTCTTCAAATTTTGAACTTGTTAAAATTCTTAAACCTTCTTAAAAACCATCTAAATTATTTTGTACATCTTAGTTTCATACTACAAAACCATAAATATCATCAAAGGGGGACAGATATAAAAAATCTAAGGCTCATCCAAGGTCTTACCTAAAATTTGTAAATTCAGACCTGATATTGTACAATTCTTGGAATTTTGAACTTGTTTAAAACATGAAACTTCCTTAAAACCCATTTAAATTATTTTTTACATCTTAGTTCCATACTTCTAAACCATATTTATCATCAAAGAGGGATAGATCTGGAAACCATAGGCATCAGCTATAGTCATACACAAAATCACCCCTCTCAAAAATGTCAAATTTTTCAAAAATTCAACAATTTTTTTCTCGGCTCCTACTAATTCAATTGGTTTGAACCTTTCAGGGCTTATAGTTCTGCTACTGGGCACTTTACATGAAATTTTTCAATGTCTTCCAGTGTCTGATTGAAAAGTGAGACTCTAAATAGTAAAATCGTGGGTCACAAATTTGCCCCCTGGGGTACATACTTTGTACTATTTTTCAAATTCTGTAGGAGTGATTGGCATTATTTATTATGCAAATGATTCATATATATAATGTCTATGTATGTAACTTAAAAACATCAAGATATCTAAAATTATTGAAGATGAAAAAATTATTTTCCGGGGTCGGGGTGTTTTTTTGGGGGTGGGGGGCTAACCCCTGAAAAAAAAGAATTATGTACCACTCTGTGAAGCTATCACCTAGGTAGAATTTTCATCCAAGACTTCCCTCTAACTGAAAATGCTGCCAAACCAACTATACTCCATTTATTAAGAATTTTCCTCCTCGCTCTTAGAGTATTAGGATTTTTCTTTCTCAGGTACCTACTTTCTACAAATAGTCATGTCTCAAAAAAACTATTAACATACATCATCCTAAGGTTGAATCACCAAGGATATTGAAGATTATGAAATTGTCCCCAAGAGACCATAAAATTATATCTAGTTGAAAGTCAGGACATACATTCCTCTAAAGGCTCTTTGCATATTACCAATTGACTATACATTCAAATTTTGCTCCAGTTTTGAGATATTAGAGCTAAGAAACTGAAAATGTCAAATTTTAAAAATTTTATGGTCTTAGGGACTCTTTTCAAAGTTGTTTTAATAAGTCCATAATTGAATTAGCTTTCATATGATATATAACATATGCTGGTATGCTATTTGGGATTGGTGGTTGATGGGGAGGGACGGTCATTATGAAACACCCTGTATAGGTGTCAACTACACACATATGGATATATTCGAAGACCCAAAATTGCTTAGTTTCAGAAATATCACACACATTTGATATGCCGCACCAAATATTTTTTACAGGCTCTGTAGGGTGTAGTAAGACGTATAAGACAAGCACAAATGCCTAAGTCAGTATATTGATATGTATTTACAAAGATGTCGCTCAAGAATAGTATGGCTTTTTACAATATGTTATTTATAAAAACACAAAATAAATAAATCATATCTAAATAGTATATCCATCTATATATTGCATGAGTTTACAATTTTCATCTAGCCATCTAGCTGATATAAACCGTATGTTGTATAATCATTTTTAATATATGCGTTTTTAAAATATAGAAGATCACAATTATCGGTTGGCTTTTTGCAAACCCTCCAGTTTTATTTTCTCTGAACATGTTCAGTTTTCAAAGATGTCGCTTTAGCTAATCAAGTAATACAATCATGATTGATAATATACAATTATTTTCTTTGAACAAAAATCAGAGTCAGAACAAATAACAAGCAAATTGCACTATTACATAAACAACAAGCCTGAATGTGTTCAATAATTTCTCAATAAATAACTCCTACAGTAGATAGTTTTCTTGTGAACATTTACCATGCATAAAGATGTTGATATCAACTTCTATACGATATCCTTTAAATATGATATCGACTTAAGATTTTGACGAAATAAACCTAAAAAATTTGAAGATGAGATAATATTTTAAAGATGCTTGCTTTCTTTTTCTTATTAAACAGAGGAGCCTCCATAAATCTCTCCAATTCTCGTTTTTCATGAGATTTCAAAAGATTTGCATTTTTACCTTTAACAACTAACTTTTCTTTCTTTTCAATAGCATAATTGAATTCAGTGAAAAGTTTTCCACAGAAATAACTTTGATTTATACATTAATTAAATCATTTTCCATGACTTTTTAAAAAAAACTTGGGCCAAATCTCCATTGATGCAATGCTTAAGATTCTTTAAAACCTTGACTGCATTTGATAGCTTTATCTAAATTCTATTTCTCACACTTTGGCATAGGGACAACACCACTAATTGATCCTTCGCTGGATGACGTCATAAGAGCAGGAATATCGTCCAAATATTTTATAATTACATTGGCAGCACCAGTAGTGGTTTAATTTAGTAAGTACATGAGTGAAAAAGAGTGTATGTATTGACCAACTCTAACACCTCATTTGATGTGATAAGTAAGCATTTTTTTAAATTGACATTTTTGACCTGCCTCCACTGTCAGATCAGAAGTACAAATAATGAAAGACTATAGGCTATATAGGCTATATAGCAGGCCCGTAGGCCCCCCCCCCTCTGGCAAAAACTTCTTTCAAATCCATGCAGTTTTTCACCATTCTGACTATTGTTTGAGTGATTTTTGGCCAAATTGCCAAAGTGAACTCCCCCTAAAAAAATTGGGAAACCTCCCCCCTTGGAAAATGCTGGCTACGGGCCTGTATAGGATACATTCAACAAATGTAAATTTTGATTCAACTTTTCTATAAAACAGATCATTGTATGCATGGGGAAAGCCATGTTATAGCATTTAGTTGTGTTCTTCCTTGGAAAATCACTTTGCACGGAATGCAAAGTCAATAAATGTATGTAAAAACGTCCTAAAGTCTATGTCAGTGCATTGGGAATGAGCATTGCTACAATTTGCAATAAAACGTTTGTTAACCTCGAAACAGCAACATACCGCAAACGGAATACCTCTATCCCAAATTAATTTATGATTTAATAATAGTTTCTTCGGTTGATATAATTTTTAAAGCTAGAAAAATCCAATGTATTGACATAGACATTGACATTAACATATTGCTATAAGCAAGGCCATAAATTATATCCATCGTAGAAATAATTCAAGTGGGTTTTATTTCTTAAATATCGATTATGTTTTACATAATGTATCAATTTTATGAAAATAGCACTTATATCATACAAATAGGGAATAGTAAATCTATTTCGGAAAGCGTGACTAGGTATTGACCAATCAGGATTAGTGTTACATATTGGGTATATAATAATTACATATGATGCCTATGTGTATGACTTGCATGTATGTTCGGTATATAGATTGTTACTGTTCCAGTGACGACCTTTCTAATTTCATAAATATGATAGAATATTATAGACTAGGAAACTATTATCCGATTTTTATGTCCATTTATTATAACATGGATTTTTATAGTCAGAATATGGAAGGAGTGCAATTCCAAACGTCAAACGCAACAAAGGATCGTATTGTTTTAACACAATATACAATCTGTAGCAAACGCCCATTGAACCGAATATGCGTAAAAGTGTTTCTCAATAGCAAGGTAATGCAGCAAATCAGTTCATTTGGAGCTCGAATATATCAACATGCCAGTACAACGTGTATTCAAGGGCGAACGTAATACCCGGAACGTTCGCAAATTGGCGTTCATTTTTTTACCGCATCGGATTTCGTTTCGTTTGGTACACAACTAAGCCCCGGTTATTAAATAAGCCCTTGGTGTATTTGGCATTTTGAATTGTGACGAAGTCAAGCTCTATAAACAACATTCTTCATGTAACCCCGCCCCCAATATCTGAGACGCATCAATGCACCATAGTTAAGGCTGCACTACAAGGACCCATCCACTCGAGTACTAGAGCGATCCACAACAATTCAAGATAAATCAATAAGCTATGATACACGAATATCAAACATAATTTCACATGGTCATTCCCTCAAATTATCGTTACTGTTGACTCTCATCGGTTTTAAGATTTTTTTTAAAAATCCTTTGGCTACTTTCCCGATAGATTTACGTCTCCCTAGTCCCTGTTTTAATCTATGTCGAATTGTCGAGACAATGTCGACCAAGAGTTCGTCTATATGATGATTTAGAACTGCACTCGTCTCTTTAAATTTGCAATCATAATTTTTGGAAGCCTCGAGTCCCTCTGAAAGATAATAACATTAGTATTATATAATGATTGGATACCACTGGGTTTGTGGTTATTTACTAAACAATTATCTAAGAGGGAAACATTCTATGTAATTTTGTTTTCTTGTTTAATCTACTACTTTAGTTGAATCGACCACTGAGTTGAATGTTATCATTTCTTTATCTCGACGTGCTATAGTTCTTCTTTTTTATTGTGTAGTATCGTATAGTATCATATCGTATCGTATTGCATTTCAGTTTTATAAATACACATTTCTTTATGAGCAAGAACGTAAACGACATTTAAAGGTATATATTCCTTTCGATTTCATTTGAGGTATCAGATCGAATATAAGTCAAATTAATGTACGTGGGTCAACACTTTGTTCAAAAGAGAAATAAAAAGTGCATAATAATTACCTTCTTTGTTAATTTGTCGCTGTCTGACGATGTCTGTTTTATTGCCGATTAGAAACACGGTTGACGTTTTCTGGACTTGCCTCAGATCCTTCACCATGTCAACGGCGTGACGTAACGTACGTTTATCGATGACGGAATACACTATGACGTAAGCGTCGACGTCACAATGGTCGGTATGGTCCTGGAATAAAAGCAAAAAATGAACGTCATGATGAGCAATGCATTAAAGATTAAAGGAAACGGGAGTCGTATTTTTAATTTGACACTCCCTCTATTTAAATGAACAGCGGCACCTATTCAAATGAGCACTAAAAGTGCCGTTGCCCACAGCAAAAAATGTGTACGAATACAACGAATCCTGACGTCAGGATACATACAGGATATGCACCCAGTGTGCCAAACCTGTATGAATCCTGATGCCTGGATACATACAGGATTGGCACACAATGTACATATCCTGTACATATCCTGGGTCAGGATTTATACAGGATTGGCGCGTGTAGGAATCCAGTATAAATCCTGCTCCTGGATTCGAACAGGATACGCTCGCAGTGTGCCAATCCTGTATGAATCCTGACGCCTGGATACATACAGGATTGGCACACAATGTACATATCCTGTACGTATCCAGGCGTCAGGATTTATACAGGATTGGAGCAGGTAGAAATCCAGTATGAATCCTGCCTCCTGGATTCATACAGGATAAGCTCGCAGTGTGCCAATCCTGTATGACTGTACAGGATTGGCACACTGTGTGCATATCCCGGATAACATATCCTGCACATAATTTACAAATTATTGATTGCTATTGTTACTAAAATTTATTACAAAATCAATGTTAATTTGATAATAAAATACAATATTTCAATTTTTTCAATCAAACAAATAATTTACTTTCAAAAGTACCTGTACTAGTATCCAAAAGTGAATTTCATTAAGATAAGAATGAACATTTTGCCATTATTCACAATTATTTTTTCCCTGGACTATTGTGATTTGATATTTGATGCTTAAGAAGCTATAGAAGACAAATGGTATATATAAATAGCAATATGACATACTTTTAAAGAGCCTAATGTCTGCAACCTTTTTATAACAGACTTTCAATTAAAAGCCCATTATAACACATAGTCGCAATGGTGGAGGGATTTGGATATTTCGAATTCCCCCGGCGATTTATCATTACTTATCTGTTTTCAATATTGTTGGTATTTTGCAACCCTTTAATATTCAATTAGCGCTTCAAAAAAAGTAATGTTTTTCAAAAGGTAGGTCAAAAGGGTCAAATAGAGGTCAACATGACATTTTGTGATAAATTGTTAATGTGCGAAAGTACGAAATACGTAGTACAGGTATGTTCCAGGCGTGACGAGGCTGTTTTATTAATGTTCTACGAATCTAGATTTTATATCACTTGAAACAATGCATAGCCCTTGGTGAGAGGGGGGGGGATAACAGACATCTAACATAGCGTTTTAGTGATGTATAATCATTAATCAAAACAAATAATACCTTTCTGATTACATTTTGTCCATGTATTTCTGGACTTATTTACTTATGATTTAGCCAATATGATACAACAACAAATTAACTTCACTTGCGTCAGCCCTTCATCTCCATGCAAATATAATTGTATTCATGTTCGACGGGGAATAAGAATATTTGTTTACCCGGCACCCCTGATCATTATCAAGCCCCCTCTAGATATCAGGCCCGTCACAGGCACGTATCCAGGGGGGTTTGAGGGGTTCGATTTACCCCCCCCCCCCCCCGGCAAATAAAATCTTTCAAAATCATGCGGTTTTCACCATTCTGAACACTTTTTAAGTGATTTCGGCCATTTTTGGACCAACATTGGCACAAATAAACCCCCCCCCCCTTGGAATTTTTCAAGAAGTGAACCTCCCATGGCAAATCCTGGCTACGGCCTGCGTCATACTGTATGGCTAAAACTCCGGGCTTTCGCTAGAGAGGCGTGCCTCAGAATACCCATGACCCGTAGTAGAGATTAGGTCATTTATGTAAAGGATGAAAAGTACGGGGCCTAAAATGGATCCCTGAGGGACACCACATTGTATTGTTTTCATATCCGAGTATTCATGTTCAAAAAAAGAAGTTTGCTTTCTGTTACTAAGATAACTTTTGAACCAATCCAAGGATTTACCCTGGAAGCCGTAAAAATTCAATTTAGTAAGTAGAATATCATGGTTAACCGTATCAAAAGCTTTACTTAAATCCAAAAAGATCCCTAAACTGTAATGTTTATTCTCCATAGCTTTCCTTAGGTTTTCAAGGAAAGTTAAAATAGCTAAGCAAGTAGATCGATTCCTTCGAAATCCAAATTGATTGATACAGATTATTTTGAATTTTTCAACGAACTCAACAACTCTATTATACATAATTTTCTCAAATATTTTAGAAAAAACTGATAAAAGTGATATCGGCCTATAATTACTAAAGTATCTTTGATCATTCTTTTTGAAGATTGGAATAATTTTGGCTATTTTCAGTTGATCTGGAAAGACACCAGTCGAGAGAGATAAATTGGTCAAATGTAGCAAGGGAGGAGTGAATATGTCATTTGAATTCTTAACTGTTATTGGTTTAATTTCGTCATACCCTGCTGCTGAATCTTTTAAATTATCAATAATTTTTTTGACTTCTTTATCTGTTACTCTTCTTAAAAATATACTTTGATTGAATGAATCTGTCAATTTGCTTAAGTAATATTTTGGGAAAAATTAGCATTTTTTATATTATTTGCAAGATTAGGTCCAACTTCGGTAAAATAATCATTAAAAAGATTAGCAATTTGTTTATGGTCTTTAATCAGCTTATTATCATAAATAAATTCCTTGTTTGTCAGATTTGAACGTTTGTCTCTGTTAAGAATTTCATTAATGTTTTTCCATGTTTCCTTTAGATTACCCGAACAACTGTTGAACTTGCGTTTATAGTAAAGTCTTTCCGAATTTCGTATTACTTGCCTTAAAATGCGTTTAAAAGATTTATATTCATTGATTTTTGCTGAAGTTGGATGCTTAATAGATTTTACATAGAGTTTGTTTTTTTGTTTAATTGATGTAATTATACCTTCAGTTAGCCATGGTTTTTTATTGTTAAATCTATATGTCATATTTCTATTCATATATGGGAAGCATTCATTGTAAACTATCAAAATTTTCTGAATAAATAAGTCATACCCAATGTTCACATCTGTACACTTTAATACATCATCAAAATTAATGTTTTCTATCTTTGATTTAAAGTCATCATGATTTTGTTTTTTCATTAAACGAAAATGAATTTTTTCTGTAATTTGTAAATTAAATGGCAAATCTGTTACTGCAAAAATAGGAAAATGATCTGAAATATCAGTCATTATAATTCCAGATTTGTTAATGTTTAATGAGTTTGTAAAAATATTATCTATAAGTGTGGCTGTTCTTGATGTTACTCGAGTAGGTCTATAAATGGTAGGATAAAGGTTAAAGGAATACAAAGTGTTCAAAAAATTGTCCGTTCCTGCATGGTCTGTGTTTAGTAAATTGATATTAAAATCACCCATAAGAAAAATATCTTTGTTTTCTTGTGAAAGTATTCCTAAAAATTGGCTTAATTCGCGATTAAATATTTCAAGATCGACATCAGGAGGTTTGTAAACAACTGTTATTAAAGTATTTCTATCATTCTCCTTATTAATTTCAATAGTTATTGCCTGCATATCATAATCATTTCTTATAATCAAATCATCTCTTGTTTTATATACAATATTTTTCTTAATATAAATGCCAACTCCACCACCTGTTCTTGCAATTCTAGAAATAAATTCAGAGTTAAATCCGTGTATGTTGAAATCTGATTCATTGCTCTCTTTAAGCCAAGTTTCAGTAACACCAAATATGTCAAATTGATTATCAGTCAAAACATTTAAATCGGTAAATTTTGAAAAATTATGAGGCAAGCTCCTTACATTTGCACACCCAATAACCATATCATTGTGTTTTCTTGATTTCAAATTGGAATTTACAGTTTCAGGAAACTGGTATTTACAAGAATTCATTAATTTTTGGGTATGGATATCTAATGGTGTGTTTTCAGTTCCATTTGGATTTGAACCAATTGTATTATCAGTTCTAGGGTCAAAAAGTAAATTTTCAAAATTATGTTCCTCCAAGTAGTCATCTAAGTGGAGAAAAAAAGGCAGATGCACCATAAGATTTATATCATTTTCAGCCATTATCAAAGTCTAAGTTAATCATTGCACCATTATTATGTCTTCCAGTTTTTGGCCAAAGTATTGACTCTGTGTCGTTTATTAATATGCACAGGTTATTACCTATAATTAAGTCAAGTGTCAAGTTAGGAATTCACCAATAAACACAAAATACATATCAATTCAATATTCAGTTAAGCAATATATACAAGTAAAATAAAAATGAATATAGTATACAGGATAATACAGGAAAATGCATTATATATGTACAATCTAAAGCACTTCCCTACAATTTGACCTCTTCTAGAAAATAGTTCAAGTAATTCAAGCATGTTCAACCCCCCCCCCCCAATTGCACTTCTGACTAAATACTTTTTAGCTGTGAGAAGAAATAGCAGTATAAGTTGAAACAAACGGATGATCAATATAATGTAAATAAACAAACCTAGTGTTCCAGTTCTCAAATGTCTAAGTACGAAGTATTGTACAATACCTGAACATTTGGTCTATCTAATTTGATATTTGATACCTCCCCCCCCCCATCAAACTTTAGAATATAGTACCATAGTCAGCTGTGAGAAACCATGACAGAGTTGATTAAGTATATATTTATGTACAGTTGGATTTTGAAATGCATGTATGATAGAATAAATATAAAACTGTGTACTTGAATATGTATTCCCATGGTCAGTAGATTGTAAACAGAAACAGATCCAGATATTGACCTTTAAATATGACAACCAGCAGGTTTAAACGGTATAAGGTAATACCAAAACATTGGTCATTACTGAAGTAAGAATTTAGAATAACATGGATTATAGCCCCCCCCCCCCTCTATCAATCAAACTGTTTGTTAGTTTCCATTTAAAAACTTCATAATGAGAATGGTGTTTATAGCATAAGAAAGTAAAAGTTGAAACATATGTACAATATTTTGCAGTGGGTCTCAAGCTGCCCAAGGATAC